TAATAAATAAATTAAAATTAAAGAAAAATATATAAAAATATTTCTTAAATTATTTTAAAATAATTTGGGTATAAATATAGATATATTAGAACATAATTATTATAATTATATGATTATATTAAAGGAGGGAGAATATTCAAAATTATATTAAATTTATTAATTAAATTAAAAAAAATGGAAACTTTATATATTATATTTTAGGATAAGGAAGTAAAAAAATTTATATAAAAATTAAAATTATTAGTAGGATATTTAATTTTCTTAATATTTAAAAAAAATAAAAATGGGATATTTAAATTAAATAGAGAAAGAAAAATGATATAAAGGGATATTTATGATTATTAATAATTAAATAAGATTATAATTAAGGATAAATATCTTTTATTATATATAAAAAATGTAAAAAAAATAGGTAATAATAAATAATTTAACTATTCTTTTAATAATTTTTTAATTATTAATTTAAGATTATTCTTTTAAATATAATAAGAGGATTCCAAGCCTTTTTAACAAATAAAATATATTTAATTATTTGACCTATTATTGATATTATTACCTTTAAATTAAGATATCCTGGATTAATTAATCTAGTAATGATTATATTTCTTTAAGGCATAGGTTTGTTATATAAGATTTATATAATTATAATTAATGATAATATTAAATTAAGATTAAAATTTAATCTTAAAAAGGAAATGAAGGAAATTATAGTAGAATTTATAATAAATTATTATACTTTATAAGTCTATTTTTTTTCCTTATTTAATTATTTTTTATATTAAAATATATTTATGTGATAAACCTATGCGTTAAAAAGGTATAGTTGTTGTTGGATTTAGTTAATCTAGGGTGTCTTAATTTGAAAGTAATAGTATTAATAATAGATTAAGTAATTAAATAAAATTTATTTGTTAGAAAAGCTTAAAACCCTCTCATTATACTTAAAAAAAATAGTCTTAGATTAATAATTAGAAAATTCTAATAATTTATATAATCTAATATCCTCTTCTCCTATTTTCTTCTATTCCAATTTACTTCATTTTATTTTATTTTATTTTATAAAAATAGAAGTCCCTCCCATCCAGGATTTTATTATAATTGATCTTTTTTCATTCATTATTATATAAAGATTAATTATAAATTATTAAATTATAATATTATATTTCTCTTTTTATAATCTTTATCCTTAAAGATTTCTAATAAATTCATTTTTTCTTCCCATATCTTTCTAAAATATTATCTAATAAATAAAAACGTAATAATTTTCTATTACTATTATTTACCAAATATCATAAATATTTAATACTTAAGATAAAAATATTTAATTTTAAAATAATATCTTATATTAGATATTTCAAAAAAAAAAATTTTATATATAGGATAATTAATGATATCTATTATTACCATAGATATTAAATTATTAATATATCTTATAATAGTAAAGAAGTCCTTATTGATTCCTTAATAAAAATTAAAAAAGAAAAACATTGTTTGGAGGTAGAAGAAAAAACCGAAAAAAGTTGTTTTTAAGATATATTAAAATAATAGAAAAAATTAATAATAAGATTTTATCATTTATAAAAAATATATCATCTTTTATATAAAAAGGATCTGAAACTAATATTAAAAAATTAGAAAGCATTAAATATATAGAAGAAATTTAATAGATAATAATTACTTCTTCTATTAATAATATTTCCAAGATTTTTTATATCTTTAATTAATTTAGGTTTAATTCTAACCTATTATCTTTGTCAACCTCAATCAGTTTAATTAGTTAGGATTTTAATAGTAAAAATCCTTAATTAATTTCTAGCCTTTTTTATTTATAAAATATTCTTATAATTCCTAAATATTATTTCCATTTAAATAGTTAAATTGTTTAATAAAATATTTGATTTGATTATTAATAACCTTAAAATCTTAAATGACCTTAATATTATATTCTTCTAGGTCTTCTTTTAATTTAATATCTTTTTTAAATTTAACATTCTTAGATATTAATTTAAATATAATAATATAAAATATATTAATTTTTAATTTTATACTTATTAATAATTATAAATAATAGTTTATTCTTAAAAAGATTTCTTTAATTAAAAAGGTCCTAACTTTTTAAAATCTAAGCTTTCATTTAATCTTTTAATTTAAATTTATAATATTTTCAATATTAAATATTATTTATTTTTATAAAAATTTAAAATATTAAGATTTTAATAATAAACATTTCTATTCTAGATAATATTATTTCTAATTCTAAGGTAATCTTATTTATTAAAGATTTATATTTTATATTTATTTATTATTTATATAATATTTTTTATGATAATATTTTAATAATATTATTTATTAAAATATTATATAAAGATATAATAAGTAATAAAAATTCTATTTAAATATTTTATTTATAATTAATATAATTTTACAAATATTATTCCAATCTTTAATTTAAATATTTTCTTTATTTATTAATTTAAGAATTAATCACTATCAAGAATTTTTATTTAATCTTTAACCTTTTTATTAAATTAATTTAGCATTTAAAAAAAAATCTTTATTTAAAATAATTTTTCTTAATAATCTATATTTATTAAAAACTTTTTTAATAAATTTAAAAATTAAATTTTTAATTATATAAATTTTTTTGAATAATATAAAATATTTACATTTTATAAATTTATTAATAATAATTTATATATTATTATATTTTTTTTAATTATTAAATATTATAATTTAAATAATAAAATAATAAAATCCTATATAATAATAATTTATAATTTATTTAAGATTGTGTTTAGTTATAAAAGTTTATATAATTTATATTTGACTTTTTTTAATTTTATTATAGATATTATAATTTAAAATGATTTTTTTGATTATTTTTGGATTTTTAAGAAATTATATTTTTCTTATAATTATATAATAGTTTTAAAGATTCTTAAATATTTATATAAAAGATATTTATATATTTTTTATATAATTTTCTTTTATAATATTAATGATATATAGATTTTTCTATTATATAATATTATATCTTTAATAATAAAATCTTATATTAATGAAAAAATTTTAATTTATAAGATTTTTTTCTAATATTTTATTCCTATTTATGTTATAATTTAATTAAATAAATTATCAATAATATTAAAAATTTATTAATTGTTTTTAAAATATTGTCTTTTTTTCTTTAATTTTTTAATATTAAGATCTTTTAATTTATAAAAAATATTTACTTAAATATTCTCCTTTTTTTTAATATAATAGATCTTTAAATTAAAATATATAAAGTTATTTATTTATTATAATTATTTATTATTAAAAACCTTAATAATTTAAATAAATTTTTAACGGTTTAATAATTCCTAATTTTTATAATTTTTATTTCTTTAATATCTAATAGATTATTATAAATTTTTAATTATATATTTTATATTTTAATTCTAATTTTTTTAAATATTTTAAAAAAATAGATAATTAGATATTATTTTCTATTATTTTTATTATTCTATTTAAAATATTAATATATAATTATTTTTTTTTATTTAGATTAAATGATTTTATTATTAAATCTTTTATTATAATTCATTTTATTTTTTAGAATATTTCTTTTGTTTTTTATATTTGTTTAAAATCTTTTAAATTTTTAATATATATTATAATTATTATTAATTCTATGATTTTTTTAAAATCTTTAATTGAAAATTTATTATAATTATAAAAATTATAAAAGATTTATATTTTTATAATAATTTCTAAGATTAATTATTTTTTAATTATAAATATCTTAGATTTTTAAATTTTCATTCTTCTTAAAAAAATTATTTTTATTTAAATTTAGTTTTTTTAAGATCTTAAATATTTTATATATATCCTTTTTATATTATTTTTTAATTTTTAAATATATCAAAATATTATCTAAATATATAAAAATATTTTTTCTAAGGAATTATTATAGAACATCCTAGATTATTTGTTAAAAAACAATTAATATATTTATAAATCTAAATAATATTATTAAACATTTAAAATAATTGTATAATATTCTAATAATTATTATTTATTTATTTTTTTAATAATTTATATAAGATTAAAAATAAAATTTAAATTTAATAATATAAATCATTTATTATTATTTATTTTTTTTAAATTTTTAATATATAATAAAAGATATTTATCATTCATTATGATTTTATTTAATTATTAATACTTATAAATATCCTTTTATATTACTTTTTTTTTGATTTAGATATCCTATCTTTATTCTTTTTAAATATTAAGAAAATTAAATATTTTATTAATAATTTTAATTTCTATATAAATCCTTTTGTTTCCTTATTTTAAAATATAATATATAAGATGTTTAATTTATTTTAATTTAATTTATAAATTTAATATAATCTTAGATATTCTCTTTTTTTTAATATAATCCTATAATTATATTAATTATATTCTAATATATTTATATCTACATTTAAGTGGTTTCTGTTTCTTAGATAGAGACCTCCAGAAACCTCCAAAGGTCATTATATAAACCTTAATACATAGTCTCTATTACTTCCGTAGAGACCTCCTCTGATTGGTCACTCTGGTCCCACCAGGTCCTTATTCCCTGACCTTCCTCCTATTAGGTTGTAACAAATCTTTTTATTATATTTAAAAAAATAATCTTAAATTAATAATTAAAAAATTATAAAAAAAAATTAAATATATAAAAAATATTTTAATAACTATATAAACATCCTTTTTTTTTAATATTAAATATATTATTAATTATTTTAAACCTTATTTATCTTTTAAAAATAAATATAAATTTTTAAATTATAATAATTATATAAAAGAAAATATAATTTTTTATTAACTTATATATAAATTATAAATTAATATTTTTATTTTTATTTTTTATTTTTTATTTTAAATTTTTTTTTTTAAAAAAAAAAACTTAAAAGACACTTTAAAAATGGATAAAAAAACCGTTATAATCATTTAAGAAATTTTAAATATAAATATGATCCTTTATTAAATTTTATTATCATATATATATATATATATATATAAATATTTCTTAAAAACTGGGATCATCAAGCAATCCTGCATCTATACATTGTCGTTGTTGTCCAAAGGAGAGATCATTTCCTGCACACTGCTCGGCCGATGGTGCTTTGCGCTTCTTGAATGACGGATCGTCAAGGAGTCCTGCATCTATACACTTTTCATAATAAATCGTTAACTGAGATGACCTCACGCTAGTTCGTTAGGTATTCTCACCTGGCGTTGTTGCCCGAACGACAAATTGTCGCCAGCACACTGCTCGGCCGACGGCGCCTTTCGCTTCTTAAAGGAGGGATCATCAAGAAGACCCGCATCGATACACTGCCTCTGTTGGCCGAAAGACAAATTTCCGGCACAATCTTCAGCGTTTGGTTCATTCGGGAAGGTCTTTGTTAACTCGTCAATAGTACTGGCATCGAGCCCGAAGCCGCTTGTAAGAGCGTTTGAGGCCGCGCCTGTAGATGCAGCATCACTCTCATTGTTAGTTTTCTGTTCAATTGTCAACACAATTCTATCATGGATGAGGATATGGAGTTAAGGATATCCGTACGACGGGGGCACCAAGTACGGCTGCACTGAGAAGAAAGCAGTAAAATGAAGTGATTTGCATTTTTAATGGTTTTGGCGTTGTCCGGCAACGAAATAGCTTAGAGAGAATCGAAGGAGAAAAGCGGTTCTTTTACAATAGGGGATCAGAAGAAGAGAAATGATGTGAATGTAGACCAGCTTGCCATATGAGAGAATAACTGTGATGATGATGGGTATTTATCTGCGTATAGCCTCTATCATGAATATTTGGCGGTCATCCAACTGTCCCAATGCGGCATTCTCTTCATTATCTCTAACAACCTTTTGAGGCAATGTATACCTAGGTATCTAGAAACCCCTTAAGGGGTTCGTTCGCATCTGCTTCATTGGTCTTTCTGATCCTGTAACTACCATTGGCTTGGTGATTATTTGTCGCCTTTGCTAAAGGGACTTGGTAACGATGTTTTGTTACTTGCCAAGCAATCTTTTGGGAATATTTACATGCCACTGTAAGAATAATGGTTTTAAATTTATAAACAATGTGAAACGTCAGACCATTTTCTAGCCCATGGCAATATTGACATATATATCCACTTATCAATAATGTTACTTATATTGGTTACGTATATCAAGTAATATCTACACCTTCCTTTTGGCACGGACTTGCTTCCTTAGTCTAACCTGTTTGTGTTTAAGCCTTGACAACCTGGGCGAATATAACGGGGTATGTTAAGCTCGATAACTGAACGACTTGATCAATAATTCCCCGGTGGCCCTTTTTGAGCAAATGAGGCAATGTTATTGTAACTTACCTCCTAGCGACGAGGAAGCTGGGTCAATATTCGTTGCAAACCGCACACACAAGCCGTTCCAATGCATTATCATCATAAAAACAAAGATTATTCTAGTTCACGAGTAACTTTGGAATATACCTGCTGCTGGGGGTTAGTGGATATGTATATCGCGGATTTCATTGTAAACCCCATAGAATGGGGCTATGAATGTTGAAATAACTGTCAGGTCACGAACGGTATTTAGTGGTTGTATGGTTAAATATCATCTTAATCCTGAATGTTGGGGTATCTCTATGCTATCCTCATATCGAGTCAGTTCACCGATTTTTGACGTCGATATTACTTGTACCTTTGTAGTTTTAATCCTAGAAATCGTCATGCCTACCGATAATCATTCACCGCCGATAGGATGAATATATGTACTTTGCCCACAAGGCGGCTATGGGAAAATTTAGAACTGCATATCTGGAATGATTCCGCGTTGCTCAATTAATGCCCTTATTCCCCTTGTGATCCCGTCGATTTGAGCAGTTCCCTCAAAGCACCCTCAGCATAGGAACTTCCTCTAGACGTGTCTATTTCTGGAATTGGTATGGAAGTCCCCATCCAAGGAATCCAGGCACTGAACCCAGAAAGCAGACTCGATGGGCTTTTTGGTTCATCCAGCGGTGCGATAGCGCCCGCAGCCATAGATTCACAAGCGATGGCCCGAGAGGGTTGTGGCGGGGGCTCCCGTTTGTAGTGTTTTATTTTTGGCCCTTCGGGTGACGTCTTGGTCTGGAGGTGATTTCGAGAGGTATGTGGCTCGGCAGGTTCACTAAGCAAACTCGCGCCCGGAATAGTGCCCGCAGCGAGATTGCTTTGCGTTTGACTTCGAGATGTATCAATAATAGCCGTTGCAAATAAAGCCGACCTCGAGGGATGATGCACTTGCTGCTCGCTAACCTCCTGGGCATCCGCGCAATTTGTACTTCCGCTCTCTTCCTTGGTAGCCGTTGTCGCGCGACCTCGTACCTCTTCCACAATCTCGGCGGCTGGTTTCTTCTTGCTCTTGTCCTCATCCGAAGACCGGCTAGAACTTATAATGGTCTCGAGAGTACCGTAGGCGATGCTTCTCCGACGGACAGCGCTCCTCTTCGATCTTTGCACAGCACCCGCGTGTTCGTCATCACTTGATATTGCTTGTAGAGTCGGGCCTATGGGGATATGATGCCGCGACGACGCGGATGGCGGCCCTAGGAAACCGGCTCCTGAGCCTTGGGGAGCTATATGGACCTCGTATTGATTACTGAGAGAATATCTCGTACGTGCGCATATTTCTGCGATTCGGTCTAGGTCCGCGCCAACATCTTGCTGTATATCGGCTATAATGCTCTTGAAAGTGAATGATTCAAGAGGGGGTAATTTGGCATCTGCAGTAGCGCGGGCCTTCTCGATCCCCTTTTGCCGAACCATATTTTTTATTGGACCATTCCGACTAGGAAGCCGAGGAGATGGGTTCGTAGTGGGTTCGACGGTGGAAACAGACACCGGGCCTCTGGCAGTTGACGAAGTTGGGACACCCGAATATGTGCGTACTATGACAGGTTGAGAGTAGGTTCCGGTCGTCGTGCTTTTGATACTCGGTGGGCCGGTGGTTCTATCGTAGCGGCGACGCGAAGAAGGTTGAGAGCGACTTAGCTGCCGTAGAGTGGTGGTACGGTGGGTAGCCGTAGAGCCGTCGAGGGGAATTGGTTTTCCTTCGGCGGTGCTAGGTATGAGAAATGTGGACGAGGTATTCTTAGGGAAAAGCGGAGGGAAGACGACAGGTAATGAGCGTCGGCGGGTGTTGGTCTCGTTGGTGGCGCCACTCACAACACTTCTAGCACTCGGGGGGGAATGAACACGCAGCTGGGAAGATGGGAAAGGCGGAAGAGGAAATGGGGTGTCTGCCATGTTCTTAAAGGGGGGTGCTCGGTGTATTATACGAGATATATATGTAGGATGAAGTTCGAAGGGCAAAAGAAAACCAGTCGTGGGCCTGATACTGAGTGGTATTATGCGATAGGTACGCTATGATAGCCAACGGGAAGTCGTCGATATTCTCGTAGGTAATGGTTGGGATTCCTTGGGTCGGGGCTAGTTGGTGCGTGGAAATAGAATGAATAGAATGATTCGTCGGCGCGTAGGCAGGACATGTGGTTCGAACCGGAGACAAGTTTCCCTACGGTTATTGTTTTGTTCTTCCTGTAGCGGGCGGGAGACATATGATGAATCTCATCTATGATTTGGCTTTGCGGGGAGGAAGTGGAAAGAGAGGCAGGGGATAGAGCTGCAAAGAGTCGTGGTGCTGTTTAAGTGGATAAGCCTTATATCTAGTGAAGAGGGGTTCTTCAGTATGGCACTTACCGAGCCTATGCCTACTTGGGTATCTGCTGCGCCTACCTAGGTACACATACATATCTACTTAGTACCTGGGTATGTACATATGTACTAGGGTATACTTCTCCAGGGAGTCACGAAATATTGATAAATACATATACTTATACCTAGTATCCCTGCAACACCAAAACTGAGCATTCATTCAGGTCTGCCTTTCTTTCTTTCATAGCAACATAATCATCTTGGATATCTGTCATATAAATATAATAAATTTCAACTGACGTCTTTTGTGGCGGATTATTGATCGCCAGGAATGAATGAAAATACATTTCAAGGTAGACAAAAAAAAAGGACAAAACGCTACTCTCCCTCCAGGTTGTCTTATTATTAATTAAGCCATCCTCATGAATCTTGAAAATCAAGCATACCCTCCCTCTCGAGAGCTAACTAACTACTTAATAAGTTGGCTGATCTATTGTACCATACCCACGACCACCGGTTTGTACGCGATCACTATAGACACCCGGAGCTCGACGGGCGGCATAGCGACCTTCTCTGGCTTCTTCTCGACGATCGTAATAGACGTACTCGATATAAAAGGCGTGGATATGTCCTGGGATGTAACTGCCCATGCTAATTAGTTATCTTGCATGATATATCTAGCCTTTTACCTATTGCTTGCTTACCCGAGGACGGTGAGACAAATGTTGATTAAGAGGTCGGCACCACATCCCGCAACGGCCCAGACGCCGATGGGAGGAACTAGACAAGAACTAAGTCAGCGCGTCTACAATAGCAATATAGCATAAATTAGATATATCATGTTATATATAATTACTTACAAAGGATGGTTATCAGAACGATAAGAACAGCTGAAACGGCGCCCATGTTTGAAAGAGTATCAAGGATCTGGCTCGAATAGAAATGAATTTCGGCAACGAAATGAGATGATGGTTGCAATCTTTCGTCAATGTTCGCCTACAGCAACCGAAAAATGTGAAGAAGAAATATAGATAAAGATTCTCAGACGTCTTTATTGTAAAAGTTGATACGGGTAGAGTAGGATGTGCGTGCGACGATGATGATAATGTCGATGTCGAGTTTATTTCTTTGATGTATGCGGGACAACCTCAAACAACGACGGGTCAAGCCGGATGAACAACGATGACGTAGTCGCCAGTCCAAGCTAGATGAAGTATCTAGGTACATATATGTCGCTACCCTTACGTAAGGATCCCTGGCTCTTAATCTGTATATAGTATAAGTTTAAGCCACACTCATCAAATCTCCACACTAAAAGGTATGAGAGTACCTAGGTATGTACCCAGCTTAGGGGGTAATCATTGACCTCCAGCTAATCTACTTTTTTAAAAATCGGCAACTCCACATTTACAATGTTGACAAACCAGTCATTATTTTTATTATTATTGTAATTATTATTATTATTATCTCATTTTTTCTAAAGCAATATTATAATAATGGAACATGTGACTTAATTATGTAAAATAAAGTACTTAAAGTACCTAAAGATTAGGGGGTTAGGTGCTTAAACATGTAGGTTTAGGGGGAAGAGGGGGTAAGTAAGTACCTCTTTAGAGGAGTCCTTAGAGGAAAGGGAAAAAAAAAAGGGTAGGTACCAATCAATCAATCACAGCAAGATAGATCAACCATGCACACTGCCCAAAACCAACAGCTTTTTACTACAACCGAGCCCACCACGCAATTGTGTACTGCCGGGGTGTGTTCGTCCTTCGTCGTGACTCGTCTCATTCTGTCTGCGCTCTCTCTCTATTCTTTTATTTTTTTTCTTTCCTGCACACACAGACTCACTCTCTTATACCTCTCCACAACATCATCTCTATCCCCCCTATCCTTTTTTCCCTCTCTCTTCCTCGCCGTGTCCCCCCTCACGCCATCGAGATTCTTCTCCCGGCATTGCGGCATTGTGGCATTGTATCGCGAGGAGCTTTTGGGTTTTGACTAGATATCAAGATCCTATCAAGATACTTAGGTACTGGGAGACGCAGGAAAGGGACACGACACAACTGCTCTCTGTTGTTGTGGCTTCTTTCATCGCCATCGCGTGTTCGCCGCTTGTCTTTTTTTATTTTTTTCTCATCATTTTTTTTCCCTTTTTTTTTTTTTTTTATTAATCATCCACATTAAAACCCAACTGGAGCTCCAGTCACTCGTTGCAGCAACGGTTCGGCCACCGCCCTTGGAGACCTCCTTTCCTTGATCCCACATTTAGGATCCTCGATTTCCCTCGGACTGTTCGAGTTTGCAACTTTCCAAACCCGCTCCCAACACTACCAGACAAGATTCTGTCGTAATACTCAAGCATCGCCGAGCCCTCTCGATCCCGAATATTAATTTACTGTACCATAAACTACACATACATACCAAACAATCACCATCCTATAATACAGGATCCGCCCTCTAGGTCTGCCCAGCATGTCGAGCCAGCAGACTCCGCCTCCTCATATCGACCGTTATGTGGTCATCCATGTTGCAACCACCTGCGACGAACATGGTGTCTATGTAACGAAGGACTCTGCAGAGGTTATCGAGCTTGGTTGGATACTTATGGATGCGAAGTCTCTTGAAGAGGTACGAATATGAATCGAGGGCATGAATAAATTTGTTGCTATGATGGGATCACTCTAAGCTAACCAATTGTTTCTTTTAATCCAACTGTAGATCCATCGGGAGAGTGTCCTTGTGAAGCCAGTCAACACACCTATTACTCCTTTATGCAGTAAGTCGCAATCACGACGTATTATTCTCACCACTATTCTTTTCTCGCCCCTGAAAGGGAAACGATGCTGGAGGGAAAGGAAAAAGGAACCCTCCCCCTAAAGGGAGCATCACTCCATCCTCTGCCCCTCGTTACGCATCTTGGCATTGTCATGAAACTAATACATTGTGTTCTCGTGTTTATAGCTAGCCTTACAACTCTGACGTGGGAACATGTTCGAAATGCGGGAACCTTCCGGGACGCCGTGAATCGTTTCGACGCCTTTGCTTCAGAGCACTTGACAACCCAAAATCTAGACTTCGTGTTCGTCACTCTAGACGCCTGGGACCTTCGTGTCCAGCTCCCACGCGAAGCTCGTGATAAGGCCGTGGTGCTTCCACCTTACCTTCAACACTCGAGGGCCTTCGATTTGCGTACAGAATACCAGCGTTGGCAGCAACATCACCCCGAATCGCTACCCTTTGGACCTTCTATGCTCTCCAACATCTGCGCCGCCCTCGAAGTCGAGCCTGTTCAATCTAGCGCTCCTATCAAGCATAATCTTCCTTTTCACTTGCAGGCACTTGCTCCTGCTTCGCCTCGGCGTGCCATGGAGGAAGCTGTGACTCTGGCCAGAGTCTTGCGTAGCCTGATTCGAAAATCCCAGCCGCACCAGGAGCATCCTGACGTGCTGACCCGTCCTATGGACGCCCGTGCTGATGTTCGTGCTTTCCTATCTGAGCGAAGTAAGGTTTTGCATATGTCCGGATTGCCTCACGATACTACCCAGTCAGAGCTTGAGAGCTGGTTCACCCAATTCGGTGGCCGTCCCATTGCGTTTTGGACCTTACGTACCCCCGAGCAGCACAAACCCACAGGTACCGGATTTGCCGTATTTTCATCTCATGAAGAGGTATGTTCTTATTAAATACCAGATTATACACACTTCATATCTTCCCCATTGTATTTTAACATGATCTCTCTAGGCTGCAGAGAGTCTCTGCATGAATGGACGTGCTCTAAATGAGAAGGCCATTGAGGTCTCCCCCTCCTCGAGCCGTGTACTCGATCGCGCCGCCGAAATCCTTACGCCATTCCCGCCGAGTAAGAACCGTCCCCGACCTGGCGACTGGACGTGCCCATCGTGTGGCTTTTCCAATTTCCAAAGGCGAACAGCTTGCTTCCGCTGTTCCTTCCCAGCAGTCAGTGCAGGGCCTCAGGGGGATATGGGTTATGGCTATGGTTACGGCCCACCGGCCATGATGGGTCCCCCACCTCACCATGGCGGTCATCACGGAAACATGGGTCATGGAGGAGGAGGCCGTATGGGCGGTAGCGGTGTTGTTCCTTTCCGAGCTGGAGATTGGAAGTGCGGCAACGAAGTTTGCGGTTACCATAACTTTGCAAAGAATGTCTGCTGCCTGAGATGTGGCGCCAGCCGCGCTGGTGCGGCGGTGGTTGCCGACTCGGGCTATCCCTCGCCCATGGACAGCGGCTCTAGCTACGGTATGGGGTCTGGTTCTATGGCGGGCACCCCGGGTCCTGGGCCTTTCGCCTCCGCCACAGGTCCTTTCGGAGCTTCCGGTGGTTACGGCCACCACTTCGGAGGACCACCTAGCACTTATGCTTTGCCTTCGGGTATAGGCGGTGGTGCGGCTCCATACCCATCCCTTAATACTCACTTCGGTCCAGCTCCGGGCTCCCACTCAGCCGGCCCATTCGATAGCCGGGCTGCTGAGGCAGCTTTTCAGTCTGCCAGTAACGGTCCCGCCTCCGCCGGACCGTCTAACAACTTCTACTCATCTCAGTCGGAGAGTGACCCGTTCGCATTCCTCTCATCTGGCATTGGTGGATTATCTGTTAGTGGTGGTGATGCTCGTCAAAACGGTGCTGGTGCACCTTCTAGCAAGTCCCCTTCTTAGACACCCTTACTTTTACGGTATTCCCACCGAATTTTTCGGTACTCGATTTGATTGCTGCCGATTTCATACGCATTTGGAATGTTGAAGTGGAGGGTAGACCAACGGTTTCTCGACTTTGGCGGTACTTCTCTGGACGTAAAAAAAATTATGGCACTTTCAAGAGGTGTAGGTTCACTTTTGAAGATCCGGTATATGGGGGAGTCGAGGATACCTAAGGATTAGCAGGGTGTTGTGGGGATCGTTTTGTTTTACAAGAGAAGAAAAAGTTTACTGGAATGTTTAAGGGGGAGCTGGAAAAGATAAAAAAGGCCGAATTTCTAGAACGGATATCTAGGGCCTGGTTGGCTGGTAGTGGTGGGCTCTTTTACTATGAAGCTTCTCCGCCTTGTTGCCCGATATACATTGAACATTCTGGCCTTGAGGGGCAAGATGAATTTGTACAAATGGACGGATATGTGCAGTACGGCGGGATCTGAATGGTGGTGCATAGCGCAAGGGAGTGTAAATGGGTATACCTGGCCTCATTTGTCAAGCCCTGTCCTTCTCCCATACTTTTATGTATCTTCCTTTTTTACTCTTGTCACCCTCTGTCTCAACTCGCATATTTTTCTTTTTTTTTAGTGCAGATTCTATTCTTTCGTTTTGTCACGTTCCTGTTCATTCGTGTCTACAATTTATTCACCGAACTGGGTACCCCTTTATCTAACGACACCTAGTGATTTTGAATGGAGGCGGGAGAAATTCCCAGGATAGTTAAAGAGTGGAAAATCAGGTATTATAAGACTGGCCGGCTTCTCTTCGCGCTGGTCTGCTAGATTGGGGGAGAGAAAACTAATGCGTGTTCTAACTTGTCTGACTATGTTGACAGACCAATACCGCACCTCTCTCTTTGGCATATGCTCGAAATTTGCCCTCTATTCCAGTAGCTTGTTGGGTGATTCGAAGTGATATCATAAGTCTGTCTACTTAGCTAGATAGGTGTATCCGTTTATGTATGCATATATGTAGATATCTTCACAAACACCTAAGAAAATAGTAGGTTATATTCCTGCTCACGTCTATTAGGTTGATGTGAGGGGAGTACCACGCATTGGCCATCGTCGCTACACTTCACAGCGCTGTCCCCGAAGATGTTGAATTGAAAATTGTAATCTAGTACACATTATACTCGACCGGTCTAACGTGCTAAATATGCTAAGAATCGCTATCTTCTAGATGGTAATATAACTACATTTCAAAGTTCTGGTGTAGCCCCTTATCGCTGTATCGGGTTGCTTCAGGATGGAATATTTTACCTGGTCGTGTTGTGGTGTGGTCTATGATCTTTTGGATAACACATATATGAATTATTGGCCGGACTACTAATGAGCATTTGAGTATGGTGTCTATGGCAAGGGACCGATATTAGATGAGACAGACGAGACAGTCTAAATCTATTGCGGTAACGTCGCTGATAGTTGGTTGGCTTCTAAATAACGTCTTTCTAGGGCGCGACTCCCTAGACAACTTCTGTATTTATAGATACCCATTAACGTGCTTACCGTCTAGATAACGAGATGCCGGCATCGCTTCACGCGCATATCAATTACAATTCGATATAAATATTTCCGTCTACGTGATATAAACCCGCGAGGTTTGACACGCTGGGGACGGGTATCGAAAATTATTGGCCCATTAAAACATCACAGATGTAAATTAATTATGCGGGTGCTCTAGTTAGATACATGTATGTAAATCTACTCGAATTGGTTTGAAATCTGGTTGAGGCCAGTCAGCTAAATTGTTACTCGTCTGGAACCCGGAGATCCAATTTGAGTGCGTCAACTTGCGAACAATACAGCACCGTGGTCCGACTATGTGTCTGAGACTTATTGATCGTTGGGGCATTGCAATTCGTCCTCTTAAGAGCTCCACTGACTATCTAGGCCCGATAACCTCGTCTATCAAATCCCCATTTAAGTTTCGCTGTGCTGAAGGTACGCTTGACCAGAACAAAAGTTAAACATCTAATCACTCGTAATACGCGGCGCGGCTCGAATCTCGGACGTTTTAGTTCGCGGTTGATATGCCACGACCTCCTCTCCCGCGCCCTCCTCCACGGCTGCGCAACGCACGCCCTCGGTTACCACGAGTTTCTAATCCGGCCGGTGGCGGGACTGCATTGTAAGATTGATGTTGAGAGGCTCCCGTAGCCGTTGCGCCTACATTATCAGAGACGTTGTTTGGGTCCGCCGATATTCCCCTACCGCCACGATTACCGCGTCCGACTCGATTAGAATTACCACGACCACGCGGTGCGAAGCCACCGGGTCGTGACGTGCCCTCTTGCTTAAATGTCTGTGGCTGACGGTTGTTGGGCACCGTGTGATATACCATGCTACTATGCTGTAAACGAAGGGCGCCGTTAGGCACCTGAGGGGCGTGAGTGCCTCGTACTTGTCCTCCATGACGATTAACGCCATTCACAGCGCCTCGCCAACTCCCTCGAAGAGGGGATGGTGCTGGCGCGTCTCGAAGTTGACTACCTTGGCCGCCCGGCGCTCCATATCCTTGTAACTGAAGAGGCGATGTCGTCTGAGTAGCCCGTTTTTCTAAGCTCATTTTAGAACTTGCGATAACTTGCTTATTTGTAAGATTAAGCACAGAATTGGCTGAGACTGTCTGCCCTCGGAATGGCTCGCACCGACCGCCTAGTGTTGTACCGTTCATAAATGCATTGTCGCAAAGTATGTCGAGCATGTGATGGTTGCCGACTGTGCTTATACCGACAACAGTGCCTCTTGAAGCTATGGGCACTTTCCCGGAAGCCTGTACATACACAACACGGTCACCTAGGTTGAACCTCTGATTTCCAAGCCGTTGCTCAGCGTCCTTTGGATTGAGTAGTGCGGATCGAGGAACACCTTTCAGCTTCTTTCGTTCGTGCTTCTCGTTGGATTCCCTTCGCCCGTCGACAGCCTTCTGAAGCTGCATGACAACTTCCGAATCTAGCTGTTCAGCGTCGAGAGGGACTCGCTCGAACTTACTCGTTTCCACGGTTTTAAGCCATGCCCCAATCTCTTTGATTCGGGTACTGGCGATATCACTATCTGGCCAGAGTTGTGTCTCTGTTAATTCATTTCCTGACGGGTTCTTCATGATAGCAGCGAAGAAATCAGGGAAACGAGTCATGTATTCTACTAGGAGCTGAATCGCAGCAGGGCTGAATTCCCAACCTGAACTCGACTTCCTTGAGTATCCCAGGACTTTCTGCTTTCTTCCCTCAAACTTCAAATTCAGTCCCAGGTTGACTTTCATACTGCCGCCGATCGTGTGGACGTAGAAGGAAGATGTAATCTTGCTGAGAACAAGCGGATGGAGACCTAGGTCCCTCGCAACAGCGTAAGATGGGCGATAACCACTGTGCTGCTCAGCCTGGCGTATAATCAGTTGCGCAAAGTCTTGTTCTTTCGTTGATACTGATAATGCAATCTCGGCCCGGTTATTGTTATGGCCACAAATCTCGAGCGGGCGCCCGTAAGCATAGTCCCCAAGGAAGAAAACGCGAGATCCAACAGGGAATTCTTCCTCGAAGGGTACTGCAGCTCTCTCGATAAACCGGTCGTCCTCGCTAATAACCTCGTCGACGATCACCTGTGCCGCGTAATCCGTCTCCATGCCGGGAATTGGCCCATATTCCTTGATGGTAGCACCCTCGTCCGTTTTAACGAGCCCCCTGAGCATTTCGACGTGAACCATCGATTCGACGGGTCCAATTATGATACCGAGTCGCTTGCTATAGAAATTCTCGATACGTGATGCCTTTTTATTCCATTCTTCGATCTCCCTCCCAGAATGATGTGTCTGGATTGCTTGACCCGAACCGTCGTAGGCGAGTGAGTAGTCAAATAACTCGTCCGACACACCTACGATTTTGGCCTCCTGTAGGAAGGGATAACCTACGTGGCACCTTTGGCCTAGTTTGACCTTTGCCGACTCCGTCCTGGCCCGAAGCTCTACATCCGCCAGGGTCACAACCATGCTCTCGTTACGGCTCTCTTGCTGGAAAACGTTTACCCCGTGGAAACCAAGGTTGGCATTGTAAGGTAATGTAGCCAAGCTTGGGAACCCCGCTAGAGCATCGATGCCGACTTTAGTACCTTCAAGTAAGCCGACATATAATTCCAACCCTTCGGTCGTGGGCAAGTCGAATATGTTCTCAACACAGTGGCAATGGGGGATGTCAGGGAATATCCCGACCATAGAGGAGGGGTAGATATAGTCGAGATTGGAATCGTACGTGAACTTCAATGATACTCCGAAATCATTACGGGCCTTTTCCTCCGCCGTAAGGAGTTCGTTTTTAGGCGCCATCGCGGATAGTAGTCGCTTCTCGTCAATAAAAGGGATCTTGACGACAGCTTCCCACTCCATTTTCTTCCCGTCCATGTCGAGCTCGAAGTCTCTCGGATAGAAATCGATGATTGGCGAGTTCGGGTCTGTCATAAGTTCGTGGTATAACGAAGGAACAATCTTCTTACTTCGGTCTGGGAGGACACCCATGAGCTGCTCAAAGGGTCGGAAAGGCTGGCCGAGTTTGAAGTTTAGGTCGGCATTTATACCTTTGACGATGTCTGAGAGGAAGATTAGCGAGGTTATCTGCCGCGGCAGGGCACCAGACCTTACCAGATGTTCTAGGAGAGTAGTGGTAGCCGTAAAACCATGGCCAAGACGCCACCCCCTTATAATAGTAGAACAAGACCCATTGTAAGCCTTGGACGTAGTTTTCGCAAAGTTTTACAAGTTCAGTTTCTTTGACGTCTGGAGTCCACCCGAATTTGCTGGTATAGTACTTGTCTTTCCACTCAAGGAACTTCTCCTTATACATGGCTTGCGCGGCGGCCTGGGCAGTTTCAGCCGAGAGGTCGACAACTTGAGCGTTATCGTACCGCCTCATGACGCGAAACAAGGCCATATGGCCTTCCTCCTCCTCTTCTTCCTCTTCGTCGTTTTCGCCGCCACCGTTCTTTGCGGGGAATTCTAATACGAGGCTACGCCCCCCGTCGTCGTCCTCAACAGTACGCCATTCAATATGGAGGCTGCTGGCTGTATCTTGTACGAACTTTCGGTCAGCGGCAATAAGATCATGGCCAAGATCAAGAGGACTAGACGGTCGCTTGTTTATGAACTTCCGAATTTTCTTCCATAATTCTTTCTGCGAACTTGTCATGACGATCTTTCCCTTAGGTTTGCTGGGTTCCTCGCCATCCGCCTCCACCAAGTGCTTACTCCGGAGCCACTTTGAGTCAGCGTACTCGTTCTCGAAATACCGATCTTCTTCCTTCGAAAGCTCATCCAACAACAACTTCAGGCGAGGGAGGTTGATGACCCCTCCTTCATTGATGTAGCCGTCGCACTGGGGAAGGACTTGCTTGTAAATACGGAACATTGTCGCTAAGGCTCCTTCGTTGATATGAAGGTTAGGTAGATTCGGAAGAAAGTCGTTACCGACGAAAAACGCCATGAGGATAAAATCATCGATCACTCTCTCCATGTCGAAAGGTATTTTTGTAGCCCCTTCCTTTTTTAAATCTTGAAATTCCAATTCAAGGTATTCCCGAACTATGCAGAGATGCATCAGGTAGAAATTCTGATGCTCCAACTCCTTCGATTTCGTCTTTGAGGCGCGACCAAAGGTCACTTCTTCTCGAAGTAAACAGAAGTGCGGGTCGTGACTTAACAGCCCTAACATGATAAGATCGGCATCTAGACCGTATAGGCAATGACGAACGTTGGGATGATAATCAGGCTGAGCTTTGGCGTTCCGAATGTATTCCATGATCTTGTGTTCCCCCTCACCGGGAACCTCATGGCCTGACAAGACGATATCGCAGACCTGCCAATCAGAATCCTCTGATATCTTCTTGCTAATAAAGTACTTAAGCTGCTGCGTCAGCTTAGCCATGAATTCCGTACCCGGCGTGATACAATTGCTGTCGAAAGGGTCGTCTTTTGGTAGTTCCTGGCCTTCTCGAATCGCCTTTTCACGAGCTTGTTCGGCGTCTAAGGCTGTCCGGAAACGGCGGGCCCTCTGTTGATTCATTTTGGCCCTGGGAGCAACTCCGTCGATGGCCATGAAAAACAACTTCTTCGGCTTGATTTTGCCGAACAAGTGTTCGATGTAGTTGAATATACGTATGAACATTTCATCTTCGCTGAGACGGAACGAGGTGTCATGGGAATCTTTGTGGGTACAATTGTGTATAATGCCGTTCATGTCCAGCTTTGGGCAAATTAGCGAAAATCAAGAACAGCGAGACCATTTGTAAGACATCGTACATATAAATTGTCGAACTCGGGAATTCGATTCTCTGCGATGAGTTGCGATATTGCAGGATATCGCTCTGAGAGCCACCTGAAGAACTTGGGGACACTATGAATAAGGCAAGTTAGTAGTTCGTATGGGAATTCGACATGTTGCAACTGAAGACGTACCCCATGATGGTTTAATTGGGTTGATGTCGATGTCAAAAGGAAAACATGCAAAGAGTCGCTGGGTCAATGGAGGGCGAGAGGTGGTAGGCGCAAACTCGTAGAAAGCGGAAAGATGTCGCAAAGTCAGCGTCCAACAGCGAATAGTCGTACTCGATTAATTGAAGTCTTCGTTGAACTTTTTAGTTGATATCGCACTACCTGTTGCTCGTGAATCCAAACTCCGCTCTGCTCTGACGGTGGTTTTCAACCTGTTAAAGACAAAGCATTATATGGAACAAACAATGCAATAGATATTTCCTCAAGTTGCGCTCAGGCGATGCATCTGGGCTGGTGAGTGCAATGGGCAGGCGGTTTCTCGAGGTGGATGCGACGCGGATCTTTAGATTGTGTAGCTTCGATCTCGGGCCGTGAGGAGTCATTGACCGCGACTATGGGTTTTTACCTCGTGCGCCCGGTACAATGATGTAGGTACCCGGCGCGATAAGTTTTTAAGGTTACAGTGGGCTCTACCTAACGACCTAGGTAGGTTAGGTACTGGTAGGTAGCAGCAGTGAAATTTGGAACACAACCTTCCTTAGGTTAGGTGAACTTGTATGTCTCCAGTTGACATTCCCCGCATAAGGTACCCAAGTACCTGCAGGTATAGACCCCACGTAGGTACGTACCTCCTGCATTTTATACTTTCAATACATGGGAGGCAGGGACTAGGCAAGTCAAGTACCCACATATAGCTAGCTCCGCAGCTTTAGGAACCTTAGAAATTCTGTGCTTTACGCGCATCGCGTTCTGTTGCGCAAAACCACTTTGTGAACACTTCGAACATCAAACGAACCTGCAGATCACATCTTTCATCCTGTGGCAATTATCAACTCGACATGGCTCCTGGTCCTGTCGCCGAGGACGTTGAGAGTGAGTTTTTCTTTTTCTCCCAGTCGGCTGTGGTACTTTTACTAACATGGCGATACAAGTGGACATCGCTCAGGATTACGATGAAGACGAGGAGCAGCGACTCATTAATGAAGGTAACATACATTCTTCTACCCCACTTGTCATTCATTCTCTAACAGTCACTAGAGTACAAAACATGGAAGAAGAACTCTCCTTTCCTTTACGATATGATTTTGAGGTAAAGTCGTAAATAGTGGCGTGCTGTTGCTTTCTACTAACACTCTGTAGCACTGCCTTGACATGGCCTACCCTCACGGTGCAGTGGTTTCCTGATGTTAAGGAGCCGGATGGAAAGAGTTGTCGTATACACCGAGTTCTCATCGGCACTCATACTTCTGAAGGCAAACCGAACCATGTACAGATCGCCGAAGTCGAAATCCCTAAATCCATCCGTCCCAATGCGCACGACTATGATGACGAGCGAGGAGAGATAGGTGGTTATGGCAAGTCTCCGGCCGCTGGCGACACCACGGCCATGAAATGGAACGTTGTGCAAAAGATTGATCACCCTGGCGAGGTCAACAAGGCTCGATATTGCCCCCACAACCCTGACCTTATCGCTACCCTGGCTGTCGATGGACGAATCCTCATATTCGACAGGACCAAGCATAGTTCTGAACCGAACGGTAAGGTCAATGCTCAGATCAGCCTCGAAGGCCACAATGAAGAAGGGTTTGGCCTCAACTGGAATCCCCACACCGAGGGTTCTTTGGCTTCAGGAAGCGAGGACCAGACCGTGTGTCTTTGGTATGCCGCCCAGCTAATAGTGTAATCGCCTACGTAGTTCATCTATGCTAACATGAGTAGGGACCTAAAGACTCTGCAGGGCGGAAATAGTATCCTTGGCCCTGCCCGTCGCTTTACCCATCACACCAATATCGTCAACGATGTTCAATATCATCCCATCTCTAAGAACTTCATTGGTAGTGTTTCCGATGACCTAACACTGCAAATAGTGGACGTGAGGCAGCCATCCAACACACAGTCGTCTCTGGTTGCCAAAGGTGGACACAGTGATGCCATAAATTCGCTGGCATTTAATCCATCTACCGAGGTTCTCGTGGCTACTGCATCCGCCGACAAGACCATTGGCATCTGGGATCTGCGAAATGTGAAGGAGAAAGTCCATACACTAGAAGGCCATCAAGATGCAGTCACCTCGCTTTCCTGGCACCCGCATGAGGCAGGTATTCTTGGCAGTGCTAGCTATGATCGACGTATAATCTTCTGGGATCTCAGCAGAGTCGGTGAAGAACAACAGCCGGATGATCAGGAAGACGGCCCCCCTGAGTTGTGAGTATTCTCTTGGATGATGTATGGAAGCTATTTGCTAACGCCCCGGAGGTTGTTCATGCATGGTGGCCACACGAACCATCTTGCAGATTTCAGTTGGAATTTAAATGATCCCTGGTTGGTGGCTAGCGCTGCGGAGGACAACATGCTCCAAATCTGGAAGATTGCCGACTCAATTGTTGGCAAGGACGAAGCTGATCTTCCTTTAGATGAATTAGGAAGATAAAGAAATGGGGTAAAGCATGGGAGAGCAATGACGCAAGTTTATAGCTCGCCTATATGGTGATTTTACAAGGGCAACAGGATGAATAAGAGAAGGCGTTGATACTATTTTCACGACTCGTCTAATCGCAAATGAGCTGAAGCACACTAATTCGATGCTGTTTACCAAGGTACCTAGTAAATACAGGCTCTCAGGCATTATGTTGCTGCTTTTCCGTTGATTGAGAATAGTCCTTTAAATATACTGTTCTGAACAGCTATATCTTTAGGTACATATGTATCTAGGTATATACATGTATGTACTTATATAAGGTATAACGTTGAATATTGCTTGTCTATATCTGACGTTGGGGTATGGATTTCCATGTAGGCACTTGTGTGACGAGTTATATGCGTCGGTCCTGTGTCAAAACATACATAATAAACGAAGGAAAATTCCATATACCTATACGATTAGTATGTACATACATTTGTATGTATACCTAGGTACATAAGTATGTACGCTTACGTACATGTACATAAGTGATTAGGGAACTTCATGTAGGTGTTTAGGTACCTATACACTTGTTGATTGTCGATAAATCTCCGACCCTTGTAGCGTTATATTGATGTAGAGGTACGTACAATGCTAGCACACATCTGTACCTAGGTACCTAGGCTAATGTAGGCAACAAGCCACCTTTATAACAAAATACACGTAGCGCGGTAATCAAGTACCTATCTGGCCAACCGAACTTACCTTCATTTTCTCTACATGTAAATTCTAGCCAAAAATTCCTTCTGTTCCATCTTCGTTTCGCTCTTCTGAATTAATAACACAATTTAGTGTTAACTTCTTTTTGGAGGGGCTTCTACAAAGTCTCTGTGTGTTTGCAAGGTGCGGCCCTGGATTACGCGCTTTCTTTGAACCCTTAGTGGCTGTGCCCTATCTCCGACATCAAACTCTTATGTATCCGAATGTTGAGTCTTCATCGTATCCGACAGCGAACATCTAGATACTCAAGGCCAGCGTCCTCCTTAAATAGCTCCTCTCTAGGAGCATGACTCCAATACGGGAATGCCGCCGTTAACCTCGTATCGTCCGACCGAGCCTCCAGATTCCCCCGTAAACGATTCCGACTCAGATGTCGATCTGGATCTAGAAGAACTAGATCCTAGCGCCTCACCACATATTCAATCGTCTCGGCTCCTAGGAGACAGCCGCGGCTCTGAGCAACGAGTGCCGCGGATCGCATTGCGGAATATTCGCATGGGCGGTTTGAGACGAGTTGGGAATCGAGGTCGTGGCTATGGCGAGCTTGGTCGTAGTCGAGATGGGAGTAGTGATGCTGTCGGCTTACTAGAAGACGATGTGCACGAACAGCGGTACTCTGATGGAAGCGGCCATGCCGGGGATGAGGCACCTCTGCTAGACGAATATGCACCTCGACCTCAGAGACGCTCTTTCGCCAACGATAGACTCCAAAACCTAGCCCATATTGGCTCGTCCTTGAGATTACCTAGCTTCATGTCGAGCACCAGCGCCAACCGTCAGGATGATGATGGAATTACTGACAACAAAGAAGACGACCCGTCAACCTCACGAATCATTGCCGTCGGCGCTTCTCAACCTACACGCTACCCACCTAATCTCGTTTCCAATGCCAAATATACAGCGTTCACATTTCTGCCCGTCACCTTGTACAATGAATTCTCGTTTTTCTTCAATATGTATTTCCTACTGGTTGCATTATCGCAGGCCATCCCAGCCCTAAGGATAGGCTATTTAACTACCTACATTGCTCCGCTTGCTTTTGTTCTCGTCATCACAATGGGAAAAGAGGCATATGATGATATAGAGCGACGTCGAAGGGACAATGAGGCCAATTCTGAAGAGTATGCAGTGCTTCACTTCGGGGAACCGGAGCTTCAGAATATGGGGCTACGCCCATCTAAGAACCTCAAGTCGGCGACATTGCGGAAGGCGAGTCGTAAATCCTTAACTCAGAGGGATCGCTTGTCAGACATACAGGAGGAGGAGGAGCAAGCAGAGGCCCAAGGCCGAAGCCGCCCGTCGTCACTTGTCCAAGAAATTGGCAAGAAGTCTCGAGATCTCAAGGTTGGCGACGTTCTAAAGCTCGGTAAAGGTCAACGTGTACCTGCGGATGTCGTCATTTTGAAATGCTCGATGCCGGAAGGCACGCAAGCCCAAATGGTAACCCCCGAAAATTCAGGGTCTAAATTGCTGATTGATTCTTCCGAAAGTATTATAAATGAGAACAGTTCTTCCTCACATAAAAGCAAAGACTCTGAATCAAGTAGCTCTCATGCTTCTGGAGAGGCCTTCATCAGGACAGATCAACTTGATGGCGAAACGGATTGGAAATTGCGGTTGGCGTCTCCTCTCACCCAAGCTTTACCCGTAGAGGAGTTTGTCCGCGTTCGGGTTACAGGCGGGAAACCCGACAAGCGGGTCAACGAATTCGTTGGCAAGATCGAATTGATGACAACAGAACCCGAAGTCCGACATGATCGATCTAACGAAAGCAGTCTAGGCGACAGAAGCAACTCCGCCCCGTTGTCCATCGACAATACTGCTTGGGCTAACACTGTTATTGCCTCTCAAGCGACAACAATGGCGGTCATCGTTTATACGGGACCACAAACACGATCAGCCCTTTCAACGTCATTATCACGGTCCAAAACGGGCTTGTTGGAATACGAGATTAATTCTCTTACAAAGATACTCTGTGCCCTCACTTTAGCATTGTCGGTCGTGTTAGTAGCCTTGGAAGGATTTGGCAACACTGAAGGTGATATCTGGTATGTGAAGATTATGCGATTCCTTGTACTATTCTCCACTATCGTCCCAATTAGTCTACGAGTCAACCTCGACCTTGGGAAGAGCGTCTATTCGTGGTTCATACAGCGAGACCCCGGCATTCCAGGTGCTGTCGTTCGAACAAGCACAATCCCGGAAGATCTCGGGCGTATCGAATACCTACTTAGCGACAAGACGGGCACACTCACTCAAAACGAAATGGAAATGAAAAAAATCCACGTGGGCACTGTTTCCTACGCCAATGAGGCCATGGACGAGGTAGTGGTTTATATCAAGCACGGTTTCGTTGGGGCGCCAAATGAGAAAGCCCTGGTCACACCATCGTCATCTTATAGCACAACAGCTGGTGTCACTGCGACGAGGACACGGCGAGAGATTGGATCTAGAGTTAGAGACGTCGTCCTAGCCCTAGCTCTCTGCCACAACGTAATTCCCACCATCGAAGAAGAAGATGGCCGAACCCACACTTCGTACCAGGCCTCTTCGCCAGATGAGATAGCCATCGTACGATGGACCGAGTCCGTTGGTCTCCGTCTAGCATATCGAGACAGGAAGAGGATGGTGCTTGAATCGACAGAAACGGGGAAGACCGTGGTACAAGTTGAAATTCTAGATATCTTCCCTTTTACTTCTGACGGTAAACGTATGGGTATAATTGTTCGGTTCCACGAGCAGGCGGCATCCTCTCCCCTCGAACTAGATAATGGAGAAATATGGTTCTATCAGAAGGGCGCAGACACGGTTATGGGGTCTATTGTAGCTGCGAACGACTGGCTAGACGAAGAAACCGCGAACATGGCACGGGAAGGTTTGAGGACTCTAGTAGTCGGGCGTAAAAAATTGTCTTATGAACAGTATCAAGACTTCTCAAACAACTACCAGGAAGCTTCTCTAGCGATTAGTGGTCGCGATGCTGGAATGCAGCGTGTGGTGGCGGAGTTTCTTGAGCACGATCTCGAGTTACTAGGGGTCACTGGCGTGGAAGACAAACTGCAGAGGGATGTGAAACCATCCCTAGAACTACTTCGCAACGCCGGCATCAAGATTTGGATGTTGACAGGAGACAAAGTCGAGACAGCACGATGCGTCGCTGTCAGTTCGAAACTCGTTGCGCGAGGACAGTATATCTACACTGTCGCGAAGCTAAAGCATAAGGATAACGCTCAAGACCATCTCGACTTTCTTAGAAGCAAAACAGACTCCTGTTTGCTGATCGATGGCGAAAGCTTAATGCTTTATCTAACACATTTCAGAGTTGACTTCATTTCAGTCGCTGTACAACTTCCAACTGTTGTTGCCTGTAGATGTTCACCCACGCAGAAAGCCGATATTGCGAGGTTAATCAAGGAGTTTACTAAGAAGCGGGTTTGTTGTATTGGTGACGGCGGAAATGACGTCTCAATGATTCAGGCCGCGGATGTTGGTGTTGGTATTGTTGGCAAGGAAGGTCGCCAGGCCAGTCTCGCGGCAGATTTCTCTATCGAGCAGTTCTGCCACCTCACGAAGCTGCTAGTGTGGCATGGTCGAAATAGCTATAAGCGGAGTGCCAAGCTCGCCCAGTTTGTAATTCACCGTGGACTCATTATTGCTGTTTGCCAGACCATGTACAGTATTGCCATTAAGTTCGAGCCTGAAGGCTTGTATAAGGTACGCTTTCCCCATACCCTATTTTCTGGGCCACGTGACCTTACGGATGATAGGATTGGCTGCTCGTGGGATACGCCACCGTTTACACGGCGGCACCCGTGCTATCTCTCGTGCTCGACAAGGATGTCGACGAAAATCTTGCGAATCTGTACCCCGAGTTGTATAAAGAACTAACGTCGGGTCGTTCCCTATCTTACCGCACCTTTTTCGTCTGGGTTTTGGTGTCGATATATCAAGGCGGCATGATTCAAGGTTTATCCCAAATTCTCACTGAGGTAGATGGAACGAGGATGGTGGCCGTCAGTTACACGGTTCTCGTACTCAATGAGCTTCTGATGGTGGCTATTGAGATTACGACTTGGCATCCAGTCATGATCATGTGTATCGTTGGAACCTTTCTATTTTATATCGGATCGATGCCATTCCTCAGTGGATACTTCGATCTCGATTTTATTATCAGTTGGTAAGTGCATGTTTACTATTCTAGCTCGTCTTACAAGGCTCTGTTAACTTATACATCTCGTGGCAGGGGTTTTCTCTGGCGAGTACTCGCCATCGGTTCAATCTCATTGATACCGCCGTATGCTGGAAAGTTGATAAGGAGAACAATGAAACCTCCGTCGTATAGAAAGGTCCGAGGCATTTAAAGCTACGTCTTGAGGAACGATGCGCATTTTCTAGCTTGGCGCCGGGTGGGATTCGGACCATTTCTTCATACATACAACCACAATTAGCTAGGCGTATGTTAAGTAGTCGCTCCGCGGCCGCTTATACCATCGTGATGGTTTAGTTGTGCTTACATATTTATACTTAGCTTAGCCACGTCGATAAGGAACAGTCCATTGATATCCGTATATACCTAATACCTAGTATTCGACAAATTCCTCCCGGCCAGTCAAATTATGGTGTAGCTCTCCCCCACATCCGACATTTTATTGTCTCCAGATCTTATTTCGTCATCCTGACTAAGTTAGAACGCGGGGAATCGGCAGGCCCCTATTCATACCAGTATTCAGGTACCTGGCCACTACAGAAGATTCTTGGAACGGCGGAACGGATGGCCTTCGCTATGCTGATCTTGCACTACAATATGTCTCAATTGCGGGGAGAGCTAATTGAATCGATTCTGATGGAGCTCTCCATTATTGGTAGAAGTCTAGACCCATGTAGATCACTGGCCACAAAAAAAAACCCGTATAAATCAGACTACTAATACTTATGTAAATATGTTTACGTAGGGATTATATATGTAGCACTTGAGGTAGGCAAGTTTACTCAAACATACATCTCACTAGAATAAGCGAGATATCTAGCGGATCCGAGTCCATTTTTTTTGTACGTAATACACGAGAATTACGGCGCTATTTTCTTGTTGAGGGATAAGTCGAGTGCGCTTGGAATCCAAGCCGAGATAGATTACACGAAGGTAATAAAAACACGCATTACTACTTAAGTATATTATTATATTATATATAAGGGTGTAATATTTGATGCGCCATCTATTATTCTTTGGCGTGGTATCTATATCCTAAATTAAATAACACGCCTCCTCAAAACATTATATATATAGCTAGGTATTTGTTAAATGAATGATATATAAAAATTTTAAAGGATGAAGAGGCGTACAGCCGCTGCGTCATAGCTTTGAGCTCCCCCGGCTAGCGCCAACCCGTGCAGGGTTTAGGGGGTTGGTTTAGAGTCCATCACTTTACCTGCATATGTAGATAGCCAACCAAAGCCAATCGCGTCCCCGATCGCGGTGGTACATACCCGCACACCTACATAACATGACAAGCTCTCGTGCTACCTCTACAAACGATGGGCTCTCTGGGGAACTTGGAGCTCCCGGAATTGCCAATGCAAGTTTGCGGGATTGTGGACCCGTTAGTAGAGTATCTGAGAGGTATCTTGCAGGAGTCTAGCCCCTTAGAGGTAGGTAAGTCCCTGTTGCCCAGGCGGTCCAGTGCACGATGATGCCAACTACAAAGCCCCATCTCCGTAAATTATTCTTCGCGGAGGAGCTCTATGGAGTCTAGTCTCATTTCCATCTCCACATCCTTGAGCAGTTGAATACATTTTGTTCTTCCTCCCCTCTCAATCTTAGGTATTTTTTTTTCCTTCCTCCCCTCTGAATCTCTTCCTTTTTATTTTTTACTTTTTCCCTCTTTCAAAATTCATAGTCGCCCAGTCTCATGCATTGAAGATATTGGTTCTATAGTTGGCTTTGGAATTGTTTGGAACCTTCAGGTGAGAACTCCCTGAATCCCCGTCGCATTTAGAAGATTAGAAAACCATACGTATTCTACACAAACGCGACGACACGCCACGACACAAAAATGATCATAGGCGCGATCTTACACGTAACCATGTATAACAATCTCAAACCGTAAGGAGGGGCCGAATAGAAACAAAATGAGTAAAACGAAAGAAAAGAGGGAGTAGAAGAGAGGAGAGAGGGGAAAAAAAGAAAGAGGGAAGAAAACAACAACCCAATGCTATTTTCATCAAACTAACTAACCACTAACTAACTGGAATTTATTCAATACAGTTACCAATCTCCTTCTTCCTCCCTTTCCTCACAGTCTCCCTTTATTGAGGTATTTTCACCCCGTATTTGGGTCTCATCGTCGACTTTCATCACAATGGCTAGCGAAAGTGGGGAGAGAGCTCCTCGCGAAGTGAAGAACCACATACTCTTTGAAATTGCGACCGAAGTTGCCCACCGCGGTATGTCTAGGAAGATGAAGCATGAGCTCCTATATACTAATATTCGACCCAGTTGGTGGTATTTACTCCGTTATTAAGTCCAAAGCGCCCGTGACCACCGCCGAGTATGGAGAACGGTACACGCTTATTGGTCCTCTTAATCACCAATCCGTACGTTTCGCAAAACCATTACACCTATTCATACACGCTTACTAAATAAAACAGGCCGCCGTTGAAGTTGAAGAACTAGAACCGAACACCCCAGAACTCGCTAAGAGCATCGAGGCTATGAAAAACCGGGGTATTGGCATACTCTACGGACGATGGCTAATTGAGGGCGCCCCGAGAGTCCTGCTTATAGACACAAAAACCGCATATAAATATATGGACGAGTGGAAAGCCGACTTATGGAATGTTGCTAGTATTCCGGCCCCGCCAGGCGACGATGAGACCAATGAAGCAATTGTTTTTGGCTACTTAGTTGCCTGGTTTCTCGGAGAGGTGCGTTCTTCAATATTGGTACCCGAAGTTCCGTTTGCTGACTCTTTTGGCCTTGAAATAGTTTGTCTGTCACGAGAAAAACAAGGCTGTCATAGCCCATTTTCATGAATGGCTCGCCGGTGTTGCTCTACCACTAACTAAGAAACGACGTATAGATGTCACCACCGTCTTCACTACGCACGCGACCTTGCTAGGCCGCTACCTCTGCGCTGGTTCCGTCGATTTCTATAACAACCTACAATGGTTTGATGTTGATGCAGAAGCTGGAAAGCGTGGTATCTACCACCGCTACTGTATAGAACGTGCGGCTGCCCACTCCTGTGATGTCTTTACCACCGTATCGCATATTACCGCTTTCGAAAGCGAACATTTACTTAAACGCAAACCCGACGGTGTATTGCCGAATGGACTTAATGTCACCAAATTTTCTGCGATGCATGAGTTCCAGAATTTGCACCAACAGTCAAAAGAAAAAATCCACGACTTCGTCCGAGGCCATTTCTATGGGCATTACGATTTTCTGCCCGAGGACACCGTATACTTCTTCACCGCTGGCCGTTACGAATTTCGGAATAAAGGAGTCGATATGTTTATCGAATCTCTCGCCCGTCTCAATCACAGATTAAAGAATGCCGGAAGCAAGACAACCGTCGTGGCGTTTATTATCATGCCAGCACAAACCACATCGCTGACAGTTGAAGCCCTAAAAGGCCAAGCAGTCATCAAGTCCCTTCGCGACACCGTGGATGTGATTGAGCGTGGGATTGGCCGCCGCATCTTCGAGAGGTCATTGAAATGGCACGACGGGGACCCAATGCCAGATGAAAAGGAGCTTATCACGAGCGCCGATAGGGTTGTTTTGCGCCGTCGCCTCTTTGCCATGAAAAGACATGGGCTGCCACCCATTGTCACACACAACATGGTCAATGACAACGACGACCCTATCCTTAACCAGATCCGGCGGGTGCAGCTTTTTAACCACCCTACCGATCGCGTCAAAATTATTTTCCACCCTGAATTTTTGAACTCATCCAACCCCATTTTGCCACTAGACTACGATGACTTCGTGCGCGGGACAAATCTGGGTGTCTTCGCCTCCTACTATGAGCCATGGGGTTATACCCCCGCTGAGTGCACGGTTATGGGTGTCCCTAGCATCACTACTAACCTATCTGGTTTTGGCTGCTATATGGAGGAACTAATTGAGAATTCGGCGGATTACGGTATTTACATTGTGGACCGACGCACGAAAGGCGTTGATGATTCGGTCAATCAGCTCACCTCCCACATGTTCGAGTTCTGCCAGAAGAGTAGGCGTCAACGAATTAACCAGCGCAATCGGACTGAGAGGCTGAGCGATCTCCTCGATTGGAAGAGGATGGGTATGGAATACGTCAAAGCACGGCAATTAGCTCTACGGCGGGCATATCCAACTTCCTTCTCCGGTGAGGAAGAAGATGACTTTATACCAGGGGTTGAGCAGAAAATCTCGCGGCCTTTCTCGGTTCCGGGTTCTCCTCGCGACCGAACGGGAATGATGACGCCCGGTGATTTTGCGAGTTTACAAGAGGGGCGAGAGGGGTTAAGCACGGAGGACTACGTGGCGTGGAAGCTGCCGTAAGTGTTATAATAACGTACAATGCCAAAGACTGTAACTAACACAAACTGATGCAGTGAGGAGGAAGACCCGGATGAGTATCCGTTCCCGCTAACACTCCGGACGAAGAAGACGGGCTTCTCTGGGCCAGCGTCCCCTCTTGATGGCGTACAAATCAATGGAAACCAGTGAGAAGGGGTTCGGCGGTTAATAGGGCCATGTTTAACCTTATAGGTATGGCACGGAATTAGGTACTCTCTGGACTATGAGGACATGGGGCGATGTAGGTAGGGAAGAAGGGGGTTGGGAAACATGCATATGTAGGCGGTTGTAACGAGGAGAAATGGGATATAGTGATGGTAGGAGAAGATGATTGGTTGGTATATTAGAGATATAATCTCAAGTTGGTTGGAAGGATCGGCAAACACAGCACAGCCAGTAGTCTTTGTTCTATATGTAATGATTGCATAGCAATGCATTAGCTACCTAGGTAGTATTTAGCAAAAACTGTTCATATATAATTTTTTTTCTGCATTATAAGAGCATTAATAATGCAATATTGACATATACAACCCGCAAGCATGGTAAATGTAAATATGGGTCAAATATTCTACTAATATTCTACTAATATCCCATTAAATAATGTATTTAATTATATAATTTTGGTATAGAAAATGTTGTTCTATATTTCTAATAAAATGAAAAGAGAGGAGTAAATCGAAGGATCTGAGATAAGTATCTTTCAATACGAGATAGGGGCTGAAATACACGCGTATGGAACCAGACAAGGTCTTAACCCATGATTACATTTACCATGCTTGCAGGTTGTAGTAACAGATATTCTAGGTACATAAGGTAATATACTTTATGTACCTAGGTATGTACATAGTAGGTCATAGTACAATGTAGGTGGGGTTAAGTGGCTTCTGTGTACCTAGGTACTTGTAAATTTATATGAGGCAGCCCAATCTTTATCTTCTTCTAGATTGGTCACTTTTAAATATAAAATAGCTTATGTACCTAGGTGAAGTACACTGTACGGATTCTATAATAAAACATGAAAGCAGCCGGGAACCTTAAGACGCAAAAGTCGTAAGATAAAAAATGCAGCAGCTAACCTTACCGACCCTGCTCTAAGAGAAAGAAAAAAATATATAAATATTATATGAAGTACCTAAACTCCCTTGCGCCTACTCGAATATAAATGCAACAGGAAAGGGCAAATAAACCAATCCCTTGTAATTGGAGGTACGACAAAAAGCATGTACTCACCCAACTCCTACCTTATGTAGATAGAATGGATTCCCCGCCTTGCCTTCCAGGGTTCCAAGGTTCTCAGGTTCCTTTTTTTTTCTTAATAAACACAAAAAAACAAAGCCAGAGAGCCTTGCAGAACGCGCATCTATGAATAGGATCCCATCCTCCAGCCATCCTCCTCTCCGCTCCCTTTTTCAAAACGTCCTACATCCACAACCTTTTGCAACATCATATACCCTAACTAAGTACCCAATTAATTAGGTAAGGTCAGTTAGATGGGTGGGTAACTAACTCTTCATACATCACGAATCACTAATCACACATCGCACATCGCACATTGCGCGCGGAGAAAGTATATGTGGCTTAGAGTAGGCAGGTAGGTTCAATATCTAGACTTACTTGTTACCTACATTGAGCAGGCGTCCCAACGACGAACAATCATTTACTAACCCCAGAAAAGCCAAAGAGGGGGGAAGGCCCTCTCCAGCTCGCGCCGTGGTCACGCCTAACCCTAATCTGGGTTCGAGATGAAGTTCACCGCGATGAAATTCTTCCGACGCAGCAAGAAGTCGTCCCAGCAGTTCAAGTCGCCCAAGAATTCAACCCAAGACGAGCTAGAGCGGGACAGATACCGTCTTTACAACCCCCACCAACCCGATTACCACGGCTATGCCGCCCAAAGGAACGGTGTATTTGCGCCCTGGTTAGAGCTGCCACCCCCTATATTAGAAAGAGTATTCTCCTTCGTTTGCCCCCACTGCTGCGACGAGTCATACGAGACCTGTGAGCAGAGCGCTCGCGAAGATGCCTGTATGCTTTGCGACCTACGCGATCTCTCCCACGCCGGCCAAGTCTGTAAGCGCTGGAGGAAGGCTGCCATCAAATTGATGTGAGTTTCCCCAACCCAAGTAACCGTTACGCCCGACGAAAGGGATAGTTCGTCGCTAATTTCTACCGGGGTTCGGTTGCGCTAGGTACCACAGCATACGAATCGATTCGGTACATTACTGCGAACGCGAGATCGACCTCTCCGAGAAGCGCAAACGTAGAAGTCGCTTCGACCGCAATGGCCTTCCCGAAGATACAGCTAGTGCTCGGTTACATCTACTATGTCGCTCGCTACGTGAAGACCCGACTCGCCTTGGGGCAATCGTTCAATACTTCAAGACTCCATATATGCTACGAGAGTCCAGCACCCCCGCGCTGGCAAGGACTATTGCCGTACTACCTAACCTGCGCTACGTCGACCTACCTGAGGGCTTGTTTAGTGACGATCCGGCTTACCATACACTCAAACTTGAGGTTCAAGCCCGCTGTCCTAATCTGAGAAAGATGACCTACCATAGCGGCAGTGAGCGTAGCCTGGAAGCCTTGAGTAGGGGCGGTATATGGCCAAATCTTGAAGTGTTGGAACTAGCTGGAATCAACATGGACCCGGCGGCACTACGTCACGTTCTAGCGATGCTGCAAAACCTGCGAGCTCTAAAGATCTCAGACTGCAGAATCATAGACGACGACATGTTCAAGTACAATGACATGTTGCCCGCATTTCCGGCTTTAGAAGAATTAATTCTGATGGATACGCTGAGAGTCACTTCCGACGGGTTTGTGGCGTACTTATCCAGAGCAGATACGCAAAAACAGCTCAAAGTCCTCTCTCTTTCTAATACGGGTATTCAACCCTCTACCCTTTATGACGTGTTGGCACACGCACCAAACCTTACGACCCTCTCCATCACCGAGCAAGTAGATTCTGCGTTTCCATCTCACTCCGGGCCCATTCCACCCCTGACTAACTGGTCTCTACAAACTCTACGCTTCGAAATCACAGCATCGCCCACTACTTCTCCATATGCGAGCATCACAAGTGGTTATTACAATTATCTAGCCTCTTCTCTCTTCGCTGGGGGTCTACCACGCTTATCCGCCGTGTACGTTCGAGATCAGGACTTCCCGGATACCCTTCTAGGTCTCCCACCGCCCGCTCCTGGCTTCGCGGGAGGGCAGCAACGACCCAGCAGCTCCAGTAGCGCCGGAATGTTCGGGAACGGTGGCCTCTCGCCATCCAATACGGGAACCTTTGGCAACGCGCCTCCCCGGTTTAGTTCTAATAATCCCTTCGCTGCAGCGCTTGGTGCGCCACGTGGGCCACCAATGCTGTCGCTCAACCAGACTCTCGAAGTTTTTACTAAGGGGGAAGACGACCTTGATTGGGGTAGCATTAGGAGTGAGTATTAGTATCCCGTGAAGATCACTTGCTGCATCGTTATGCCTCTTTCCAGGATGCCTATTATTGTATCATAACGCTAAACCTGCTTCTAAACTCCACCTCCGAATATAACAACTAACTCTCTTTACTCCAGTGGACCCTTTTGACGCTTACGGCGGTGCTAGCAATGGCCGTAGAGGCCGTAGCGGTAGTTCGTCGAGCGGCCGTCCTTTGAGTAGCTATGGCCTCGCGGACCTAGGCTCTGGATGGCAGGCCGGTGGTGGAGCTAGGAAAAGTGCTGTAGTTCAGGGAACCGGCACCGGTAGTTTTCTAGCCGTGCCGGGCGCGACGGGAAGCGGACACGGGCGTAGCCGCAGTACTGCAAGCTCTCATGCCGCCAAGGAAGATCTATGGCCCCGGCCTAGCAGTAGTTATGGGGCTAAAAAGGGAGATCGAGATTTATGGCGTTAAATGTAGTTCCCCTTGTAATGTGTAGGGTAGGATGCCGACTTGGCAGATTATGATGATACGGGAGCTCGTAATCAGTATATAAGATTGGTGTGAAGGATGCATAGCAAGTGTCGTGGGTAAAATAAGAAGGGGGAGGCTAGGGTGGTAGGAATTCCTGACTGCGGCCATGTTCACTAGATGGCTTAAGACCACTTCCCTGGCATCCTCACGTCGTGCCTAATACATTTGGGTCATCGTATAGATGTATAGGTAGAATGTCATTTTAGGCGGGATCTGTTGTTATTTTAACGTTCTATAACGGAAAGGCAGGTCGATGCCAATGTCAAAGGCGGGCAGCTGACAAATGGACCAGAAGGACGTAGAATTGGCGCAGGCATGATGAGTGATGCGTCCGCAAAAGTTGTAGCCGCCACCTTCATTTGCATCCCAAGCCCCAAAAGATGAAATCTAGCAAGCTCTAGGAAATCTTGGTGACAGCCAATTGCCCTTTCTCCTCGTCCTCTAGCTCCAAAAACCCACCCACCTCTAATTTATTTTTCCATTTTCCGCTCTCGTACCTTGCAAGGATCATCGTCATGCGAAGCACAGTCTGATGGCTTGAACTATGCTCAGCTATCTCGGAATCAAGCGGTGTAAATGTCCATCTACCAAATGCCCAGTTAAGGATATACCTATTAGAATGATGAGTTGGAGTTGTTGGTGTGGCATTTTCGTCCTCTCCGGAACTCCGCACCATCGGTGATGTCGTCAATACTGACTTAATCCGATATACCTCGTCCTTGGGGGCAGAGTTTAAGAGGGCCATCAGCTTCGTCGCATTGACAATAGCTCCCGCCCGTCCAGAAAGGGTGATAGAAAGTACCTCGACCTCGTTCTGGTGGTCATGGTTGTGATGGTGGCCGTCGTATGTTTGGCTGTTTTTATTTATGGTCGGCTCCTCGGTCAGAGCCGCCGCCAATCCACCGTCAATACCAAAGATAAGGTCAACAGGAACCTGCCCTCGGTCGCTCTTAACCCAGGCTACATCGACCTCGAGGTCACCAACCCGATCGAGGCAGTCATCGAACTTACGATTGTCGCAATTCTCCCACTTATTGAAGACAATTAGGTCGGTATATCTAGCCTGTATACGCGCGGTATAACTCGTATCTTCGTACCCTTTCCAATTCTCGACATCGATTACGCTGACGACACCGTCTAGAGAGTAGTGGCCCGTCTCGCGAGCTAGGCGATTCACCTCAATCGCTAGCGTAGCCGGGAAGGCGGAACCGGAAGTCTCGATGACGATGCGGTCGGGGCTGACGTTGGCGCGCAGCTCTTCGAGGGCCGTGCTGAGCTGACCTACGAGGTTGCAGCATATGCAGCCATTCAGAAGTTCTTGGACGCCGGAGACAGCACTCGAAGAGGCAAGCTGCGAGTCGATGGCTACGTCACCAAACTCATTTTTGAGCAGGGCAAGACCGTAGGAAGGGTTGGCGGCACGGAGTTGGGGCACGAGGTTTAAAAGGAGCGTCGTCTTCCCTGAACCTAGAAAACCAGTAACGATGGTTATGGGTATTGGGGCCATTCTTGTATGTAATAAGACCGCAAAAGGGTAGGCATATATCTACGGCATTGAGGGGTATTGATCTACCTAGCCCAGGTGCATACCAAGTACATGTGCCTACCTAGGTAGGTAGTTTAGGTATTAGATGTGTGCGTTAGGTACCTAGTTATGTTGGTAAAATAGAGTTCCAACAATTATACATATATATGTATACGTATTGATTATCATGGTGCGGCGTATTGATTAAAAACCGCAGCACTATGTAATAATAAGCTTAAACCTGCGGCATTATCCGCTTAGCGGGAAAATCACGTTACCTAAAATACCTAGGTATACATGTACCTAAAACTATGACGTATACCAGCAAACTGCCCGACTACTACTACTAAACAACCCTATAACCTAAAGTAGTATATTGACAAGACCAATAAGTAACAACGAGTATTCTATTGTCCTACGAAATGCATGGCAAAAGCCGAAATTTAGATATTCATAAGAGCATAGCATGCCACGCAATCGACACTTACCCCACAACGCAAACACAGACACACAGACAAATATACAGGGGCCTATTATTAGATTAAGACGACTGTGAACTTTTATCATGTTAGATGGTCTAATCATTGGATATCTATAGATTGAGCTAACACACTACACATTGGTGCAGTTGGGTAACCCAGTTTGGAAGAGCTTCGAGTTCTTGATGTATATTGGAAGGTACTCTTGCGTCGTGAAATTGGCGTCGATGTAGTAAGACACGTCGCTAGAGCTGTAATTCGAACCAAGCATCGCCAAAAGGTCGTTCTCAATACTGCGCCCGGCAGCGGTTAGCCAGCCAATATCTTTTCATGTCTTAGTTGATGTACTTCGGAGGAGACTCACAAGTCAACAAACACAACGTCAACAACATCCGCACTACTGCTCTCATTGAACCCAGCTACTCCTTGGAAGAAATCGGGAATACTGTAGTGTGGTATTGCAGTGTGTACAGTATCATCGCCATCCTCGCCAAAGTCGTCCTTGGTTGTGTAGCCGGGGACTAGATCGACAACCTGGCGTCTCGTAATGCTGGGAAATCCATGCGACCACTCATCACGTCCGACTTTGGAATGAGCCAATGGCGGATCAACGCAGATGTCCCGCTCAATGGTCATAACGCCAAGGTTGCGTTTCTCACTAGCACCCCGATTATTAAGCAAGTCGAGCAAATTAGCAGCTACCTCGTAAGGTACGCTAGGGATATGTAAGAAGATGTCACGGAATGGCGAAACAATGAATTGGTCGTCGTACGTAAAAGGTCCCTTGTACATATCAAATCGGACGCTTCCTGTGTTGGCGATGATATAGCGTGGTATGTCTTTGCGGGATTCATTGACAACAGCTTCTGCTAACGCATCTGACAGTAGAGGGAAGATGCTGTTGGAGCTATGGAACGGAGCACAAGTCATGCAGTAATCCTGCGGCACGCATCCGTAGACCTCGCCGAGGTTGAGCTGTTCCCTGTCCTTCGTAATCTCCGCCGTAACGGCCAAGCCGTTATTGTAATCGAAGTTTTGGTCGTACCATGTTGCAGCATGGTACTCAAATGTCCGGCGATTCCAGTCCAGATAGCGGCGGGAATATACGAACGGAGAGGTAGAATTCTGAGTCGCCTTACGGGTCGGGTTGGGGACACCAGCAGGGCCAGGAACGATTCCAGTATAGCCGCTGTTGGTGCTGTCAAACCCGGACATCGAAAGCCAACCTAGAGTTTCACAGTAACGGCCTAAAGAAGCATGAGAACCGGTCGAATATTAGTGATGATATAACTTACCCGACTCGATCGCTGTGCTACTAGAATCCAATACGGCAAAGTCTCGAATGTGGGTGTGTCCTCCAAGAAATTGGATCGGGGTGTTGGGATGCGCTGCACGAATTGCGTTGAAGACGGTGGGAAATGTGCTGATGTTATCAGTCGGCCGTGCAGGGTTATGTCCAATAACGACAAACAAATCAACAGGCTCTGGACATTTGAGGGCATCTAAGAACCATTGCTGTGTTACCATGGTCTCTGCCGGTATAACCTTGGAGACATTTGTGTTGCCTACCGGTTGTTGTTAGTCGGAAGCGTTCACTATCTAGAACGTCTCAGGCATCTCGTCTTACTAGTAAAATCGAACAATACACCAAACGCCATGATCCTGAGCCCGTGTTGAGTTGTGAAATATCTGTGAGTGTTACCGATATACTGCCAATCCCCTGTTTGCTGGTTAAGTATCTGGACGTTCGATGTAAGATACTTCTCACCCCAGTAAGTCGAGATCTCATCCAAAGCCTGGTAAGCGACGTTGGCGAGATACACTATTTGCATGAGACACATTGATCAGCCATCTCAAACCCCGTGTTCTAAAAATGACCATGTTGCGACGGGAAGACGAAGAGAATTACTAGGTATTCGCAATGAGGACTTTTGGGAGCTAGATGCCTCAAAAAGGGAAGAAAATAAAAATGAGGAGAAGAAAAAAACGCCCGACACGTTTTATACGCACATTCGTGGTTACCTATGGTTAACAGGTCGTATTCAGCATGGTCGAAAATTTTCATGGAAACCTCGCCGTCTGGCGTAGTGGCGTCGCTCAGCCCGGCTCCATCATGTAAGTCACCTAAGAAAAGGGTGTTGTATGAGCCAGCTCGGTGCACACTATGGAAGTATCGGGACCAACTAACCGGTGTCGACCAGAAGAAGGTCGACTCCCATATTACCAGCTTGGTGTTTGAAGCGAGTTGAGAAGGAGACAAAATCACCCCAGTCGCTGCCATAGTTTTGTTCTTTCAAATGGCCCTCTAACCATCCGTGCGTGTCGGTCTATCCGTTGATAAGCCAATTAACTCTCCGTATTTCATGCGATGAGGATATCTCAAGCTTCACTTACGGTATGTAGGAAATTCAATTGACCCCACTGTAACATTGAAGGTCAGTATCTCGACTTCTCTCATTTTCTGATGCATGACTGCCACTGGCATACTAACTTCCAATGCTCTCGTAGGCCCATAAGTAGCGTTAATGGCACCTGGTTGCATGCGTTTGATATGTCGAACATGTTCGACATGGCCCACCGAGCCATCGCAGCCGGAGCAGGCCAATGTGCGGCCAACAAGTAGGGAGGCTCCTAATACCGAGGTGGCGTTGGAGAGACGCATCTTGGAGAAAGTAACGAAAAAAAGCAAGATGATGGACCAATCATGAGTTTCCACTCGCCAAGACAGTCTAGGGAAGTCCCAGCAGATCCGAAGCAGATCTAACAGGACAATGGAGTATAAATACAAGCTGGCGAGCTGACGAGGTGTTGGCCTACCTGCCTGCCTGCTTACCTACCCTGCTTACCCAGCCTCCTGGCCTATAGTACTGGGATCGGCATTCACCGAGATTATGATGGCGCCTCTTATAACCACTGGAGCAGTGGAAAAGCCAGGATGTAGCACGTGGTGCGTATTGCCTACGCCCGATAGAGTAGGTAGGTAACTAGATCATCGCACAAACAGGGTTACATCATCAGCTTGCATGCATATTTTTCTATTCTTTATCATTAGTCTTCCCTTCAGGAACGGCAAGTTTGATAGACGCTAGACTCATTCGTGTGTATTCCGTTACTTCCATTCAATCGTTATACCCACCTGGGTAGGTAGGTATTATCAAACTACATGAGAGTGATGACCCCAATGTTAGAATCTAATTAGAATCTAGTTTTTGCGTAGGATCTTGTTCATATAAGTGGGTTTATGTCTCCGTATGATTTCCGACGCGTCCTCGCGGCATTACCTATCCTATTCTCATAATTGGATATTACTAACGTTCTTCATCGCTTCTACTATCTCGGGCCGGGGTGTTGAAGGGTGAGTTCTCTCTCCTTCGTCGTTATCCGACTCCACCTCCGTTTGTGCTTGTTCAACAGCATCCTTAACGCATAGCTTGCCTTGTATTTTATGCGATCTTGCTCGATATGCATTGACGGAAGTATCTTCAATATAGAACGCTAGCCTCTCCGGTGCTCCTGCGTGAGGTGTTTGTTGATATCGTTCTCGAGATGTTGAATCGTCTCTCTAGCCTTGTTCTCATCTATAACATCATCTACGAATACCGATATGTTACACCATGTACGTGCTTCGCCGCTGACTTCATTCTGTTCGTTTCCCCACTCCTTGTCGTTATTGTCATCCCCACGGTTGTAGCTACCAATGCCGAATGCGACAAACAATCGGTCCTTCTGAGAGATATGCTCCTCTAATAGGTCGTTTAAGTTATCCATTTCCTTTATTTGGTTTTTTCTTTCTTTCTCACGCCATTCAAATTGCTCATGTTAATTACGCATACCGTTGTGTATCCGACTGGTAATTGCCCATAAGATATGAGAAAAATGGGGATAATGAGCTTGAAATATGTAGCAAGATACAATCCATGTAGTTCTCTGGCTTTTGCTGTCGTATTGACTGACTAGGTGCCTACTCTTTGTCGTATATTGTGGATTCTAAACCTGTAGAATTGAAAGGAAGTGATGAATAATAATGTTGAAAGCTAAGCCGAGACGGCGACCAACAAGTAAACAGCACAGGGACGCCGGAAACGGAACGTGGCATACATCAAAGATGCATCATGCAATACCGTGTAAATTGCCTAGCAAAAATCACTGACGGGCCCGAACGGTTATTGAAACCTTTATATATTAATAACAAATTTACTGAAAGACTAACAGAGACGACGAAGCACGAGAACCAAATGTACACCGTAAGCCTCCCGACATGCTTGAAAAATAAAACCCGAAGAATATAGCAGACTGTACTGCTCGTAAATCATAAAACATGTCCAAGAAGTCTGAATCGATACTTTGATCTAGCCATAAAGTGCGATGAAGGACGAATACTCATCTTTCAAGAACCAAATATTATGTTTATAGAAGAATGAATTGACCAGCCACAAAGGCGAGAGCGGAGACAAGCGCGAACGTGTCCCTGACGGCGGGCGCGCCAGCGGTAACAACGGCGGGTGGAGGGATGGAAGTGCCATTGCCACCTGGGTGGTGAGGGCCACATGAACCCGAGCTGCAGCCAGATGGTGAGCCAGAGCCGGGGCATGGCCCAGGGCCAGAGCATGAGCTAGAAGGGCCGGGCATGCCACCCTTAGGTGTGGGGCCAGAGCCGGAGCCAGAGCCTGGGTGGCCGCCAGAAGGAGCAGATCCTGAATCATGGCACGGTTCGGAACCAGAGCAAGACCCCGATGGACCGGGCGCACCACCCTTTGGCGGAGAACCTGCGCCAGGAGCCAAGCCTGGGCAAGGACCGGGACCGGAGCACGAGCCAGGCTTGCCACCCTTATCACCCGGGCCGCCGGGAACAACAGGAACAGGGACGTTCGCTGGCCCAATAGGGTGAGGAACAGGATGTGGAGAGCCGTGTGGCACATGTGGGGCAGCTGTGATGGTAGCGGTGACACCGTTCCCGGTGATGCTAAAAGAAGGGCGGCCGACACCAGTGGGTAAAGCACCGGGGCAGGTAATTTCGATCTCGTGAGGCTCGCAGGCGTGGCAAGCCACGGTGGTAACTACAAATCCTGGTGGGATGGTGGGCGTCACATAGTCGGCCGGTTTACCAGAGCAAGTCTCGGTAATCGTGTACGTGGCCATCCACTGGCTAGTCTCACAAGCCGCTGGTAGGACGGTTTCGTAGACGGTTGTGTACATGCTGTGTGTCACTGGAGACAGCGTGGTACGCGTCACAGGAGGGGGAGTTGGGTGAAGTACCAAGGGAGTAGCGAACGACAGGAATTTGGCGGTCGAGGTAGCGTTGAAGTAAGGCATCTTGACGGCTTATTCGTGAATACAACGGATTATACTGAGCGTTGAATTAAGAGACCTGGTTGGTGCCGCCTGAAAACAAAAAAACGAGTGTTGTAGCTTAGATTAACTATATCAAAAATGAGTGTGGTGGCCGAAGAGGCTGGTAAAGAATGACTTGTTAATAAGGAGTGACTGAGAACGATTGACTGATGATGCTTCTACGCAAATTCAAACCTGGTGAGCTGGGAAGCCATGGCTATTTTATAACCAGGACAGGCATAAGCATCGCATAGGCTAGGCGTGTCGAAATATTACAACCAGTATACTAGATGAGAGTTATAACAGAGACTGGCTATCGTCGAGTTGAGTACGAAAGAATGACTTGAGATTGCGAGACATTCCTAAGCTGAACCATGAGGCTTACCTGACTGACAATGAGTATATTAAACATTCGGGGATAAATATAATAGGCTTGACCCAATGCTGGTTCGAGACAATTAGCTGAGACTAGTCATATTCTCTCATTGACGATAGACATGGGCACAATATTAAGCGAGGAGAATATGCAAGAGCTTCGAGGCAGCGCGTCTAGCGATCCCGTTTAGTATTGGCACGCAAATTCAGGAATGCGAATAGCATTGCGAATGACATTGGTGTCGGTATTATGTTCCCTCGTTTTTCGACATCTCCCGCACACGGTCCGAGGACGTTCGGGAGACTTCCTAATAAGGAATTCTAATCTCCAGAGTAATTCTCATTTTGAGAATGGCAACACATCACTGTGATATTGGTTCGAGGTGACGGTCGTGGCGACTCTGTGAATACTTTTTGATCTGAAGAGAAAAAAAGAAGAAGAGAAAGAATGGAACGAAAATTTTAATCTACAACTTTTATTCTACGCTGTACGCTTGCGCTAGCTGGGGCTAACTACATCTGTACTAGCTAGTACATGTATATTACATAATGCATAGTGTACTATCCATTCTAGGTCAATCTTATCTATACCCATGTACATACTACCTTACAGTAGATACTGTATTATGTAAGTGATTCATATATACCTAAGGTGGGACATCTTATCACTTATTAAAACCGAGCTTATTTTATCTGGTACACCTATCCCTGTTTACATACCTGCATACCTACCTAGGTACGTAAATTCGTACCTCTCAATCCCACCTACATTCTTTTCGAGCCCACGAATTCTTTAGTCAACAAAATGCCAGCCGACGACTACACCTCAATACGAGGGGGTGGTGCTCTCAAGCTTAAAGGTGGAAAAGTGCAAAAGGCAAAGAAGAAAAAGAAGACCAAAGCTGCAAGCCCCGAGCGCTCCCTCTCCATTGCGGACGAGTCTAGCGTTATAGAGGCCGAAAAGATTCAACGAGGCGATGGCAAAGACGAAGAGGATACCAAAGTAGTCGAACACAAAACCGAGGCTGAGAGACGACATGAAGAAGCTAATAGAAAGAAGGTACATACGCCCCCCTTACTCCCCTGACACGACATTTGCATAGCCTCTACCTGATCCTAAGCTAACTTCAACGCCACCATTTAGATGTTAAAGATGCTAGAGGATCCTAAGGTTGCCTCCGAATTTCGTAAGACCCATAAGGAGAGAGTCGAGGGCCTCAATACCTACCTCTCCAAATTAAGCGAACATCACGACATGCCCAAGATAGGCCCCGGATAATTACCTTCTCGCGGAAGCGGAGGCAGGCAAACAACGAAGGCGGGGGTGGAGAAGAGGAAAAGGAAAAGAGAGAGAAAAAGAGGAGACCTTCAGGCGAATGGACTGTTTTTACTATATCGGAGTATACCCTGTTATGGCGTTTTTTATATAAATTTGTTTTATAGATGACCCAGTATTCTGCTATTAAAGATTTGACAACCTACCTCAACCTCCTACATAATATTCTCTATAAACTTCCCATCCATTCATAAAGAGGGTTACGAAAAAGGGATAAACTGCCGAGGCCATTCCCCTAGAAGAACTATCCATACCCGCCAACTAGGCCTAGGAGCCGACGAAATCAAACCGAACGACTTACACCGCGTTTAGTGGATAGAACCAAATAACGAAATAGCTATCTTCGTTAAGAATAGCCTTAGTCTAGGAAATGCTAATGTCTGTGCGTCTTAGCATCTCTTCCAGTTGACGCGATATATATTCTTCCCCTACTATTTTAGTCTACCCGTAATGAATCATGGAAGACCTTAAGAAATGAACCCAAAAATTGTCCCGTATGATTCATTAATGCCACACATGTTCCTTGAGTCCAGAGCTGATCCTTTACCTATGCCAATTTCCAAAAACCATTCAAAGGAATGTAAATGCCGTCAAAATCCCATGTATGCAATGTCGGCGCCAAATATTAATACCCCACTCTCAACATGCTATCAACGCCAAAATCCAGACTGCAATTACGAAATAGAATGGCCGAGACGAGAGTCGCTATACGAGAAGCACTCCACCAACAACGGCACCAATGATAACTTCCACGACGGGCTTTCTAGCGAGCGCAACAGCGATCCCGGACTGCAAACTTCCTGATGAGTCAGCCGTAGTGCTTGCTCCTTCAGCTGCCCCAGGAGTAACAACCTCAACCGATGTAATCGTCGTCTATAACTTCTATTAGCTATTTGATGCGTTTCGGGCTAGCTTAAAGCGCCAGGGCACATATCGTGGGCTTACGCCGGCGGGATAACGAAAATAAAAAACAGCGTCGACAGCAAACATTAAGAAAGCGAAAAATGAAACCTGAGTGTGACGTACCTTGGCACCTCCAGGGAGTGTCGATACGAATGTAGAAGTCTGAGTTGGCCGTGTGGTACTAGCACTGGAAGTGCTTGTAGTTGTCAAGGTTGAGCCTGCACACTTGGTTAGTTCACTAAACGTCCATATATGGAGCATAGTATCGGTTAAAGACTAAATTTCGGGCAAACAGAGAATCGGAAATTAGGAAGCTGGGAAATGAGAAGCAAGGTTAAGTGCAAAAGCAACAATTTCTTGCTGAACGTACCCCTAGAAGAATGAGGGGAAGAGGTAAGAGTAGAAGGAAGCGAAGAAGTAGAAGATGGCAGTGTTGTGATTGCGGTGGTGGTAGTTACTAAAGGCATGTCGGTTGAAGAATCGACAGACGTACCGGAAGAACTCATCCCTTGGGTGGACTCCGACGTTGACGTAGTCGAAGATTCGGTCTCTGTCGAGGTAGTCGAAGTCGTCTCAGATGTTGTCGTATCTGTGGACGAAGTCGGAGGTACCGAAGTCGTGTCTTGGGAAGAGGTTTCTTGGGTTGTGCTAGTTTCACTTGTAGAGGTTACAATGCTGGCGTCTGAAGATGTGGAGGACGTAGCCGATGTGGTATCGTTGCCAGATTGCTGTCTCTTTGCCATTTGGACAATAGAGGTTGCTAATTCCGGATCATTCGAATGAACAGCCTCCATTGCCGAATGGTCAGAGTCGTAAACGCCGTGTCTATAGGTAGAGGGGAAGTAGGCGTGGAGGAACTCGTGGAGAGCCTGAGGTGATGCTGAATTCAACAGCCGCGAGAACGTTGAATCATCACGATGAACGGCCAGGTTAATTTCACCTTCAGCCGAGTTCTCGCCAGAAGGCGGTTGTTGCTTGAGGACGGCATTTGCTAGTCCGGCCGTGACAAGTATCCCGAAGAAGAGGGTGAGGAGGAAATGCCGAGCTGAAGGCATATTTTTTACCATACGATATCGCAAGCAGGACGACTCAGTGGATGTGGAGGTCACCTTCTCACCCAGAAGGTTCTTTTCAGAAAGATCCGGTGTCATTTTAAAAGAAGAGAGAATTTGGGTCGAGAGACGGATGTTTAAAGAGAAGCCTACTGGATCAGGCCGAGAAGCGAAAGAGCTAACGCAGACTACTGCACAAGGTGCTAGAGGAGTGGGCGATAATATTTTGGGACGGCGACGACTACTTCGGTACGGTACTTCGGAAGACTCTAGCGATATGTATATTCACTGGGTTTGCCGCAACGTAGTTACAAGGAAGGTCGGTACCACACGTAAGTATGCATGAAGTTGCACAGCGAAAAGAAAGAAAGGAAAAAAGGAAAGAAAAGTTGAGCGAACCCGGGCAGAGCAGCGGGACGAGGACCAAAGGCCAGTGAGAAATCCCGAAAACGAGGGTACAAGAGATAGTTGGGCAGTAGTAGCCTATCGAAGGTACCTTCTACTCAAACCTGGGATAATCTGCCGGATGCTATGGAAAGATCAAAGTCATTAATGGAGCTATGGAGAGATAGTTGGACCAAACACGGAAACCACAAGATATCGTCGTGGCTGATGGCTTGATCTCCAGAGTAATAAAAAAAAAAAGAATAGAGTGGGACTCCAGATTCTGCTGCATGTTTTTACAGTATGGTTCTACCGTGCTTTTCTATATTACCCAACACTGTACGATGTACATAAGCTGAACGGATGTCGGGTTCGTGTTGAGCCAGAGCTGATTGCTCAGTTACGAGAGCTTGCAGCAAAGCGAACAAACATCAGCCTCCCTGAGTTTCAACTAACTAAACCCATCTTACAATGCGGATACATAAACGAAGACCCACGCCGGTCAACCAACCATATTCGAGTCTTTGGAGCAAGGGGACCCCCTCTTGTCGCAAAGAATCTATATTTTCCACGCGGATTAGATCCTCCGGCACTGTGCTGCCGCACTATCAAGATTTAGTACTTGGTCGGGAACCCGTACTGTGGTCATGGTGACGTCGCCTCCTGTTGGGAATACGAGGTTTTCGTTGTTTTGCCAACACCCCACCGTCGTATTATGAAGCCCATTATGTAATATTCATCTGATGGGGATCTAAGATACGAAACATGACACTATAGCTTGTCCATTGTAGTCTCGTATAAAATATAGTGACAAACTCCATATTGACCATCAAACGAGGGTAGTAGGCCAAGCATGTTATATGCACCTACATGATTATAATACATACATATCCTATATTTTATATTTTCATTTGTTTATTTTTAACATTGGTTTCAATAAGCGCATGCTGTTACCATGGTTCACTCATTTCAATTCTTACGAACTAATGTAGCCTCAATAAGTAGGAAGTACATATACATGAAATCATTCAGCAACTGCATATAATATTGAAACCTACACACAGTGTTAAGAAGTTCTAACTACAAGGACTAATATAACTAAGCTTAATATTAGATATTTAATGGTGTCTTGCCTCTGAGTGCTTATTTTAAGGTGCCAGAGACTAACTCCAAATAGGGCTGACAAAACCAACCATTAGTCCCAGCCCCCTATGTAATTACCTACCTAGGTACATATATAAATACCTAAAGCCTTCATCGTTATCCACCAATTGGAATAGATTCCCAATACATTAAAGTACCTAGGTAGTTTAAACTAAAATTCCAATATAATAGGATATGCCTATTCGAGATGCGTTTTATATACCTAGGTAATGTTTGATATAAGATTCATTACATACCTAGTACGTACCTAGGTATATACACCCATACATATTACCTGATTCTGTGAAGGTTAAAAGAGAAATAAACCTACGATACCTATACTACCGGAGTAACTATTCAGACTCCCCGATGAAATAGAAGACCAGAAGAAAGAAAAGAAAAAAAAAAAAAAAAAAAAACTCTGAAGTGCCCTCTAACTCCTTTGCACTGGATGCAATTTGACCCATAATGGGGCTTTCTCCCAAATTAAATAAACCTTCTGATCCAACCAATCCCCCTCTGTCGCATTCTCAATATCAAAATGCCACATCAGCCTAGCAACAATTATCTTCATTTCCACATAGGCGAGATTTCGCCCAATACAATTCCGTGGGCCAAAAGAGAAGGGTTGAGATGCATCTCTCTTGTCATTGCTAAACTGAGGATCCTCGCCCAACCAGCGTTCGGGAATGAAGGAATCTGGTTGTGACCAGTTGTAAGGGCTTCTGCTCGCCGCGTATATGGGAATAGCCACAGATACGCCTTCGGGTAGATATTCGCCATTTACCATGGCCCCTCCTGGTGGTATGATCCTATGGTGGGGCTGAGGCGAGGGAGGATATATTCTCAGGGCTTCCTCTATACACGCAAGTAGATATCGACATTTATTGACACGAGCGATCGTAATCTCATCGGGATGGCTGAATGCCCCCCGCACTTCGTTCGTTAGAATCTGAAGCACTCGGGGGTTCTTCAAAAGGAGGTAAGTGAGGCCTATGGAGAATGTCGTCAGTACTTGCTTGCTATTATATCACATCTCATATTACCTGATAGTAATGTCGCTGTGGTCTCACTCCCAGCCGAAATAAGCGTAGATGCATTGCCCGTGAGCTGTTGGAAACTCATTTTTCCCGCCTTATAAGCTTCAATCAATTTATCCATAAAGTCTGGTACATCTGATTCATGTTCAAGGCGATGCTTGATTTTTTCCTGTGGGAAAAATGAGTAGGAGACTCACACAGGTGAAGAGGCAATACGCTTACAGTGTTGAGTTGCTGCAGCGTTGATATGTCCGACTTGACGGATGTTGGGATGGCCCATAGCTTGAGGGGTGTTTGGACGAGAAATGGAAGACGAGCAATTGCCTGACTGAACGCCAATAGTTTAGCAAAGCTGAAAAAAACCTCTATCCATTTATGAAGCCGTGAGTTGGTTAAACAATCGAAGGATTCGCCGAAGGCTAGAGCAGAGTACTGGTCAGCGACGCAGTGCTAAGCGAGCTTCCCTGGGGGCTTACTTAGAAATCCGACGAGATCAAACGTCATAAACTATACGCGGTTAGGTCTTAGGTGAATCTTGGGTTGGAGGCAAGGCTGACGATGAACTTACGTCGTACCACGATAGAATATCAATAGGTGCCGTTCCGTTTCTGCTGATTTCTTGTAGCTTTTGAAACAACACCGAGATATATCGTTGCATAACGGGCTCCTGTTCCCTCAATGCCTTCTCCGAGAACCCATGTATCAGCAACTTCCGAATATACTGATGGTAATGCCGATCGGCATTGAGAATAAGGGGCCCGCCCTTTATACCTGAGTGATATTTCTCGTCTTTGGAAAACTCAAGATGGCCGGGTGGTTTGTGACCATATATTTCTTTCCATTGGGCGGGGTTAATGAAAGACAATTCATTGGGAGATGTCCTGACGACTGGGCCATACTGCTCATGTAGCTTAAGGAGATATTTGTGTAACCCGCCTCGAACATAGGGCAGCGCAAGCCACCATGAAGTTGCCGATGCTATTCGGGGACCCGGATATTTCGACAGAGGATGGAAGTATATATTGTATGCGAAAAGACATAGATAGTATGGAATAGGCTGTACACTGTTAGTGACGCGGGCTTACATATGGCTATACATAACTTGCCAGAAGGCATATGCCTAGTGCGAACAGAATGTACTCATGAGTACCAAGTGGCTGGATCGCGTGAGCCAATGTTCCGATGACGGTCATTTTCTCGTCCCATATATGTAGTGGTTATTGAGAGAGGGGAATTGCTTTTTCTTCGATGGAATTTAACTATTTATTGTTGATACCTCACTCTACCTTGGGTTTCTTCTGACCTTTAAATAGTCCCATCATATTCGGATGTGGTTCTTCATAAGGTCTTCATATTTTTTTATGTAGCGGAGAAGTAACCCTATTATGCTACGGCATGGAAATAAAGCTGTCACCGGAAAGGTGAAAACCCCGATTTAGCTGGCATAATTCGATTATATGCCGGGTATGCTTGGTAGCATCTATGCAGGTCCATCTTGCGATCGGTGGAAATGGTATAGCGTGTTGTGCTATAGAGCTCTGCATAAACTATTCTCGGAATTTATTAGTTCCTGATGCAGTTTGATAATAATATGGTGGGTAGGTAATTGATTGTGACTAGATCGTGAATTATTATAGCATACCAATATATGAGATATCATCTATTCCGGAAGAAACTCTTTGAACTTAACACAACCTCTCCCTTTTATTTTTAGAGTAAGTCAAATAGAATATTGGTTTTTATATGTTGATGAAAAATGCCATAACCACCTTTATTCAAAAAAAGATTGATTATGGACATTATCATTAGCTCAAGCTGAGATATTATGTAAAGTGATGGATGGTCCGTGTCCCAAAGAAAAACCTAAGTAGGAATTTCAATTTGGTTTGAAGATCTGTGTTATGTTTGCCACTGCCTGGGTGTTATAGACGATTCCATAGGATACGACCAGTTACACTATTAACCATGCGGCTGCTGCTGTGGATAATTTACAGTATATTGAATTGATCCTGTGCCTATTTCAAATTTAACATGATGGAAATCGATTGCAGTGTTTGAATGAAATTAATTGAGTTGTTAGGGACGTTGTTGATGTTTGAGTTTGAGAGATGGTTGAAATATTACGTACTAGTTTGAATTACGACGACTGAACCTGAAATCTCGAATATATAAGGGGGGTGGTAAGCCACTATCGTCAGCCACATGAATTGATGAGATTACAGGTATGTACTTGTACGAAGTCTATTACGAAAAGGGAATATCGATAAGATAGAAATATACTTGCTTACGACATAACTTAAAAAATACATGTGAATATCCAATTAACTAACCCCTGCCAAAGAAAGAAAGCCAGAAACTTAGAGTCTACCTAGTAGAAACTTAGAAACGCGCGGATCGTTCAATGGAATTTACTCTCTTTTCGTTTCCTCGGATCAGGAACATCGAGTTTGAACCAAGTCTAGTGTATTATTGCATACTACAAATCGCACATAACGTCAACGTCTCCACGACTATCGCTGTCATTCGTTAATCCTTTTTCCTTTCCTTTTTCTTTTTTTCAATAGTTCGACCCGCAGATCATGACGGAAGAAGAACCGACCGTGGCTGCATGAATTACCCTTCAGTTTGCGCCCCAAAGGTGCTTTTTCGACCACCGGGTCTCGATAATGCCTGAGCACCTCAACCCCTCTGAACACGATGCTTTGAGGTTGCTCTCACGATCCCCACATCCTTATCATCGCCAGACCTCCGAATTACTCGACCCATCTGACCGTCTTGCGTATAAGTCCTCGGGGAGAAGCCGTTTCGATGCGCCCTCAGACTCCACCGCCTCAAGAGAAGTCACCCCGAGTAGCGATAGTGGCACCGAGGCCGACGATGAACACTTTCTCAAAGGCCTACCCGCCCCTAGGAGGTTTCGGAAGGGGTTGCGAGGGCACAATGAAGCTCTATCCGGTACTTCGACTCCGATTCCCTCCCCCGCTCTTCTGGAGGAGGAGGCCCGAAGATCGTCGTATAACCTGAAAAAAGAGGCGCATATGGGTAAACTCTCGCCGAGTACCGCCCACAGAGTGCGAAGGAGAAGAGAGATCATTCGCCGCTTTATCGAATTGCTCATCATTGGATTTCTTGCTGTCATCGTTAATACTAATAACCTCGTTCAGCCCATTTGGCGGATATGGAATCGAGGTAAGCATTTTGTAACCAGGTCGCCCAATCAGTATTGCTAATTTAAATGAAGAGCTCTTGGCCGGTCTAGGTATATCGGTAACACTGGCATTCCTATATCCCTTACGAGTTGTGATGTGGGCGTACTGGCACCGATCCCCCTCGAAAAAGATACCGTTGTCCATACCCTCTTCTTTTGACCCGGCACCACTCCTCTATCCACCGGGTATCACTATCCTCGTATCTTTGCTCCTTGCTACAGATAACGAAGCGGTAATGCCTGTGAACATAATACTTGCCATATGTTCTTTGCCGCCGAGTTTAATACCAACTATTTCAAGCGCTGATCTAGGATGCAATCCAGTGCATTGGGCTCTCTCATGTGTACCTCTGCTTCTGAAAGAGAACTCTTGGAGCCCCAACGTTTCCCGAATACATTTTGGGAGTGCCGGTTCTGTTCCACCATCCATTCCACTCGAAAGCGCAACCCTATTATACCCCCTACACCAGAATCTGTGTTCAGTATTGCACGCCCTAACTACGACTAGTCTTCTCGTAGCCGAGTTGCAATTGTTGTCGATCGCACTCATTGACCTGTTACTTCTTTCTTATTCTCCACAAGCGGTCATTCTGAAGTCCATGCTCTGGGTAGGGGGTCTTGATATTCTCGTCTTATGTACTCAGGCGATTAAGTGGGGGATCTCTTTAGCCCGTGTGCCTAAATGGCGTTTCAAAAGGGCAACGACTTCATCTAAGCCGGTTTCAACCGTCCTATCTAGCATCATGTCATGGAGAAGAGTAAGACACGATTTATTCCATGCACCTGTGGATAGTTCGCCTTGCAGTTCGTGTGAGGCTTTTGATGACCCCGAGGACAGTGACGGCCCGGGATCTATGATTCCCAGAATACCTGCTCGTGTACAAACCATGCTCGACGGAGATCATCGTGAGTTCGAGCGAACCTCAACCTCTCATACGAATTCAGCCTTTAAAGCTTCATCTAATATTGCGGAAATTAAGCCTGGAGCAACACCACTTCGCCGACATACTCTGCCGGGTACGGACAACGCCTCTCGCAAGTCACACACACACACACCATCTGGCCGAAGAAAGAGAACTGCTTCTCATTCCGTTCGTGCTTTCTTCTCACTTACCCAGGAACAAGCCACACTCCGGAAGTGGATTTACGCCATATACGTTTATGTGTGCATTCTAGGTGCTATATTCCTCCCACTCCCTTTTTTTGGCGTGACGAAAGCCATCTCGGATGAAGCCCTTCGCGGCCGTGAACCGGTAGGGTGGGCTCTGGGTTATCTATTCGGGGATCTGCCGCAGTTTAGGTGGGAGGTTATCAGTCACAATCTGGAACGATGGATATGCCTTCCACCGAGATTGTCCAATGAATTCGAATACTCCAATTCGATAGGCTGGATCGACCATATATGCCGGTCTTATCTTGGCCGGGCCAACACCCGCCTTGCCTTGAGTGCGTATTTCGCTATTATCATTGCGATTGGACTTACTGTGGTCTTTCGCCTGTCGTCTATTTACGAGGTAGACACGCGGCGAAAAGTCTTCCATTTTATGATGGTTGCCATGTTTCTACCAACGGCTTACGTAGATCCTGCGTTTGCAGCCTTGGCATTATCCATCGTCCTCGCCATATTTCTTCTTCTTGACCTCCTTCGAGCGAGTCAACTGCCACCACTTTCGAAGCCGTTGGCCTCTTTCCTTGCCCCGTATGTCGATGGACGAGACCTGCGAGGCCCGGTTGTTATATCCCACATTTTCCTACTGATTGGATGTGCAATCCCCCTCTGGTTATCGTTGGGTTCCCTCTCGCGTACTGGAATTGGCTATCTTGAGGGCTGGGAGTTACCTGCGAGGGAAGTTAGTATGGTATCGGGCGTCGTGTGTGTAGGGTTGGGTGACGCGGCAGCTTCTCTAATCGGAAGACGTCATGGCCAGCGGAAATGGTTATGGGGCGGTGGCAAGAGTCTTGAAGGAAGCGTAGCTTTTGCCCTTGCCGTCTTCGTTGGACTCACTATAGCACGTGCGTGGCTCCATATTGGAGGATGGTCGCCGGCAAGTGGTAACTCAGATACATGGGGTGTCGCGGCTCAGAAGATGGCAATGTGTGCTACTACAGCCAGCCTTACGGAAGCGGTCTTGACTGGAGGTAACGACAATGTCATCGTACCTGTGGTCCTTTGGACCTGTGCGAAGAGTCTCGGCATATAGTCAAATGCTAGAGGCGGGGATTAAATGAATGATGCTGAGAGTAGGCGTTTGGTCCAGCCGTTTTTGGCGACTGTGCACCGGCATTGGGAAGGATGGTTGGGGCGGCCTAGGTCACAGGTCGGATATACCAGGTAGATTCTGTTGGCAATACTTGAATTATTGCAACGAAGACATGCCGCATTACGACTAATAGAGAGGGAAAGGATAAACCTTGAACCCAGTTGTCTACAGTATGATGGGTATAATATCATGCAAATTGTGACGTGAACGAAACGTAGAATATATGGACTTGAATTCTGGTTAGGTTGCTACTACCTATTGACGATGTCTTGCTCATTCCGGGCCCACGGCTTGGCTCTACTGGTGAATGGAATGACCTAGCGAGCGGCATTGGTTAGCTTAGAAACGGTAAATAGGTAACAATCGTTCAAAGTGACGGATCGCCTGCTCTGCACAAGAAAGGAGATTTATATCTGTGGGCGGGTGGATATTTTTGCTTTTCCTTCTCCTTCTCTACCTAACCTATGTACGGGAGTTATGTACAGGGATGTACACTAGATAACACAGGTATATCTACGCTATGTCGATGAGATTTGATGTTTAACCCACTTCTCAAGCCCACCACGAGCAATAATTTCCTGTACATTTGGAGGCAATTCACCCACCTTTTGACTCCATACTTGGCCACCCTCGCCTTCCGTAACTGTGACCTTGCTCCGTCGAACATCCCAGAGGAATTTCCAGCCTGTCCGTCGTGACAGCGCCTTTTCTCCGTCTGTCCCGGTTCGAAACGTTTCACGTAGTCTCTGTACTAATCTTGGTACCTCGACACCCATCAAGGCGTTGTTGATACTATTACGACTAAATATGTTGCCAAAGCTGCCCGCGACAACAAGCGGAATCTCTTTGGCAAGGATAGCAGTGGCAGCCTGCTCGCGTGAGCTACCACATCCAAAATTAAAACCTGCGACGAGGATGTCGCCTGGCTTTGCGATCTCTCGGAAGTTCTTGTCATAGTTCTCCATGCAAACTTCAGCCATTTTTTCAACGGAGACATTATCCTGATATGTGTACTTTCCCGGGTAAATACCATCTGTGTTTATATTGTCGGCGTCACAGAAAACAATCTCTCCTTCTACTTTTTCAGGAAAGCCAGCAAGAATGTCCGTAAGCGTCTCTTCACCATTGCTGGACTCTAAAGCCTCGCCACCGGCTACGTTTTGCTCCACACCAGATATGATGCTGTCTGCTTGCGCGATGATCTTCTCCAATGCATCCTCGATACTCATAGCTTTGTCTTGCTCGACATTACCGTTGCCCTCGCCAATGATAACTTTCTCCACGCCTTGAGGCTTCTGATACCATCCAGGGCCAGCAATCCTGCCTTGCAATGCGCTAGCAGCGACGACTTCGGGGCTCGCAAGATAGGCCTTGGCTTCGGTCGAGCCCATACGCCCCTTGAAGTTGCGGTTGCTAGCGCTAATGCCGACCTCACTGGGCTCAAGTAAGCCAGTGCCGAGGCCGATACAAGGCCCACAACCGGATGGCAAGGGTTGCGCGCCGGCATCCAAGAGCACTTGCCAATCGCCAGTCTCCTCAGCCACCTGCTGTTCCGTGAGAGACGCAGCAGCGATGTAAAAGTTCACACCGGGAGCTACTTTCGGTTCCGTTCCATTGAGAGCAGCCTCTTTGAATACCCTCGCAGCGGCAGCTAGATCCGAGGCCCTCGAATTAGTGCACGAGACTAAATAGGCTTTATTGAGTTTTATATCCTTCGCTTCTAGATCGCGAAGAGGAGTGGCAACCTTGACAGAATTCGGCCCTGAAACGAACGGTGACAGAGTGGACAAGTTCAAATAGAGAGACTTGGCGTATGTAGCGCCGGGGTCAGTGGTCAATTGGTTTTGGACAAGGTCGTCGATTCTCGTATGGGCGAATTGGTTCAACGCAATACCATCACCTAGGACGGCGGACGTGGTAGCCTTGGCGCGCAACCACGTCTTTAAGACCGAATCAATAGGGAAAAGTCCCGTCAGGGCGCCCCATTCAGTAGTCATGTTAGCAATGGTGAGCCGGTCATCAACAGGTATGCTTGACATGGTTTCTTCGGAGCCGGTGAATTCGATCGCGTGGTTCAGCACGTCGTCACTATTAAATAGACCACACAAGGCAACGATGACATCCTTTCCGGTCACACCGGGGGGGAGAATTCCTGTGAAAGTGACTTTGGCAATCGGAGGAATCTGCCACCAGGTTTTGCCGGTAGCCCAGATGCTGGCCGCGTCGGTTCGCACTATCGGAGTACCAAGACAACCTACACCCCCATACATATTGCTGTGACTATCCGAGGCGACGGTAACAGTGCCCGGCCACGCGTAACCTTCTTCGACCATAATTTGATGGCCGATACCCCTCCCAGCAGGATAGAAGTCGACACCATGTTGCCTAGCGAAATTCTCGATCTGTTGGTATTTTTTAAGATTTGTTTCGCTTTTATTCTGCACGTCGTGGTCGAGAGTCATGACAATCTGCTTGTTGTCGTGGATCTTGGAGGCGCCAATTGACATGAACTTGAGCGCAACGGGCCATGAATTATCATGCGTCATGCAGTGGTGAGGGGATAGAGTGACATAATCGCCTGCCTTCACCTTCTTCCCAGGTGCAAGGCCTAACGAATACCTCTGTACGATCTTCTCGGTAAGGGTTTGCGGGGTCGGGGAGGGCGCGTTGAAGGAAGCGAGTATGGCCGAGGAGGAGGGATCTTCTATCTGAGAGTGAAATGCGCTCTGTGGACGTCGGGGCAAAACTGTGAAAGAGCGGGTTACTGGCGGGCGCATCACATGGTAGAAGGCGTCATGATGGCGACGAGCTGCGAATCCAGCTCTGGTCGCCAGCGTCCTTGTCTAAGTTCGTTATAAGCTGTAGATACCTATGGATATAAATAAATGGATGGCTTGACTTACTATGCAACCACGCATATTTGAGTATAACCTATTATTCTTGCGGCGAGGTCATGGCTTTCAATTAGACTAATTGATATTGCCGTCTTGGAAGAAAATAAGAATCGAGACTTCTATTAATTGTTTTTTCTTCGTTTCTTTATTTTTAATTTTTTAATTTTACTTGTTCGGAGGATATTATTTGAACCTCCGACATCGTTCTCGATTTGGGTAGATCCTGAAGCACGAATTAAATAAGTAAACGCTGATTGGTTAGAAATTATCAAGCAGTTTCAGATGTCTACTTCGATACTTAATAGATGGCGGGGTAGTATAGCTAACAACATTAATATCATCCAGCTCTTCAGCTGTGGCTGTGCTGCATTATGCAGATTGGCGGGTGAGTCATGATGGTTCGTTGAGAAGATAGGTACCGTAGTACAAAGTGTGGGGTTGGAACGATCATTCCGTATTCCGCGTCTCTACCAGTACCTACCTACATAGGTACCTAGGTAGGTACCTGTACGCACTAAAGAAGATGAATTCTTAGGTACATCATACATGGATGTATCTAAGTATGTAGGTATACCTAGGTACCTACTGTAATCGCTAAGAATCTTCACTGAGTTCACCCTAAGGTTCGTCATTAGGCTGCATACATTCCTAGATACATACCTAAACACCCTTAAGACGATACACGTCTCTAATTCCACTCCCTGTCCACTGCCCACTGTCCACTCGCATCCATCTAATATCTTACCTCACCTTGCCTACCTACCTTACAATACCTACCAGCCCAGCCCAGCCAGCCTACTCATTTTGTACTTATTTCTCTCCATGTACAGGCGTACACCTAGATTGGATATCTAAAACATACCTGATTACAAAGAGGTTCTAAGAGAATCTTGAAGAATTGCATTCAGCTTCAGATCCTCTCAAGCCTTCTCATTGTCATATACACCAATTCCTTCCTCCTACTCGACTTTTCACCCCACTCGACGAAGAGAAAGAGAAAAGAGAGAGGAAGAAAAAGAGTCAGTCCTACTGACCATAGCGCCAAACCACTGTACGACCCTGACGTCTTACTCTTCTCTCCCGCTAGAAACCCAGTCCCATTAGGCAACACTGCTGCTTCGCACCATTCCCTTCCACCTGGCCACAACCGTCAAAACGTGGGAACGTGGAAAATTGTCATGTGAAATATTCGGTTTCATACCCATTTGTTATGTTAGATACATGACTTCCTATGAGGTCTTTTATTGTTTTATTGAACAAATGTGACTGTTTCTGAGAGAAGATAAGACTATTTTACCATCCAAGTTTTATTTCTGACACGGAGTTCGGAGTTCGATTACATTTTTTGAAAGAGAACCTACCTACCTACCCAGGTACCTCGTAAATCATGGCGTCTAGCTCCTCGGGAAAGCCGCCACGAGTCCTTGCTTGCGTGAGTTATCGCACCACTCAATATGAGCTCGCCGTCATCAACCCTCATCTCTAACTAACCTGTATAGGTTTTATGTCAAAATAGAAAGATCAAGTGTGACCGCAAGAGTCCCTGTTCTAATTGCATCAAGGTCAGTTGTGCCGGTGAGGTTCTTCTCTCATCTCCAGTCCTGACAGACCGTGCTCAGGCCAATGTTCCGTGTACCCCAAGCACTCCAGCCCCTGCGCGCAAGAGGAGGAGACCCAATCAAGATCTACAGCAGAGACTTGCTCGATGTGAGGAGCTTTTATCCGAATATGCCACAGCAAAGCCTACTGCTTCCACCTCATCCGGCGAGTCTCCAAGCCATGACGAGAGTTGGAAACCCGCCGGGAAACTCATAGTCGACGGCGGTGGCGGCGTAAAGTTCATAGATAGTTTCTTATGGGCTACCATCCATGGTGAAGTAAGTTTCATTCCCTCCTGCAAGTTCCCTTTCGAGGTGTAGGTCCTTATAAGTACGGTATCCGATGAAATTTGATAACTTTGATTTTAACTCCTTCTTTTGGTCCGAATAGCTCTCGGCAATGCGCGAGATACTCGAGGATGAGGAGACAATAGACGACCCCTCTACGCCAGCCGATTCACAATCTTCCGATCTCGACGCAGGCTTAATATTATCAGATACTTCCAATATTAATTTACAAGAGCTACATCCGCAACCAGCCCATGTCTTCCGGCTATGGCAGATTTTCCTCGAGAGAGTCGACCCAATAACCAAAGTTATACACGTCCCTACGGTCCAACCTCTTCTCGTTGAGGCTGCGACGAGTAGGGCAAATATACCTAAGAACATCGAGGCCCTCCTATTCTCCATCTATCTAATGGCGGCGGTTTCTTTAACTGACGAAGAATGCGTGGAACGATTTGGGTACAGCAGGGAAACCGCCTATAACCGCTTCTCTACTGGTTGTCGATCTGCCTTGATGCGCATCGGTATCTTGAAGAACTACGATCTCGTAGTCCTACAAGCCATGGTCTTACTCCTGGTATGTACCAGCGCCTACCTCCTGATCTGAATCTGACCTCGACTCACATTCGCTCTTAGTTCTCCCTTCCCGGTCGTTACGACCGCCACGCAGCGTGGATATTAAACGGTGTAACGGTAAGAATTGCGCAGAAGATGGGGCTCCATAGAGACGGCGAATTCCTTGGGCTCCCTCCATTTGAGACCGAGATGCGGCGGCGCATATGGTGGCGTATTATTTTACTTGACGCCATGTATGCGCTGGCGTCTGGCCTCGGCCATTCTCTCCTTCCACGTTCGTGGGATACTAAACCACCCCTAAACATTAATGACTCAGACCTATATCCCACCATGACAACAATTCAACCCCGAGACAGCCCAACAGACATGATCTTCTGTCTAATATGTTGCGAGATCGCGGCTGTCCTAACTGACACACCCGACCTCCATCTTGTCATCCTGCAGAATGAGACAGGAGCGAACGCGCCGGATCCCGATCGAGTTGAAAAGGCATCTCGACGTATCGACGAGCTAGACAGATCTATGACAGAACTTCTCAATAAATATAGCGACCTCTCAATGGGCCCTATCCATATATTAGCGACCGTGTCTAAAGCAGGGATGATTGACAAGCTTCGGGAACTCATTCGACCGATGAGGGACCAACCAGAATGGGGTACCGAAATCCTATCTTTCAAGGATTATTTATTCAAATTATCACTCTCCACAGCGGAACAGAACTTGATCATGTATCGATCACCTCAAACTAAGGGTCTTTTCCTATGGTTTAGTACGTGCTGAAAGGTATCCCTCGTCGTCCATCCCACCCTTTGCTAACGCTTCTAGTGATGTCTCATTTTCAATCCGAAATTTTTACATACATGCTTGGGCAATTATGCTGTCGAACGTCCGGGCAATTGGTGGAAAGGGCATGGGCGGTCGTGGACACCGTCTACGAATTTCACATGGAGCTCTATGATCTCTCAGTCAAAGCGCATTTGGCTTCAGCAATATTCGCAATCCGTGCTTGGAAAGTGCGGGAAAGAGTGCTACGAGAGACAACTGGTTCCAATCCAGAGACGCCAACTTATATACAAAAGCTGCAACAGCTCCTACCACCTGATGAAGCCAAGCACACGCGTATTGATGAGCCTCCTGACTTAACGAATTTAAGAGTTAGCCCGGAACCTCCACAGCCCATTGTAGATGTCGCCTGGGATCAGATGCTCGGATTTGTTGACGCGGGATCTATCGAGTGGGGGGATATGTTTGCGACACCCAGCGGTGGACAAACGCAACCGAATTACGGGGGATACGGGACAGGATTCGGGAGCAATGGGATCAATTGGATGTAGATGCTCCCAGTCAAATGAGTCTTTTCGCTTTGTCATTCCAAGGGTATCCGAACAGGATTCTTTGTCCGCTTTGGCTCGGGATAGCGTCGTCGTTCCAATCATCGGAGGTCTAGCGATGGGAAATGCGCTTTGTCTGCACTCCGAGATATTGCGGACCGGAAACATACATACACAATAGGTTAGTTAATAAATGAAACAAGGAATCAGCTGGAAGCTAACTACGCGGGTTGGGCAACCCGACCAGCCACTAAAGTGAGTGGTATGATGCGACACAGCAGCGTGGCGCTGGAACGTTTTAGCTATCCCGGTATCTACCTCCTTAACGGTCGCAGCAACTTTTCCCCTCAGATCATTTATTTCATTGTATACCTAGGTAGAACCAATAAATATTACCCACCTCCCTAACAAGTGTCTCGGTATTGAGAATGATTGGTAAGAAATTCACTCGTGGCGCACCATGATGGAGGGTGCCACTCGGATATTAAAGATGAGGTTTGGTCTCGGATCGTAGTACGTCTCTTAACGTACCTAGTACTTAAGAGACCTAGAAAATCAAGTAGAGTGTCTATAAACCGGGTACATAAGTACTTATAATAAATAAAAGGGGAAATTATATACAAGAAAAGCCTATTTCTATTGATCGAATTATATAACCTGATTATGGCCATGCTGTTCCGACGAGAGAGGAAAAGGCAGTATCCAGCTGCCGAGGACTCAGGACCAACTCCAAATGACGCACCCCTAGACAAGACAGAAGCACAACAGGATATGCCTCGGCCAAGCCAAATAACACCTGACGAGGAGAAAGTCAGTTACCCCGAGGGTATTCAACTTGTCATGATAATGGTCTCAGTTTTCGTCTCTATGTTTCTTGTTGCGCTGGATCGCTTGATCATCTCTACAGCAATACCTGTCATTGCGGACGAATTCCATTCCCTACCCGATATTGGTTGGTATGGTTCTGCTTACTTATTGACCACTTGTGCTTTTCAACTTCTATTCAGGAAAGTATCTTCCTTTTCCCCCGTAAAAGGCAATTTCCTAGCAACTATTTTCCACACGTTTGGACAGGACGAGATGGTCAATGTATATCCAAGTTGGTGAAGCAGGATAGGGGTATCGTGCCCACGTATGTTCACTCGACTCAAAAGCTATAACTAAGATGAACTTCGCTTGGTAAGATTCCATTCTCACATAGGTATCTAGACATTGAGGACACCCTCTTATCCCGCTATTATTTCCTACCTTACGCTTTCTGTCTTAGGCGATCCTGAACCTCCCAAGCGCATTGTGTCTTAACAAAGCCGGTTGATCGGCAATCACAAAGCCCTTGAAACAAGAAACAAGGACGCGTGAGACAAGAGCTTTCTTCGATTGGGTGCCATAAATATCTAGCTAGCCAGATGCTGTCGCTCGCTAAGCTAGAGCGGACCGTCTCATGTGGTCTAACCATACTGAACCGAATTCTCGAGTCGAATCTTCACCGTATGCCACTCGGATAGGCAACTAAGAATATATAGGGTACCCAGGTATATAGTTCGTCGCATATTTCACCCTTTATAGTTATTTCGACTACCATATCCCCTTTGGGATCCACCTCTTCTCGGGAGGCCAATTCCCTCTGATAGAAGTAAGGTTGTCGCTTGAATCGGAATTATAAAATGCATGCAGACCAGACTCCAGCCAATGGAGATAGCGATTGGACGTTCATGTACGTTTTGCTCGGCTTAATACCAATCTTCTTCGCTGTTGTAGCAGTTTACTCGGTGTGGCGCGATGGTTCGGTCGAGTCACAGAATGATGACCTCGAGACAGCAAGGGGTTACGGATTCCAGCAGACATGGAACCCAATGAACCGAAATATGGCGCGTTCTGAACGGATGGGGGTCTCTACGACGACTTCCCGAGGTAAGACGACGCCTATAAAACCACCAGAGTCTAGTAGAGACATAGAGAACGAAGCATCTGGGATCGGGAGAAGCATGCCAGGCCTCGACAACATTCCTCTTTCAATATAATCTTTCTTAAAAGCATTTTGCTTTGATCATGTCGTTATTCTGAGCTGTGAAGTAAAGGCACGTAACAAACTATCCCGTTTTGAGTCCGAGGTACTATATAGATCTCCCCATACGAGACTTGATAAAATAATAGATACTCCTAGCGTAAAGTTGCAACCAATGGCCCTTGAATTTTTTATAACATGGTTCTAGTCGAGGAGGTTCTTTTCACATGCTAAAAGTGGCCGGCGACCCCAAAACAAATCGAACCCCCCCCCCCCAGCAGAGTAATTTGTTATGACGGCTCTTTACAAGAGCAACCGTTCATATTGATTTTCATATGCGCCGTTACGCCCGCCCTTCTAATGCTTTGGTAACACTTATACTTTCAAGCTCCAGTATCGAGTTCACACAAAATTTGAATGTCCGTCATAACATGCCTCATCCGGAATACTCCTAACGCCTTCAGATGCCGCAGTCTAAGATATGGTTCCGTTTTCCCCTGCCCTGAAGTGAAGTGAATTTATACATGAATCGGGGTCCGCTGGGGTATCGACAAGAGGATAGAGGACTGGAGCGTATAGACAGTTAAGGGAAAATTGCTAATTCGAGCACTACTTTGAAAGAGTGCGAGTATCTGAAACCCGGTCGATTCCAAGCACAACAGCGATAGGCTGCATGAACTTGTGCGACCCTTCTAGCCCAGGGACGCAGGTTGCTATCATGGGCGATTGCGATCGCGGCTTCGTTCCCTAAGACGAAGTACAGGGATGCTAGTTGCTCAGTTTGCGTAGCAGTTGTTGTAGGTGATCAGTAATCTTTAGGCTGCCAAATGCCCGCACCGAGTGGTTTGCTAATACCGAAACCAACACCAACAGCGATACCAACAATAAGGAAGGCGATGAGGACTTTGATGATGATTCTATTTCGATGGCTAAGGTGAGCCATACATTGGCAAGACCTGTTGTTAATCTTAGCGGCGCGCGCCTTTTGTCGCCAATGATCTTGTCCAGGCCAGACGGGACAATCTGATTTTGGCCTGGTTGCACCCGTCGTCGTTTTATTGAGATAATCGGAGGATCGGACTGTCACCATTGCCTCGATATCGGTGTCGAAACCATTGGGTGTAGAGGCGGAGCATGGTGTTGACACGTTCGAATTTCGGCGGATTTCCATACTTGCTTCCGGGCTTCTCTCATGCGTGGGCGAGAGGAGTTGTTGGGTAGTGATTGTCAATTGGCCGGGTTTGGATGATTTCTCATCCACCGTCGTAGAAGCCATTTTTTAATAATATCGAGGACGAAAATTGAGCAGTCGCTGGTGTTGAATTTAAAATTGGGAGAGCGTTAAAATATACGCGCCGCGGTCTTTTTCAGTGCGGTCGAATAAGAGGCAAAGTCACGATTTGTATAGCCAAGTAAAGTTGCTCTACAGTACTCTTCTTGAACGGCTCTGGAAAAAGAAGTATGTATGCTGGAAAGCAATGTCAACCAAACCAAAGCAAATTGTAATAGCTCGATAGCAGTTGCTGCTTACTGGAATTCAGAAGGAAGAATGAATTCCACCAAGAGCTGTCTCCAAATTGACAGCTAAGAATTAGACCTTATTCTCTTGTAACTTCCGCTCTCTGCTCTCTGCTCTCTAATTTTGGGGTAGTGATAAGTTCCACCGAAGGAAATCCCAGCCAAAGGGGATATTTAGGGATTAGTGATGGTTCGGCTTTTCAATGTATTGGCGTGTTCTTGATTCTTGGGGTGGCGCTTCGCGTTTCGAGTTTCGAGACGGATCAATGAGATTGATTGAAGAACGAGTGAATCAAATGAAGGTGTGAATGGTAAGAGAACTGGTTACTACCTCCTATGTATGTAGGTGCAGCATACCACCGGATACTACTACCACTACTACTCTACTACTCGTAACGAGAGAGTTCAAAACGAATGGACGTGTTCTCGACGAGTCGTACGTGATCATGCAAGGAACAAGCGAACTTGAACTCTTTGAATGGTAAGATATACAAGAGAACGAGCGAATGGATGAACGCATGTGTTCCAGACCCTGCAGGTGCTAACCTGTAGCAACGTCCTGGGGTGTTGTGGATGCTGTGGATAACAGGGGTTCATTCAATCAAAAGGGGGGAGCAGGGGTATAGCGTGACAGATTTGGTATGTATCGCGGTCCCACAGAAGAGGTCCGACCACTAGAAGGAAGAAAAAAAGAGGGAGTGGAGAGATGTCTAGTGTGCTTGAAGTTGAAGGCGCAGATCAGAAACACTCTATACAGTTTTATTAAACTTTTTTTTTTTTCTGTATTTGAGTTTTCGTATCCTTTTTAAAATTTATGTTCTCAAATAGAATTCGCAGATACATAATATATGTACCATATTATAAATGTGTGTATCTACTTAGGTATTTACATATGTATGTAGGATATTTATTATATATAATGTATCCATATAACATTTTGGTATAATGATAAGTAGATTCTAGCTTGGTTTATAGCTACAACGTTAGAAATATATTACAACCATAAGATATCCTAAAATCGTTTGTAGAAAAGGGGCGAACCGCTGTTTTCAAGTTGAACGTACCCAGGTTAATTAGCGTATTCCGGTGCGTATTAGCGCCTACCCCTCCCTAGAGCTTGGTCCAATTTCATATCTAGAGTGTACAATGATACTAGCATTTGCCCAGCATAGACTAGCTCATGAATACTTGGTATAGTTCATGGATCGAGGCCCTTGGCACTAACCTTCTCATTATGTACAGGGAATAACGGGAGGCTTACCTCAATTGTGTTTCTACTTTAATCAAGGTTTATTGGCAACAAGAAACGAAACGCTGAAGAATATCTTCAATTACGTATGTACAGGGCATTAAAACCCCCCATTGAAAATACACGCCATAGCTATCGGAAAGATGCGAATTATGTATAAACACTCATGTGTTTGTATATCTTATGTAAACGCGTATCCTTTGGAATGGAACAGTTGATCTCGCATGAAGGATTCTTTTCCTGACCTCAGATCTCTTCTCAGCATGCATCCGGGCCACCATGGCACGTTGCATGGCGCCAATGCCGGGTATTTCCGGCATCTTTCCATTAACACAAGCAAATTCTCAATTAAAGTAGACAGAATTCATATGGAGATACTATATATTTAAATTTATATATATTTAAGAAATACAAATGTACATTTAAAGTTACATAATATAACACACTTTTTGTTCGTCTGCCTAGGTATAATGAGGGGTAAGTGAGAGATAAATAAGGTACCTGCATGTAGGTACTAACCTTAATGTGAGAACCGGTACCTACTATCGTACTAGCGTGCCTGGCTTAGATTAACAGGAGATAAAAGTGTATTAGAGCTAATTGCCTATTTAGGTATTAAGGGGAAATAATGATCGCTTCAATATTCCAATTTTGACCATTCGCTTCGTTATCACAATTGAATACATATTATGACACCTATAATTTGTACTTCGATCCCACATAGTCTTGAGCATGAAATTGGTTCTATGCTCTTCATAATGATAGCGTCATCTTCCCATGTTCATCGGCATCCATATTGTCGATATGAACACCTACCTTGTGGTATTTGATGTCGCAATTGTTTTTCATTGATTTTCCTCTACTTCATTCCACGGATTTAATGGTACTGCTAGGTCACCGCTGTGCAGAGTTTGGCATGTCTAACACGAATTTTCGGCAGACAATTAGTACGTCCAATAACAGACGATGAGAGTGAGGTGATATATGTAGTATACGGCAGTACCCAAACATGGTTGCCTACATACATAACTCTGGTACCCGGTTTGTACTACTTACACTTGCCTGATTGAGTACATTTTGTGAGGCAATTACATATGTAGAGAAGCAGGTATGTGATACCATGTAGAACGTTTAGTGCGTTCTTGCCTTGCCTTGCCTCGTCGTTTCCTCAAGGACTACTTCATGTACGTAGTTGCACCGATGTACCTGCCTTTAGGAAGTCGCTTATTCATTTCATTATATGTGAGTACCTGCGTTGTCTTTTTTTCCTTCCCCCGAATACAATATTTGATTATCTCTTCAACTGCTCTAACACGTTACCTAGGCCAGTCCGGGCATATTCTATACACAACTAAAGCTTCAAGATTTCTCTGAGGCAACTCCCACGTAAAATTCATTCGCCATGAAGCTTATTACGATTCTTGTCATTCTGGCCTCTAGTAGTTGCTTAGGTGTGGTAGCTACAAGCACCCGAATTACGACCACCTCATCTGAATCTGGTGCCGTGATACCGCCAACCCTTGAGAAGCGAGATGCTTATACCTGCTATGGCGTAAGTGACAAAGGCATCTTCCTGTTTCGCTAATGTACCAGTGAAAAGGCTTACCTAGTTCATCATAGTCTACCAACACCTCCGTTTCGGACTGCCAAAAGATTCTTGACACCATCCGAGGCGATCCACGGCAGAGTTTTAAGCTCTTCTCTAACATCTGCGCTGTATGGAACGAAGGATCCTGTCGAGTGCGATTCTGTGCTCAGCCTTATGTCACCCGGCCTGTCAGCCGATCGGCGGAGTGGCTGGCCACCTACATAGCCAGTCCATTGCTAGACGGCTGTATTAGCAAAGGGAGCATGGGAGTCATTGCGGATAACCCCAACATCAATAGCCACGCGGGCACATATCGGGTATGGGTGTATTAATGTCAGAGGAATGCAGTGCATAGGCAGGCAGGGCCGTATTAGCTACCTCCCTGAAGTGGGAAAATATTGGAATTATAGGGAAATAATGGCGACATTCTGTCATGTGCCTAGGTGGTTAAGAAAAGTTTAGAATGGGGCTCAATTCTGTATCGAAAAATAGATGGTTGAGACTGCAAAGTACCTATATCCTATATTTTGATATATCTTCACCTGCGGCTCTACGCGCCTCATGCACGTGTATACAACTTGTTTATCTATACTACATGTAACGAGCCTGTAATTTCACAACCTTAGAGGATACCCGGCTACGTACCCCATCTATACCTACATACCTAGGTATGTACTACTTCATGTCGGATACATTCAATGCAGGTAGGGGGGATTGTATTGGCATATATATGGCAGGTACCGGCCTGGGTAACCAAGGTAGGCGTGTTCTGTAGTAGGGCAGGAGCCTAGATACAACCAAATGGAAGTGACAGCCGTTATAAGATAAAACATGTATAGCACCTACCACTCCATCAACACCGCGTCCCTGCCTACCTAGGTAGCCACAAGAGTCTCCTCTAGTTCCCTTAAAACGCGGTGTCATTTGAATTTTATTTAGTGGTAGGCTGTCCTCCCCCCTTCTCGTTTTAGAGAACATCTATTCGTACACACATGGTACGCCCGGCAATCATTCACAGCCATTTCTAATTCGCAAACCCTCAAAGGTTACACCAGAACAACAAGCAAATACCATCGCAATTAAATCAACAGATCAAACCTCTTCAAACCCCAAGACCCATATCAGAACAATCATTTGCCCAAATAATCCTTGCTCCCCTATTCTACTAATAGAAATCGATACACGATATTCATCATGCTGTTCATAAAGATGATTATGCCGATTGCTATCATGGCCGCCTCTACACCTACCGCTTCTCTTCGAGGAACAGAAGTGTCGACCCCGGCACTGTCACCCGAGCACATGCAAAAGGCCGCTCTCTCGGATGCCATTGTCCAATCCAGCGCCGATCATGCCAATATCCCCCGAGACGCTGTTCACCGTTGCCACCAGTCCGTCGCCGAATTTGTAAGCGTTCTTTATCAAGCAGTGCTAAATATTTGCTAATCGGTCATTTAGGGTCCCGCCCCTTCGGTGGACGATTGCAACGGCGCGATCAAGAAGCTTCAAGCCGTCCAAGGCGACATCACGGTCAATTTAGTCGAAGGTTGCTACCACGCCGTGTCGGGCAACTGCACCGCCTCGGTCTGCCCTCAGCGTGTTGGTATTTCTACCATCTCTCCTACGCTTGCAGCCCAGTATATGACAAACTCTATCCTGACTGAATGCATTGCCGATGGTCTCCGAGGATGGTATTTGGACAGGAGCTATGGCATTGGTGTCTATTTAACCTAAACTTCGAATCTTCGGGGCAGACACAGGGGTTTCGAGTAGAAGAAACATATACCTGGATTGTGTTCGGAGTAGTTTCTTTGCAATTCATAATTCGAGCTTACGGCGTTCACGGTTAAGATAACAATGGGATAACCTATTTTCGACCGTGTTCAGTTCCGTGAAATACGTGAAGATATGCTCTGATATACGTTCTGGTAGTGCTATGAAGTGGGACATATATGGGATATGCGACCTGTATTAAAACAATAAGGATGGTTACGCACCCTGTCAGCTTACATGCATTGGTGTCTAGCGAGAAGAAATAATCAATCTAAATAAAACGAGACTGATCAATCAAAAAACCATGTGCCTAGGACTTATATCTTCCCGAAAATGCCGGGAATTTCTCCGGAAAACAGGATCGAAACCTGTCCTAATAGGTACTGATACTCCCTAATTTCCGGTCGTGTACCGCTTAGTATTACAGTTTTCGATGGCCTCGCTAAGAGAGTGCCGTGGGGATCGGTCCGATGGGTGGTACAACGTATAGCTTGCTGATATGGTGAAATTTAGTAGAATATGATATAAAGGCACCTAGGTGACGAAACACGTTATACTAACTGTAATCCCATTGTGAGGCTACGCTCCTGATTCTAGGACAACTCTCGTAAACGTACCTATTAATTATCGACGTCTTGAATCGGGAGTACGAATAGATTCGAGCTTCGTAGCGAGAACTTATAAAGAACACCTAGGTAGGTAGTTCCATACTTAAGTAATAACGATATGTATTTCTGGTTACTGATTTTGGTTTATTCCTGGAAGCAACCCGTGATTAGGTTGAAAACTAGCTGGGCGACAATAGAAACTACTGAAGAAAAGAAATAAATAGGAGGTTAGTGAACATAAAAATGACTTAATATTTGGTAAAAGATGGCCTTAGATGACCTATTCCATAAATTATCTATTCTAAGTAGATGATATAAATATCATTATGTTTATATAAACCAGACATTTCCAATGTTTTAATAGAAATTAACATTGCGTGTATCTGGGCGTAGACGTGGTAAAAAGGATTAATAGGAATAAAAGCAAGAATAAAATCAAGACGAGGGTTAGAAAAAGGCAGAAAGATCAAATTTAAAGAAGGTAGGAAGGAATGCAAAGGACATGTCGATATCCTTCAATGTTCTTTTTTCTCTCATTGCCTACCTCCAAAGGTCAATGTTGGTCACGCCAACGAAGAATTGACACCATTCTACCTAGGTAATTGATAATATAATCCTTCTATTATCATGTGCGATAATTCGTGAGAGTAAATGATTTTACTATTGTAAGGACGTTATGTAGGTATTTACAATAGTACCCACCTAGGTACCTAGGTAGGTACCTTTACTGGGCGACGTGGGGCGTAACGTAGCCCCGCAACAAGGTTAGCTGGGTACCTTAGGTCCACTACCTATTATTATACACTAACGGCGGCTTGCCATACGTCCCATTTTACTGTCTACTGCCCGTAGCTATTACTACCTACCTACCTACCTACTTACATACCAAGTTTAGAGGTATAAGTCTCCTTAAATCGCAACAATGGTATAAAACTTCCTCTTTTCTAGAGCATTTTGATGCCCAGGTAACTGATTACTCGCGCAGAACAAGGACGGCTGCTACACATATGTACACATGCAACGGCCTAGGGACGCCGACATGTTCGAGGACTTTTGCAAGGACAAGTTGCCCGATGATGAGATATACGTGCCACCGCATCACCAGCCTATCAATCCAGAGGATGAGGACGACGTCGTACCCGATCAACATGCTGCCTTTGGTATCCAGAAAGCTACCCAGCGAAGCAAGGAGCCCGCTTGGAAGGATCTAGGGTTAGCGGAGCTCATGGGCCGGGGACCTGCTGCGGAGAAAGGTGGGAATACGAATGGAGGCGGAAGCCGGGCTTCGAAAACGCCATTTAAGGGATTGCCGCGATGATCGATAGGAAGTGGGTGTACGGCTCTATCCCTACTGATACGAACCAGATGCACATGAGCATTAATGGGTTAGAATTGGCGCAAAGATATGGCCTTCTTTATATATGGCGTACCATTAATTCGAGATCACCTTAACAATAGGCGACTTCGGTCTTATCCGATGATATCATGTCCGTGTGAAACTGAATCTACCCGAACTCCTCATTCATAGTCCTAAACGCCATGCAATGCCCATATGATATGACCGCGCCCATTTCTTTTTATTTCTTTCCCCCTTGACGCGAAGGCCCTTTTAGCCCTTCCCTAGATATCCCTCCCTCTCCATGACTTCGGGGGCGAACTTGACTAGAAAGACCGTCCGGCCTGGCCACATCTCGCCTTCCTCTTGCTTGCCCACACTATGCGCCGTGACTCTCGCTGGGAATGCGGAGCCGTCGCATACACCCTCGATGATACCGGCAACATAGGCGGCACAGTTGAGTTGGCTCATGTCTTTGGGCACGCTGATGTATCGGTTTACGAGGGGTTCATTGTCGATGATCATGTACTCGTCGGGTTTGGTAGGATCGGACGACTTCTCGAGCCCGTCGGCGGCCCGGCCGAAAAGGTGCTGCCATATGTTGATCTTGATGAAGTGGAGGAGCGTGATGATGTTTAATGGTCGCGTTTGTGAACGCGGCGGTTCGCGATATAGTAGGAGGTCGAGAAGTTTGAGGCCGATCGGGTGACCTTGAACGTTGAGCCTAGTTTGGGAGCACGATGGTATGAGTATCGAACACGCATGTCACTCGAGCGTGATTGATCGTAGACCTAGGCTGACTTACCGCTTTTCTAAATCTTGTATGCTCTCTATTTTCTTCGAGGCGTAACCGACCATCTCAGAGAATAGGTAGGCGAAACTAGCACCGCTGAGCTCGGATGCCTTGGTGCGATTTAGAGGTCGATGGTATATTGTCTTGCCGTTGGTCGGGTAGCGCAAACCCGGCTGGTCTTTGTTGGTGCCCTTGACGGGCTGAAGGTTCGCCATTATTTTGTCCAGATCGACTTCACTTTATGTTTTCCGTTTTTGGGGGTGTAGGATATAAATTTAAATATCAAGATGTGTCGTTCTTATGTGAGCTGCGTTGCATGAGGATCTTGTCTTGGTAGGTAAATCACGTAAAGATTTAGGTACATACTTTGGGAAGGATATTTAGTGCGTTGGGGCAACCAAGCAGAGATAGATTCCCTAGAACGCCTGCTGTGGGGTCAATTAGAGCGCTGTAGCTTATAGTAGAGGAACATTAGGTACCTTCCATAGATTTCTGGTAACCTTCCAATGGACTTTACAGGCCTTAAATACCTAGGTACCTACCTAAGGTTTACAAGCTGCAACGCACTTAAATTCATATAGGAACCTCTTAGCTCACAATCTATAATTATTGATCCAATAAAAGCTTCATACAATTAAGTAGGTACATATGTATATATTAGATACCAGTCCGATCAATTCTAGGTGTTTTAGGACCACCTAATGTATCAATAAATTATCCTCATGGAAATGCGTTCTTATGCAGTCTATCTCCCAACTGTTCATTTCTTTAATATATTGGAACATCATTAAGTGCTTGCCTCGGCGGAGTAACCGGGCGAAGGCGATATTCCCTGAGCGTCATGGCCTTTAAGATAATCCTCCCTCTCGCCAATCTGCTTGCCGCCGGCTTCCCATCTTTGCTTCTGCTTTGCACGTTTCTCTGCGCAAAGCTTTATTAATACTGGCCAATACACATCATGATCATAATCAAACTGCAACTCGCCTCCCGCGAATTCCGACCATAGCTGTTCTTTTGGCACGTATTGCGTCATGTCTTCGTTGAATTTTAGTTTTTCCCTCGTCAACGGGTCAATGAAAGGCGTAATAAGCTTGAAGAAACCCCATACAACCCATGGAACTATAGCCTCCCATTAGTAAATATTATACTAGTTGCTGACATAGTGTTGGTTACCGTTGATTATCATCGCTCGCCCGAGCCTCTCAGGGTAATGGGTCTGAAGGATATGCAAGACTTCTCGGCCTTGGCTGATGCCGGGTGCTGTGTTCGAGCGACTTTTGCTGGTTTTGAAGTTGATGAGAAGACTTAGGGTTTCTTGTTGAGCCGGCATAAGCTCGATAACTCGCTCGAGCATAAAAACAAGATGTTGGACTTGTCGAGGGGATACGTCTGTATTTTGGCGGCCTGGGTTTAGGTAATGACAGGGACGGCCGTGCTTGTCGTAACCCAATAAGATCTGTTTCCCAGTGGCGTTTTCAGGGCCAATATGATCAGCGGACAACTCCTCAACGCCGTATTCTCTTCTCCACGCTAGAGTTTCTAGCAGACGCTTCTCTGACTCCTTCTCGTGCCATTTGGTAGCTCTTAGATACCTCAACAGACATTCCCTTGTCAACCACATCTTCTCATTATCAGTTAAAGGACCGCTCTTGTCTTTGGTCGAAGGGACTTCAGTCCAACCCTTCACACGCTTTAGAAGCCAGTCATATTTAGTTTGCTGATCGGCGGTAAGTGCTGGTTTCTCAGGGACAGCACTGCCTGCGGTGGGAGCTGCAAGCGGCGTCTTTAATACACCAATTTCAGTTTTCTCTTCGAGGACTGAGGGTTCTGCACTTCCAGACGCTGTTGTTGTCTTAGCGGTGGCCATTCTTTTTTGTCATGAATAATGTAATTGAAACTAGTTCCGTTGAGAATCTCCAAATAAAATTGAGGAAATAAAGACAGAAGATGCGGTATGGTCGAACGAAGAGCCCGAGAAATGAAGGTCAAGAGGCGGTGCCGGATGACGGAAGAATCTCAATTGGACCCTTTATTGACTTGGCCTGTTCAGGTAGGTACCTACAGTAACTACGCTAAACTTGTACCTAGCTTGATGCTTGTCAGGGGGCTAACCCCTACTTCGGGTAGCGCTAGATCTTTGGGTAAGTCCCCTGAAAATGCTACCTAGGTACCTAACTGTTGTACGTGCCTACCTGGCCGTGGAAGTACTACAGCCAAGACCCACAGCACTAGGGCGTTTCCTAATAGGTAAACCACTTAACACGAATGAACCTTAAGACGCGCCCTAAAGTGGGAAAAGCGCGTCTTAGGTTCTTCGTCTCATACCTAACTTAAAGAAAATAGTAACAAGGCCCTTAACTTTTTTCTTCTCGTTAGAGCTAAAAATATGGTACAATAGTCATATATTCGACATTGCCAGTCATATACAAATCGACCATATCCATTATTAGGTCGCCACTTCAGTTTCTGGATCTTGTGCCATGGCGGAAGCAGATTTGCAAGAGTTGAACGAGCAGTTCGGCGTTCCGAACAGGGAACTCGAGCCCGATGTCGTCTCCGAACTGCGGTCTATAATGCGAATGCATTCACTATCTGCCCAGGATCTCTTCTTCAAGTGGGAGTCATATTGCATAAAAATGGACATGGATGGAAACAACCTATCCGTGGAAACTTTGCGAGCCCTAAAACAAGATATTTTAGATGCTTTAGAGCGGAGCAATCGAACCCACCACGCTCACATCAAGACAGAGAAACGTGCGGCCGGAACCCCACGCAGCGCTGTAAAGAATAGCGGGGATGTCTACGGCATGTGAGTAGGCATCTAGATTATCTCGATAGTTCATCAACCCAAGGCTAACGCCATGTAGGTTAGAAGGAATGGTCCCCAATACTCCAGCTACGGGGAAGTTAAGTAAAAGTGCCCCAAAGCGACGACAGCAGCTCGAGACCCCTTCCATGGCACGAGTGAAGGGCGGCATTCTCGGTAGCTCGCCTGATTCTAAGAGCCCCATGCGATTGGAGAGTCAATTAGATTCTATGAACGCTGTACCGTGAGTAATAATCGAGGCTTGACACCCCTATATAGAATGCTGAGGATTCATAGAGCCACTTCATTCAACGACCGCCTCAACCCAGGAGAGGTAGTGGAAGTCTTAAATGAACACCTAAAGCCCCCCGAGCCGTTAATTGTACCGTTTGCAGAGTCTCGCATCAAATTAACTGCGGCTTCAGACCAGAAGAAACTTGGCTATAAAACGTTGGCCATGAAATCCTCAGAAGCGTCCGAGATTCTAGATGATCGGATAGACGAGTTTCTTGGCCTTGTGAGAGACCATCATAATATAGACGAAGACGAATTCGGCAGTGCGGCTAGTCAAAGTACCACGGAAATCGTTGCTGTGGGCCGAATCGCATCGGATTCTTTAGAGGGCAAATTGAATGCAGCCTCTCTTGTTCTAGAGACATCAAGGCGGACTGGTGGAGGCCGAAGAATTCCTCTGAATTTGCAAGGCCTCAATGGCCGGTACCAATTTTTCCCAGGACAAATCGTTGCATTTAGGGGGATCAACTCGTCCGGTAATGAGTTTGTTGTTCGGGAAGTATTATCAATACCATTGCTACTTAGTGCTGCATCCACGCCAGCAGCTATCGAAGCTCACCGAGAGCGACTACGAGGAGGACCTGATGCAATGGAATCAGATGATGATCCGGCACCGTTAAATATCATTATCGGCTCGGGGCCTTATTCTGCTGATGACAACCTTGACTTCGAGCCTCTTCACGCCATTTGCAGCCAAGCAGCGGATACATGCGCTGATGCCCTAATTTTGATGGGCCCATTCATTGACGTCGATCACCCTTTGATTGCTACAGGCGATTTCGACCTTCCGGAAGACGCCACGGTAGACCCTGACGTCGCAACGATGTCCACCGTTTTCAAGTATATGATCGCTCCTGCTTTCAATCGCTTAGTTGCGTCAAATCCTACCATCACTATTCTCTTGATGCCGTCCGCTCGGGATGTTGTTGACAAACATGTGTCCTGGCCGCAAGAAGCCTTCCCCAAAAAGGAGCTCGGACTACCCAAAGCCGTTCGGATAATAGGCAACCCAATGACGGTATCCATAAACGAGGCAATATTCGGAATCTCGTCTCAGGATATTTTGTGGGATTTGCGAAACGAGGAATTGGTTGGTGGCCGGACCGCCGACCTTAATTTACTGTCAAGAACTTCGCGATACTTAATCGAGCAACGACATTACTTCCCTATATTCCCCCCTATAGACCGGCAGAAGTTACCGAAGGCGGGTACGGCGGATGGACTTCCAACTGGTACTGCACTTGACATAAGCTATTTGAAGCTTGGCGAGATGGTGACTGTGAAGCCCGATGTGATGATTATACCGAGTGCTTTACCCCCCTTTGCGAAGGTAAGAAAAGAAAAAAAGCCCATGGCGTATTATACGTGTCGAATATTTTCGCTAACACATGCTAGGTTGTGGAAAGTGTCTTGGTCATCAATCCAGGATACCTCTCCAAAAGGAGAGGTGCGGGTACATACGCTCGAATGGTACTTTTCCCACCGAAAGTGGCGGATCAAGACGTGGGTAGTACAGGTTTGCTTGGTCATAAAGTCTTCGAAAGGGCTAGAATAGAAATCACAAGGATATAATTGGGTCGTATAATTGGTGCAATTGAGCTGGATTTGCATGTACCGAGTGGGAGATATCCTAATTAGAATTGATTCGGCCTGTGAGGTTTCATAAACCCGTATGAATATACTGCTTGGCAGGTATTTTTCTACTTGATGTCTATTCTTCGCCTCTTCTCGTTTGCACAACGATCTACTTCTTGAGATGAGTCTCTTTTCCTCCGGCTACCGTAATCATCTCGATCGCGCCTCCTAGGAGATCTGGACCTAGACCTATCCCTACGACGTCGGTAGTCATCTCTTGGGTGGTAACTACTTCGATCATAATCCCGGTCCCGTTCTCGATATCTATCCGCGTTTCGTCCTCGATCCGGATTCCTAGGGCCTTCTGGCGCATCGGGAATAGACCTCTTCCTCTCGCCAATAGGGACTGCATTGGCTCCTCCAGGACCTGATGCTTCTCTAGCGCGATCGGATTTGAATCTGTCGTCCACACTGTATCGATCAAATTCCTTGCCTGGCCTTGTATCACGAATGTCTCCCCACCGACCTGTATCTTCCGACTTGAGGTCCCTGTATTTCGAGGCACCTTTCTTACCCAGTTTCGTCATGTCGCGCATCTGTAACGCCTTTGGAAGTAATTCGCGATTTTTTACGTCGTCCATAAATCGTGACCCCATAATATCCCGATTAACCAAACCTTCAGCCTCCGCCTCGTCCCGATAAAAGGCACCCTTGTGAAAGTACTTTTGCATATACGACATTTTCTCTTTCGAGTCCTTTTCCTCTTTCTGCTTTGCGAGGAATGCTTCGTCTTCTGCCTTTCGTTCTTCTTCTGTTAGATTTCTTCGGCGCTCAACCTCCTCTCTTTCCTTCTCGCGCGCCTCGATAGTCTCACGCTCTCGCTTGATTCGTTTCAACTCGCGCAGTTTCCATGCCGCATATTCGGCTTCGGGATCCACGTCATCTTCCGTGTCGACGTCCTCTTCTTCGTCTACTACATCGTCCCAATGTTTTTTCTTAGTCGCACGAGCCGCAGCATCTTTGCGCATTTGCTCCTCGACCATCTCATCCATGGCTTTCTTCTTCTTTGCCTCTTCTTCTGCTAACCTAGCCGCTTCGTCCTGTTCCTCGTGAGATTCCTTGTTTCCATTTCGTTGGCTTTTTGGGACAAATTTAGGTTTTAACATTAACCGCCGAGGAGCATCTTCCTCACTGCTCTCTTCCTCTTCTTCGTCGTCTTCGTCGTTGCTATCGTCTTCACTCTCCTCCTCTTCTTCGCTTTCTTCCGTGACGAAACCCTCCTCGGCTGCTAGACGAGCTGCTTTTGCGGCCGCTACACGTCTAGCTTCGGCTTCTAGTTCTTGCTTTCGACGTTCGTTGAGGTCTACTTTGCTGAGGTTGCTAATTATTTTCCCAGCGCTTGGTGCTTTGGGGGGTGGCGCGATTTTGCGTTGGGTCTGTTGTTGCTCAGTATCGCTACCGCTGGCTTCTGAATCGGATTCGGAGGACGACGACGCGCCAGTTGGCTTACCAGCGCGGTAACGCGAAGGTCGCGCGGGATTCGCAGTCATGCGTCGTGACTGCATTTTGAAGGAAAACAAAAGTTCGAAATGACGGTTAATAGATGTCGGGGTTGGAGACAGGAATTATAAATAATAATAAAGGTGTTTTGCCAGAATTTTGAAGCTACATAATCTAGGTGTATGTATATGTACCTAGGTAGATATGTAAATGTACAGTACATTGATGTATGTATTGAGATTAAGTTCCACATATAAATCTACCCTCCATGTCCCTCCTAGCGGAATTGGTGTGGGGCCGCTATGTAGAGCTTCATGTTATCGATAACCATAATCATTTACAGCGGGGTCTCCAAGCTTGAATTTAAATTCAATGAATCTAACGGCCACATTTTGGTGTTATAAAAAAAAAGACATATATTAAAACGACCTGTTCAGGCCTAGAAAGATGAGCTAGGCATGACTATATTACGCCAATAACTCCCGGTTAACTCCTTTAGCCTCCCTTCAAAATCTCATAAGATCCCGTCGTTCTGTTCCGCGTCCATTGCATCTTGTAATGGAGTTCGATCTATAGCCAAAGCGCTTTCGGTCATCTTCTCAACATGACCCCCGTCCATTTCCTCGTCTAACTCGGATACTTCCTGGTCGTCTTCGCCACCGGCGCCTCCTTCGGACTTGGTCTTGTTCGTTGGTATCTGGTCATTGACCTCATCCCAAGTTTTTCTCCGGGATTGAATCGTTCGAGCTTGGCCTTTACTTTTCGCAACCTTTTGCTCCGTTCTCTCCATGATCGCAGCAGCACGATCCTGATCTTTTTCATGCCTTCTTCGCGCCTTTGAGCTCATGTTTCTGCTCTTCTTTGTCTTCTTCGTGATCCCTGCTCCATTGTGTATAGCAAGTACAGAAGGGCGATAGTCGACTGATTCGGGAGGGGGTTGGACGTTTTTGAGTGACTTGTCGGTGTCAATACCTGGAGATGTCGCACGCCTCGCAGCCCTAGAGTGAATAGAAGGAGCTATACAAAAAAACAATCTCTTAATTAGCTAATTCCACTGCAGATAAATGTAGAGAACAGCGAGGCTTGTAATTTCGCACCTCTCTTCTTTTTCGAAATTGCGCTTTTAGCCATGGCTACTATATCTTCTCGCTTTTAATTTTTGTCGGATTTATTCTTGTAGAAAATGAAGTATTTTAGTGAACCTTTCAGGTTCAAAGACACAACGTCGAATTGTATTGTAGATACAAATTTCTTAAATTTTTGCCCCGCAGGCCTGCACGGTGATGCGATAAAGATTTGTCTGGGAATTGATAAGGCAAACGGGAAAAGGTTAAATAAGGAATGGGTGTATCTATAAATCTGCAGTCTTAGCGTATACAGTACCCAGGTACATACGTGGGTGCAGCTATCAGATGACCCATTTTTAAAAGAAAGAAAAAAAGGCATGGTATTTTGAAAGTACCATGGATCTCACCCAATCAAAAAGCACAACCAGTCCCCCAAGATTCTTGTTACCAACGCAGATGCTTCGGACACATCCTACTGCCAAAACTTACCTACCTACATACGTGGATACAAAGATCACAAAAACCTTGGAAAACAATTGAGAGCGCCGAACAACAGACTCGTTTTGTCATTCCTTTTTTGCCATGGCGGCTCTCGCCTATTATAATTTCGCGAAACTCACCCAGCTTTGATGGTTTTTGATTTCTTCCTCCCATCACGCATGATCCATCTTCCCGTGCTATCGCAACATAGCCTGCAAACACCAGGATGCCCTCTCATCACCCAGAGACCCAGTTCGGCCATCTCGACGAATCTCATTCTTTCTATGCACTAGGCGCTTTGCTGGACCGGTTACAGCAACCGAGCGTCATTGTATCATTCCTCCTCCTTCTATTAACTATCTTCTACCAGTCTCTGCGCTCTTCGCCCCTCTCCCGGCTACGATATCTTGGTCAGCTTCTTTGGGACTTAATAGTAGCCATCACGCCAGCGATCCTTCTCTATGCCATCGACGACCGGCTCAGCCCCTCACCTATCCGAACCTCACGGCCTACGCTATCGACACGTTCCCGATCGTATACCGCGAAGAGCGACCTTCTCAGAAGAATATTTGGTATGGATGGGCCGGGCGGCATCATCACGTCTGTTGCTGATGCCGGCAGAAGAAGTCTCTCCAGTCTATCCGGTGGCACATTAATTAAGCATAATACGGATCACCCCGCCGGTCTCGGGAACTACGATAATTCATGCTTCCAAAACAGTATCCTTCAGGGATTGTCCTCGTTGGAACCGTTACCCTCATATCTTGAAAGAGGTCTAGAACTAGACAAGTCGTTAGGGGATAGAGAGTCAAGCTCAACAGGTTCATTACGCGACCTTGTTTTCAAGTTGACCAACACCAGTTATAATGGAAAGACTTTATGGGCGTCGAAAAAGCTACGATCGTTGGATACGGGACAGCAGCAGGACGCCCAGGAGTATTTCTCTCGGATCCTAGATGAAATCGAGAGAGAAATCATCAAGGCCGCAAAACCTCAGCATTGCTCGCCTTGCTTCGAAACTGCAGGCATTAGAGACGACACCGAAGACAGCCAGCATAGTGGTGACAGTGGATATCAATCACTGCCAACACTCGTATCGAGTACCGCGAATTTAAGGAATCCCCTAGAGGGATGCTCAGCACAACGAGTCGCATGTGTTCAGTGTGGCCATTCGGACGGATTATCCTTGACACCGTTTAACTGTATTACACTCAATCTTGGGCTAGAGCAAAGGGAATACGACCTCTACGAGCGATTAGATTCCTATACCGACCTAGAGGCCATCAAAGGACTAGATTGTGTCAAGTGCACTTTACTCAAACTTCAGAAACTTCTTGGAATCGTTGTATCTCGTTCGAAGGAAGATGGGGCAACCGGAGAAACATTACGTGGTGCCGCCGATCGATTGGAAGCTATCAATCTTGCCCTCGAAGAGGATGACTTTGAAGAGGACACCCTTAAAAACATAAGCAAAATAGATAAGCGAGTCAGTGTTACCAAAACCAGGCAGACAGCCATAGCGAGACCTCCCCAGAGCCTTGCCATTCATATAAACCGGTCAGTTTTTGAGGTTACCGGCCACATGCTCAAGAATCCCGCAGCGGTACGGTTTCCAAAAAGGTTCGACCTCGGTCCATGGTGCTTGGGAAGCGCGAGTGGTCCCATCAAGGTCGATACGGATGCTTCTCACATTGGAGAAGAGCGTTGGGTTACTGATCCGAATTCATCCATGGTTTCAGGAAGTCTAAACTCACCCAGGATAACCGGTCCGATATATGAGCTGCGCGCAGTTATAACTCATTCAGGACGGCATGAGAACGGTCACTACGTCTGCTATCGAAGGCATCCTCGTCAACCGTCAAATCTTAAGGACGCAGCAGCCGAATACCCCGAATCACTTGATAGCGGATTTGGATATGACTATAATGAAAGCGATACGAGTTCATACTCGGATGCAGACGCAAAATGGTGGAAAATAAGTGATAATATCGTACGGGAAACAACCGAAGAGGCCGTCCTAGCGCAAGGTGAAGTCTTCATGCTTTTCTACGATTGTGTCGTTCCAAATTGTGTTCTTGCCGCCCAGCCAAACGACGGTGCTCTCGAGCCACAGCCAAATAAGGAACGATTTAACAAAGCGGCACGAGCAGGATCAATTCTTATACCATCTCTAGCTGAAGGGGAGGAAGTTGATCCAATGATTCCACTACGCCGTCCTAATTCGCAAACGGACAGTAACGAAACGTGGGTGCAAAGCCCAATCCACGGATGGACTAAAGCAATGTAACAGTTGGACTTAATGATGTCAATGAGGTGTACTTTAATAGCGTGCTTCTTTGCATAGCCACGGCGTTTTGGCGGAACGGGCCAAGGCGGTTCTTCTGGTCTGGGTACGGTTACGTTTGGGTAAAACGTGTTTACTACCGTACGTCTTTTTGGTGGGCGTTTATCTAAATGGGCCGTAGTAAGTTCATGGAGCGTGAATACCTAGTATATGTTATAGCTCATTTATTTTATGTCGTTTTACTATGTAATCCTCGGACGATTTACTTGATATTTCCTCATACATAGTACACGAACAATTGTTCCATGGATATAACCTCGGTAAACTGGGTGGAAATAAGTTTTAATAAGAGACCAGCATTAAAGCCATTTCTTGGGAGTATAAGGACCACCCACACATTAATAGTATTTATTTATACCTTTTCTTTCTTTCTTTCTACATGCAGATCCGATGGTCTATACCCCGCATATCGTGATGTGTAATGTCTCATCTTCCAGCCCTATCACTTCTCATCCATGATACATCAATGGGCTTATCACCCGCGTAGCCTTTCAGCGAAAAACTGCATAATTGGAAGCATCTCATCCCTATTTTTAGGCATGCTATCATCGGATTTCTTCCACTTAACTTCCCGCACGTCAAGGAACTCTTTCTTTAACAGATCTATGTCGTCCTCGTTAAGAGATTCGCTTGATCTGCCATGACATATTAAGACTGGAGTTCGAGATTTTTCTCTAGTGCTTATCGTAGGTATCATACTAGAGGGCAATGGTCCACCGATTGATACAGACCCTTTAAAGCATGATGATGTACCCTTGTCTCCTTCAGTGATATCTAGAACCTTCTCACCTTCACGAATCCTTGATGACAGGCCAAGGGCCAGAGAGCCACCTTGGCCGAATCCAAAGAGGATAATATCATTTGTATTCCATCCGCATTTCTCGATAAGCGTCTCGCGAACCAACTTTCCTAAGACTAGGTACTCGGCCTTGGAGAAACCAGGGTCAGATTCCAAGTCTCCTGTAGATGGTGACAGAGTCAAATCATCTCCCCAGTGAAAATGTCTGGCTGGGCCTGCGATTTCGGAATGTGACTGACCGAGTAATGCCGGAGGTAGCGGAGATACTCCACGAACAGAGATGGAAAGGACGCCTGGTAGATTCAGATTTCTCGGAAAGGAAGTGAATGGAGCTTCCGAATCTCCGAGACCATGAAAGAGAATGAGAATAGCTGTTGTCAACTCCCGGACTTCGGGGAAAACCAATGATATATGCAATGAGGGTGATAAGTGGTTGAAGTCTTCTGGTGTGGGTATTCTAGTCGGCATTTTCTTTTTTTCGGGGAGATTTGGCTGCCTATATATGTGGGAAGCGGGTATCTCAATGTCTAACTGATTGTTCTGGTTGATTTAGGTAGCTAGATAGGTCGAGGGTATTCAATGAGGTCAATGGCATAATACTCGACCAATAACCAGCCCGGCAGCCCGGGCGCAGAAGGTACCTACATAGGTAGAGAAGATACATAGTAAAGCGATGCTCTAGCAGACCTACCTACATGTAGGTACCTACCTAGGTAATTTGGGCAAATTGACAGGGCCTAGCCTAGCGCTAAGGACACTACAGGTTAGCATTCTACCCCTAGGTACCTAGGTTGGTATAATTAGTGACTTCACGTTTAAATTCTTACCATACAATACCTTTTTGAGTCTCGAGGAGTTTACATACTACAAATTTCATTATTATTTATCCCGTCGAACTCTATGCACAAGATCTAATACCTATCCTCATATTAGGTACTTTTAAGTCTTGAGCACGCATATCGTATCGTGTGGCTACTACGTGATGTGGGTAGCAAGCCCAAATTGGAAATTCAATCTCCGACCGGCTTCGTCATCGCCTTCTTGGACTACCTAGGTAGCTCCCTTGCACAAACCAGGGGACTGTTACTTGACACGTGCTTGTCGAGATAACATCAATAACTTGTTCCCAACACGCACTAATTAGATTATGGATGCATTTACTATCAGATCTAAACATGGATGCGAAGATGGAGTCGGAATACGGAACTCGAATTGGCACTATAGGTCCAGCATTATCATCCGAGCGAGAGCGTTGGTAGTCGGGATTGAATATATAAATTTCCCATTACCATTGTTATCGGCTTTGATTACTAGACCGAACGAATGATTTATTCTTGTGTTGTGTGAAGTGGGAAATTCAGGTCTGGACAGGTAATGGGCATCGTACCGATTTCGACTTAGAATAATAACGGCACTATGCACACCCTGCAAGCCATCATAATCTCATTAGCAAATACAGGCATCTATGTGGCAGCACAACAATACCTTGCGCCACTCCAGGATATCGATTTTCCTTCTAGCGAGAGTGCGAGGAATCCTCTCCAATGGTTAGGTGCTAATGGGCCTTGGTATGCTGGTATGATACTATCAATGTCGATAGCTCCGGGGCGAGGCTTATTAAGAACCACGAATAGGTCCGAACGTCTTTGGGATTTCGCCCGAAATCCCTCAGAATTGCTACATCGATCGAGCTGCATATGTCTCGAGACATGGCTCAAGGTATCCAGACCAAGGAGCCTACGATGGATGGTTGTCGATGTATGATTGGGTTCGTTTTTAACGCATTGGAACGGCCGCAATATTCGCTAAATCTTTCATCTAGTTTCAAACCGCTAACTACACCGCGGAGGGGAGTCTATCATTCTTGACATCTTGGAAGCCTGTTTTGACAAACCCTTCGTCCCAAATCGCCATGGAAAACCCTACAGGGGTGAAAGAAGCCTATGATCTAGGCTATACTCTTCGAACAAGGTTAGTCAATCTTGTACTGATTCGCCTTTACAATATATGACCAAGCTAATAATTATAGGTACCCGGACCTCTATCGTGACGGAGATGAGTTTATAGTGTGGGCCAATAATTATACTCGAGTCCTCCAGACAGCGTCTATGTTTGTTCGGGGTTTCTTGGGTGCCACTGCTTCCCAGAAAGGGAGTGTTATCTCGGTAACGTCCAAAGGCTCTTCAGCTAGCGTCGGAGACTCACTTGCTCCTTCGGATATGTGCCCGAATTTCGAAGACTTGGAAGGAGGAGAGCATATGTCGACTTGGGATAGCATTTGGATCCCGCCTGTTCAAAATAGGTTGCAAAAATTAATCAAAGGCAACCTAACCTTAACGGCTAGCGATGTGGACCAGATTCCGTATCTGTGCGGCTTCGAATCCCACATTACTGGTCGACTCTCCCCCTGGTGTGGTGTGTTTACGGACGAAGAACTCAAGCAGCACGAGTATTCTAATGATCTCCGGTATTATTATGGGGTAGGCCCGGGAACAGATCTTCCAAAGAAAATGATGACTCCCTTCCTCAACGCGCTTGTTGGCGTACTAAAGAGTGGGCCTGTCAACGGTACCAGAGCCGATGGGTCGCTATTCAAGGTACCGAAACTGCTCGCGTCGTTCCTGAACGATGGTCAATTGACCGAATTAGTTACCGCGAGCGGTGTTTTTGATACGCAACCTCCATTGTCTGCCGTCGAAAAGGATGATCATAGATTATGGGTGGGGTCGCGATATGTTTCAATGCGCGGGACTATTGCTTTTGAGCGCCTGGATTGTACTGTAAGAGACAATAGCGGATATGCGACGTTGCCAACCTTGAAGCCAACAACATCTGACGATACATACATCCGAATTCGTCTAAACGACGCAGTGTATCCCATCCCATCCTGCAAGAACGGACCTGGCTCTTCTTGTAGGTTGAATGATTATGCCAAGTATATCGCGGAGAAGTATGCTTCTGAAGGTGACTGGATCAAGAACTGCAATGTTACGATTGGTAAGGATACGCCGACTAAGGTGAAGGGTGCTAGTTTTTTTACGGATCTTAGCCAACCTTGGATCACGCGGATTTCTGTTTAATATATGATTATGCGTTGAATTGAGGGAGAATAATAATAATAATAACAATAACAATAATACTAATTGATCATGTAAAACATCGATATCGATATTGTTATTGGACTTTTAATACATGTACAAGTTGAGGTTGTTTTGTCTGAGAAGAATAAACTAGATTTAATGCTGTATGTACATGCCTGCAGACATGATCTCCAAATTTCGAAAAATCAACATCGTCAGACATAAAATAATTTTAATTTTGAAAAATCACTTTCAATCCGAAATGATTGCAAAAATAAGATCGTCACTCAACTGAAATCGTCTCAATCAAACAATTGTCAAGCTATCATGTCGAATTAGAAATCTTTTTTCTAATACCTCATCATCCCAGAGATCATGTCCACATCCCCTACTGGCGCGCTAATGTATGTCTGTAGTTGAAAGCTAAAAGGTACCTGGGTACTCGTATCCTAAACCTTAGCCCCCAACTACAGGGATTACATAATGCCTAATTCCGTACCTTAGGTACAGTACCTACTTAAAAATAATCATCCACTTTCAATCGCTGAAACCACAACCACCACGACGTAGTAATGCGCATAGATATGACGATAAACCAACATCTAACAAGATTCATGACTGATTCATTGTATCTATTCAGCAAGCAACACTCGAGATTCAACTAGGTGCAATTCCGCCTAGACCACGAGAGAAGCGGAAGCTTGATTAGCCCCCGAAACCAGGCGAATAGCCATGCTGTAGAGCCTGATACTCAATAGCTCCCGCCAACTTACCGAATGCATTATCGCGACCATGGCCAACCGGTATGGCGGGTCATATCGCAACGGCAACGGCTACGGCTCTGCTGCGAGAAAAGATGACGAATATGATCCCTTCGGCGACGGTTATACCAGCGACCGATACGGTACCCCTCCTCAACAGCTAAACCCACGAAGGCCACCTCCCGAATCTTCCCGGAATCCTGGCTATAGCTCCTCAGCCTCAAGAGCCCAACGTGTAAATGAGACAAGTGCGGAGAGACAGATAAGCCAAGTGCTTGAACTCATTAAATCCGAATGGCCTGCTATGGTCCAGGACGACTGTATACCCGTTTCGTTAGCGCTGCAATTACTAGATAACAGCTCGGTCGGTCGAGCACACGAATATAGGGGCTTCAAGAAGACACACCAATATCTGCAAGACTCCCTAAAGAATATCGTACATGAACATCACCAAGGCTTCAATAGTTCTATCGGTACCTTCCATAAGATCCAAGGAAGTATACAAGCCTCCCAGAAGCGTGTTCGCGCTTTGAAAGACTCCCTCGCTGCATCACGAACGAGTCTTTGCGTAACAGACCCAGAACTGAAGAAACTATATAAGTCGTCACAGATGTACGACGATGTGTTGCAGACACTGAATGAATTGGAAGATCTCAGGACAGTGCCGGATCAACTGGAAGCCAGGATATCAGAGAAACGATTTCTAACAGCCGTTGAAGTACTACAAAATGCCTTACGAAAGCTACGAAAGCCGGAACTAGACGATATCGGAGCGCTTAGTGACCTTCGAAGTTATCTGGCTAACCAGGAGACCGCATTGATGGATATTCTAGTCGAGGAGCTGCATGAGCATTTATACCTGAAATCACCTTACTGCCAAGAACGATGGCAAAACCTAGCCAAAAACCAAGGTGCCTATAACGAAAATTACAGTGAAACGGGCGTTCTGACCCCATTCCATTTGGTTCTGGACACCATGGATCTTGATCATCCAGTGACCGAAGATCCGGCCAAGAATCCCGAAGCGGATACATTCTATTATATTAGCCTTGTCGTCGAATCTCTTAACAAACTTGGCCGGTTGGAAGGCGTGGTCGATACGTTGAAACAACGACTCCCTGTTGAGCTGTTCTCCATTGTGAATGAGACGATCAACGAAGTCGATCAGAGACATCCCAGTTCGCTACGAGGTGGCTCAGGCAACGCACAGGGTCTACACATATATGGCAGTAGGGAGACACAGATGCGTGCGGACGTTATTTACGATCTCCTATGGACTTTATATGGTAAATTCGAGGCTATTGCCGAAGGCCATCGAGTATTCCACGAGGCTGTTAAGGCCCTTGTTCGAAGAGAGGGCGGTGGTAGCAGTAATCCTCTTCTTGGGAGTTTTAAGGAGCTATGGAATCTCTATCAAAACGAAATACGCTCTCTCCTACATAATTATGTCACAACAGATGCAGACGTCTACCAGTTCAATTCGTCTCCGAGACAGGGTGCAATGCTTAATGGCAACAAGGACACATCCCGAGAGCATCTCTTCAAATTTTCCGAAGCGGATCCAAAGTCTATCGAGATGACTACTGAATATGAAGCTCTGGATGGCATCATACGAGCGGCGGTTCCCGGTCTCACATCTGCTTCTCGAAAAGCACAAGCTTCAGACAAGAAATCATCGGCGGGAAGAGGATCAAGGAAGAGCGCATATACCGCAGCATTCGACGGTCGAAACGCTCCAGGCTCTTATAAGTCACTTGTGGAGCCAAGCGTATTTAACATGAGTCTTTTACTACCCCCAACCCTAGTATTCTTACAACGACTAAAGGCAATTGTGCCTCCGGGTTCAGATTTAGCTGCGAGCACTTTGACATCTTTCCTTGATAACTTCTTGGTCAATGTATTCCAGCCGCAGCTCGATGAGACACTCAGCAAGCTAAGCGATTCCGTGTTTGGGGAAGTAGATTCGTTCCAGCAAGATCCTAGTTGGGGGTTGGTCGCCCGGCGTCCCGTCTTCAAGGGCACAACTGCATTTTTTGCTGTCATTACTGCCTTTTGTCGTATGCTGGGGACGATTCCACACGACCAGGCCCTTAGCTCTCTAATCATCTCTCAAATGGTGAGATACTATGAAAGATGCTTCGCATGGTTTGAATCACTAGTCGCCAAAGCACAAGATGCGACCACGGCACCACAAACATTACGATACTCCGCAGAACTTGCTATTGGGCATGGAGATATACAGGAAACGATTAAAAAACTTTGGACATCGGATAATCTTGATCATGAGCTGATAGAAAAAGAAGTCGGCCTTCTTATCATGCAAACTAATGAACGACCTCTTGAGCCAAATGATATTATCCAGGATCGTGACGTTATATCGTCTTTATGCCTCCTATATACGAGTATGAAATGGCTCTCAGTGAGGATCCTCGGATTGCGACATATCACTCGGTTCGACACAGATTCTTCACAGGCCACCTTGCCGAAGAATCAAAACCGCCGCTGGACTCTCTTGAATGACCCTAGCAAAGCAAGTAGTGAGCAACAGGGTCCTGTGTATCTACCAATGACGCAGGAAACCGTCCAGTAAGTGTTGCAAACCTTGTAACGCCCCCTTTTTGGGGGGTTTGCGATAGCCTAACTAATTCATTATATAGCTTGTTCGATAAAATCGTATCGTCCTACGAAGAATTTGCCGGCACAGTGCTCCTCATGTTGCATATGGAAATCCGGTGCCGCATTGTCCAATCTCTTGGCGTAGCGTTGTCGCCTGAAACAGCACCGTACGTCCTAGGCGACCAGGAGATCAAGGAGCCAGATCCACAGATACTGTCACTGAACGCGGAACTTGTTGCGTACGATGAGACGATTGTTCGTTTCCTTCGTGATAAGGAGACCGCATTCGTACGAACAGGTTTAGGTCTCCTCATTAACACTTATCTGGTATCTAACGCTCTCGCCACACAGCCCATGAACATGCGCGGATGTGAGCGCATGCAGCTTAATATCCTTGTGCTTCAGCAAAACCTCAAGAATGTCGAGGCTGGCGTAGACCTCACGCGGGCGGCGAACTATTTCAGCTTATTCCAAGAGGGCCCCGACAAAATCGTCGAGAAGGCCAAACATGATAAAGAGCGTGAAGCGGAGAGTGGTGCCTCTATACCAGAAGTGGAGAGATTCACTTACGATGAGCTCAAGGCACTCGTTGAGCTTTGTTATAGCGAGCAGCTCGCAGATCCAGAAAGGGGCGTCGCCTCGGCTGCGAGGAGGCAAATGGGCGAGAAGGTCCTCGCATTGAGTGAGCACATGTGGCAAACATAAAGGGATGGATTGTACAATTGTGTTACAATTAAAAATTGAGGGGTGGACTGTTACAATTTGGTGCTCACGAGATTACGTGGCCTATAACCTGCACATTGACGGTTTTTGCGAAGCGGAACTCCTTCACCCGATTGTGTATGTCTGAATTGATTGCCTCCCTACGAAGCGTCCTGGGAACTAATAATTGCAAATGATCCGTAAAATGGACCGTGTTATGATGGGAAGTTAAGCTTTAAGAATATGTGAATTTTCATCTTTTTGACCAGCCTGTCGTCTTTTTTAGGGACTTACCCAACTATATCAACCTAGGTAGCGTATGAGGGAGGCTTCCGTTATTGTTATGTTATGTTCTAAGGTGTTGTTGTACGAAGCCAAGTGAATGATGGCTATGTACTAAATACAAGTTACGACTATATGATAGCGGTGGGATCGGGTAGCTGATAATTACAGCTATGAAACCTGGGAAAACCTGATCGTTACAAATGTACCGGGCTGCCTCACATCTTCTTGGTAGTCTAGTTCTCTTGTAAGGTGAGACTTGTGGATGTATATAAGTAGGTTGAGTGGCGGATCTGGAATTAGATCTGAATAGGAAACCAGTATGAGTATCACATCGGTCGTATGACTCCTAACTGTCCGAAGCAAAAAGGTACTACACATCCGGGACGCCCGCCTAGCGTATCGCTTGCGTGGCTACATATAGTCGGTAGGTACCGAGAGGTGCAGATACTGAAAACTATTGTGGGTTGACTGGTTGGGGATGGCTGAAGATCGACATAGATAGATAGATCAAACCTTGGCAATTCCTCCGATGTGGCGGTGCGCGCGTAAGTTGTAACAATCCGCTTCCCGACAACCTTACTTGATACCTAGGTACCTACAGTACCTAAGTACCTAAGTAAGTACCTTCCCGCTCGTAGCAGTTGATCTAAGGAAGCAATTGATCCTTGTGGGGTAAAATTGTTGTCAGAACTTTGTTGTGCTTCACGACTATTTAAATTCCGCTAGTAAAGTTTCTTGCATGCCATTTTAAAATAAGAGTCGAATGTCGTCTAAAGTTTGACTTCGGATGCTAGATGGGATGAATTTAATTTCGTGCTATCGATTTAAGAAAAGTGCGAAAAACATTAAATTGAAGAAACGAATATATTTTCTTGTTGTAGGATAGCTTTTTTAGTGGCGTTTCGACGGTGACGGTACGATAGGATAACAATCATGTAATCCCCAATAAGAGCTGCATAAAGTGGCCAAATACGCGAAGGCCCCTGACGTTTCTTCCCATGTGGCGTCCGGGTGTCCCTCTGACGCGAAACAATCTTATTCGATTGGTCAAAAGCTAGAGGCGGAAAAGGGGGAAGAAATAATTAAATATTGAGCTTCCAATCAGGAGGAAAAGAGAATTATAGGTTTAATACATATGTATTGCCACCGATGTACCCGATAATAAATCAACCTAATCCTTTTGTCTTTGAAATCCAGAGAAAATTTAAATATAGGATTGGGGATGAAGGGATTAATAATACGATAACTATAACAACGTATTTAGATAAAGGGTGTGAACAAGTATAAGGATTAGGATTAGGATCTGGGAAATTGATACTTCAAAAAATATTATGACATTGCGTGACGTGGATACCACAACATCGAAAGTAAACGAATTAATTGATGGGTCCTAAGCCATGATATGCAAATAACCAGGTACCTAAGGATCTAAGGTTTATTACCTCATGCTTGCACCTTATGCTTCCAATTTGTTGATGATTCCATTCTGCTGGTGAAACTTACACCAAATGAATTAGAAATGAGACCCCTAGCATATTATGTAGTCTAGAACTGGAAGACCCAAGCTAAATAGTAACTTCTATTAGTCAGGTAGTATCCACGAGTTTCAGCGGTAATTGAGCCTCACGGTTCGAGTAGGTACCTAGGTATGTATCCATATAATGTACAAAGGGTATCATTATTATTATGATACGTATATTTCCATATGTATTTTCAATTTATATGCATACATACCTAGGTACACATGTATATACATCAGATCTTATATATATATACCTACATACGTATCTACCGATACCTTAATGTACCGGCATAATAATAAATAAATAAAAGAGAAAAAAAAAAGGAAATCCAACAGTTCATTAATTCGACCTGCCTTACCCAAGTAGAAGTAGGCTCAATAAGGGAGCTAATTTAATACTACCTAGGTACCTAATTTGTATAGGCTGCGTAGCACATACAGAGGTACCTACGTAAAATTCAGGATTGTGAAATTAATCCTAATGTGGTTAGATGTATACCCTGCCTGGTACAAGGTTGCACTGTGCTGTAAGGTCGGAGATTCTGGGCGAGCACACAGTGTGCTGCTCGTACCTTCTCGGGTACCTAGCGTAGCGCATTTAGTAGCAGCATAACGGTTGCTCTCGTCCCCCTCTAACGAGCGCGTCACCCACTCTGAACCCACTGAAAATCATTCCCCTTGAAATCCAACATTGGACGAGCCCCCTTCCAAGTTCCAACCTCCATCCCCGGCTCTAGGACCAGCTCTGTCGCAAAAGGCATTGAAGGGGGGAATTAACAAAATCGTCTCCTTGACCCCCGTTCTATCTACAAACAGTTTCGTTCGTTTTCCTTTTCCTTTTCCTTCCTCATTTATAACAGGACTGCGATACTTTCCCAGTTGCTAGTTTACAAATCGCGAAAACAAACACGCCAAATCACGCTCATTCTAGAACATAATCACCCCGTACTAATTCCACCTCCTGAATCCAACAAGGAAAAAAAAAGTGATTCAGGTATTGCATGTCAACCAGGACACAATCGAGCAACAAAATCGAAAATTCGCGTTATCATTTGACTCGAATTAACGACAACTCCTTTTTTTAAACACTTTTAATCAACCAACAACACTCAGAACAAGAGAAAGTTGGAAATGAAATGACAAAGACATTGACGTCTCGACAAAAAAAGCCCGGTACCCGCCCATTCTCCACATAGCATCCCGACCCGTCTCGTCTACCTCCTTTTTCGCGATAAAGGGTTAAAAAAAGGAACTTTCCTTACTTCCTGCACCATAGCCACCAACACTTACGACCGCCCCCTTCTATCGTAACGGCTTTCCCATCGTTCAAGAGTTTGGTTTATTTTCATCAAGCCTGCCTTACATTCCCGTAGTGGTGTGCTTCGGCCCCATTGTCGATCCTTCACCTGCGGTCATAGAACACCAGGACAGTCGTTGGTCGCATAATTCGAATTAATATAAATTCCGAATCCTTTGGCCGCCATATTCCTAGATAGGCCTGTCTAGCGAGCGTCTCATTTTTCTCCTGTTGAACAGGTCGACTCTGATTATTCAAGATGTCGTAAGTCGATGTCTATTCAATTACTTCTAATTCTATAGGTCCATTAACTAATTATCTAGGCTTGGTTCCGCTTTTCGCTCATTCTGGCATACTATGACCAGCTATGATAGACGTGAGTAGATCAAACAATTGACCAATTTTATAACTCATAAATGCTTACACTATATTTAGATTCAACCTACGATTCTCCTTATCGAACAGGTCGCCATGTACCTCTAAATAGACAAAGTACTCTCACGTCGGTCGCTACTGCTTCAGAATCCCGGGCCGACATTACATCCCCGTATGCGGACGAGCTCGGTCGATTATCTACCAGTGTCGACGGCACTGCTTACACAGGCGCCGGGCTCCCATCGGCATCTCCCCTGTCCCCCGGTTCCAACGGTCCCTATTCTCCCGGATTAAGGTCTATCAATGCTCGACAACAAGGCACTAAGGACGATGGGTTTGAGACGGTTAGTAGCCCAGGAGAGATACCTATGCAGTCGTTTGCGGATGGTGGCCCTCCAGCGCCTCCAGTTACCCATTCTTGGAGGCGGATAGATAAGTGGGCAGAAGAGAACTACCCGGAATTATTTGATCAGCTATGCGATGGATGTACGAGCAACGATTTGAATGAATTGGAACATCAGCTAGATTGCTCTCTACCTCAGGATGTTAGGGACTCCTTGGCGGTCCATGATGGACAGGAACGCGGCGGCATCCCGACAGGAATTATTTTCGGCTCTATGTTACTTGACTGCGAGGAAATTGTTCAAGAATGGGATCAGTGGCGCAAGGTTAACCACCAATATCTTCTTGAAACATCAGTTGTGAAACCTGCTGTTCCTTCCAAGGCATTTGGTGGTAGCAATCAGGCTTCCTCTTCCAAATCAGCGCCCGGCTCGCCCGGCTCCCAGAAGGAGTCGTGGAGACAGGAACTCCAGGCTCGCCAAGATTCCGTTCCTCAAGGTGCTGTTCAACGGGCCTATGCGCACCCCGCTTGGATTCCCCTCGTCCGAGACTGGGGCGGCAACAATCTTGCTGTGGATCTCGCTCCTGGCCCTACCGGTACTTGGGGTCAAATTATTCTTTTCGGTAGAGATTACGATACCAAGTATGTCGTGGCAAAGTCCTGGGGCGCTTTCCTTGCAGTTGTCGCGGATGATCTCAATAGCGGCAAGTGGTTCGTTGACGAGGATACCAACGAGCTCAAGCTGCGTGAGTTTAAGACAACCCGTGTTGAGCCGCCTTACTTCGAAATTCTTAGATGGCGAATGGACCAGAAGCATGGGCGCGGTGCCAGAGTGGTCGCGAAACGAAGGTCAGCTGTCATTGGCGGGCCTACTTCTCCTGGCGGTTCACCTTATACTAGTCCTACAGACAGCAATGGAGAAGCTCGTGGGCGTACGTTACAACGGCTTAGCAGCCCATCCCCCCTTGGTAGTCCTAGCCGTCCCGGCTTTGGAAAGGCGAGTCCCCTTGCACGAGTCGCCGAAGAATCGTCATCTCTCCCGGATACGAAGCTCAATACAAATGGTATAAATGGTGTAAAGCAGCCTAAGCTCGTGGAAGTGGAGACCCCTCGACCCAGCGATGAGGTGAACCAAAGTCCCAAATTTCCAACTGCAGCTGAAACCAAAGGCAAAGACGCGATCCTTTCAAAGGCTGCAACGGCAAATGGTAACGAGGGCGAACAGTTAGAAGAAGGAATGAAGACGATTGAGATCTGATATGAAAATTCAACGACCAGCAACGACGGGCATTGTACCACGACTACATAATAGACAACAAAAGGGTGGCGTTATGGAATCAGATCTGGCGCTAATAAGCACCGCAGAAAGCTGCGGTGGTATGACCCTTTCTGATTATACACGTTCCGTTACAATCAGTGTCTACATTGATAAAAACGGGATTTGGACATGCCTTCGTACAATTTGGCCATAATCAACGAGGACGGCACTTTAGAAATTTAATTTGGTCGGTGGTTTACCACTATTCTTGTACTAATACCCTTCGACTCCTTTCTGCCGCTCGATTATTCCCTTTTCCAGACACGCTCAAGGACCAAATAAGACAATTCTTCCTGTTCCAACTGGAAAACCGAAAACTGGAAAGCGGCTGAAACATGTGTACAGCTGGTGAAGAGACCCATGGTGGTTTGACTGCATTTATGGATGTAGTGAGCATATGCAATAGGGTAGTCTATAGAGTTATACTCTGGGGAATCGTGCTGCCGACAATCATATTAGGCGTTCAGGAAGACTCTAGCGTTTTGAGTCTGGGGCGTTGGCGGCAGCACACTGTACTTGATCACGTTTCGAGACGCAATAGCATGATGATACATTATTAAGGATTAGCCTATTTAAAATAGTCAATGAAGGCAAAGGATATTATGGCTACGCAGCTTTTAATACAGAAATTCATTGGAAATGATCTTTACTATTGTTCTAATATCTAATTCAGTTATGAATGGAATAAATTAATATATGTACGTGTCTGAGTACTTATATACCTAGGTACTTCCCTGCGACGGAACAAGACCACTTAACATCAATAATTTTTATCACGTGATATGTGTCTCCATTAAGAATGATTAGGAATGCGCGGTCGCTAAATGCCAAGACTTAGTCGGTTCGTCATCAGCCTCATTAGGTGGACCCCCAGACCCGACCAGCTCCCCTAAGCGCTTCAACTTCCTAAGCTTCATCTTTGACTTGACGCATAACACAGTAATCGGATTGGCCGTTGAACCATCCATCGAACTCGTCTCTCTCACCATCCACATACTCTTTTGAAGACCTAGCCACTCTTTAACCTCGGAATCATGGAGGAAGACCGTCTCTGGAAGTTCCGCAAGCCAGCTTGGCTTAACAGCGCTTGGGCGCGTAGTGCTGGAGTCTACTCGGCAGGTGCTTTGGTATGTTGACGATATATTCCCATATTCCCTTCCACAGCTTGTGTTTCATTGTCTATTTCCCTAGGAAACTAGCATTTCATATTGTTTTATCTCCCTATTTGTTGCGACCATGTCAGACTGACGTATTGGCTCTTCTTGCAGTTCTCCCTCGCCTTCTACATCCTCATCGACGCAGCGGTATGGTCCAAATCGCCGCTTAACGGATCCAACGTGCACGTAACGTTTGTGGACTGGCTGCCGCTCATCTTCAGCTCGCTAGGCATGCTCATCATCAACTCGGTCGAGAAGGCGCGACTGTCGGCCGATTCGTTCTCCTACAGCGGGTCGGGCGTTGCCTGGAAAGCACGCGTGGTCCTATTTCTAGGCTTCGCGGCTCTAGCCGGCGGTATGGCGGGCGGCGTCACTGTCTTCGTCCTCAAATACGTCGTGCCGGAGGTACACTGGCCTATGATGGGCATGGGCGTCGAGAACATCGTCGCCAACGGCTTAGTTATGCTGAGCTCCGTTGTCCTGTGGGTCAGTCAGAATATGGAGGATGAATATAGCTATAACTTGTCACTATAAGAGCCGGAAATTTCAAATTGGTGGTACCCGACCGCCTGTCGTATCGGGCGGGCAAATAGAGATAAGGCAGGCTAGTTATAATTATACTCGGTTGAGGTGACGGACACAAGGTGACGCCGAGACCATGGCTAAGATCCTGGAGATTGCAATGGAGCTATGGCACTTGGTATGTTTTATTTAGTTACGGAGAGAAGGCAGTCGATCCATTCGGTGTATTGTACAACAGATAGCATTGCAGCATAACTGGAAGGCTAGGCTAGGCGAAGCCAGGCGTGCGGTAATTTAGGAATTTGTTTTGTTCACTGAATTCTTCGCTTTTCGAATACATGTTTAAATAGCATCGGCCTACATTCAAGACTTTGTAGAATCCCTCTACACATCCGCCCCAGTACCAAGGAGGGGGGGCGGCTATTACCAACAGTAAAACCTACTGAATCTTCCATACATGTGCATCTTTAGACGGGCCGCCGTGACTGTTACTACTATGAAAATCATGCGATTCCATAAAATTATAACTAGATAGCAGCCCAGGACGACTCAATGAATATAGTTTCCTATCAAATCCACGAGTCTTGCAATCCAAGCATGTCTGACTTGTTCGTCGAGTGGGATGAAGGTTTTATTCATTATATTATACATAGCCGCCACCAAGCGGCGTGGCCCAAGTTAGGCATACCGGCTCATATATGAATGACATTCCCTATGTCTGATCCTCAAGCCCCTCAGGGCATATGCCGATTTTGCCAGTAGCTACAGCTGTAGCTTACTGATGGTAGTACATACGTGTTCGTAACTCGGGTAGGTGCATCATGAAAGGGGAGACAGTAGGCTATAGTCGTGTTAGTGTGTTCGCAAGTATTGTGGTGAGAAGCATAAGCGTACCGGATGACCGAAGGCCGAGGGTCGCTACGTGTGTAGCCTGTAATAGTGGACAGTTAGATAGAGTACTGGCTCGACGACATATACGTCATATTTGTCTAGACGCTCATAGAGTATAGAGTCATACCGAGGTAGAGTATTAGAGGTAGGTAACCACTATGAATTGTCAGCATATAGATACACCAGCAGCTGAGTGGGCAATTCATACTAGTGCATCGCAACTCTTCCGATTTCAATTATCTTTCCGATGCGCTCCTTAGATTCTTCGGAGAGCGCGAACATGTTGGGCAATACGTTTAGCGACCGCCGCAGTTGGTTTCGGGAGCGGTTTGGGTTTGTCGTTCCGGCTTAGACAGGAGCAAAGTACTATTCCTTTTGTCGCGAAAGTTGTAGGTAGGGTGAATAGATGTTCTTTGAATTTATTGAGCGGGCCGGATCAACCAAAATTTTGGTTTGATAAACCCGACCCAACTATGTCATAGTCATTAGCTCTCATTGGTTCAATTGGTACGGGAAAACATCGGAATATCCGCCCGTAGAATCATAGCTCCAGAAGCTACTTCGGTACCTATCTAACCTAAAGAATTCAGAAGCTTCGACCCGTGTTCAGCGTTCCATAATTTTATGGTCATCGCGAGTTGCCGCGACTTTATCGATTCTTGCTCGATCCTCGTTCCTTACAAAATCATCCGTCTCCGGCTCCGGCTCTAAGCGACAAAAAGGCAGATTAGTTGCCCGTCGTCAATCAACTACCTAGCCAAAATGTCGGGGGCAAAGCACTGGTGAGTTACTCTTTAATACTTATGTTAGTAAGAAAGATTTATGCAATAATACTTACAGTTACAAACCAGGGAGCAAGATAAAGAAGCCACTGTCTATGTGGGTAACATCGACGAACGCGCAACCGATGCGCTGATATGGGAGCTGATGGTCCAAGCCGGCCCTGTAGTCAACGTACACCTTCCCAAAGACCGCGTCACACAGTCACATCAAGGCTTTGGCTTTGTCGAGTTCAACGGCGAAGTCGATGCCGACTATGCTGCCAAGATCATGAACGGTATCCGATTATATGGCAAAGCCCTACGTGTCAACAAGGCCTCGGCGGACAAACAAAAGCCCCTGGAGATCGGCGCCGAGCTCTTCATCGGAAACCTCGACCCTATGGTTGACGAGAAGGTTCTCTACGATACATTCAGCAGATTCGGAACCTTGATAGCTCCACCCAAGGTGGCTCGCGACGATAACGGAGTAAGCAAAGGTTATGGGTTCGTCAGTTATAGCAGTTTCGAGGCTAGCGATGATGCCATCAACAACATGAACGGTCAGTTCCTCATGAACAAGGACATCAGCGTACAATACGCGTACAAGAAAGACGGAAAAGGCGAACGACATGGAGACGAGGCCGAACGAATGCTTGCCGCCCAAGCCAAGAAGCACAATGTTACAATTGAAAGCCAACCTATGCCGCCGGGACTACTTCAAACACCTACTCCCGCTCCACCGGTTGCAGCGGCTGTCGCCCCGCCGGCTATGGCTACTGGTGGATTCGATCCTCACTTCGGCTCCGGCGTTCCTGCTCCGAGACCACCCGTCGGCTTTGCTCCTCCCAACGCTCATCGTGGCCCTCCTCCCCCTTTCGGCGTTAATGGTGCCCCGCCCCCTCCAGGTGCTGGCCGGCCAAATGCTCTACCTCCGGCACCCTCAGGCCTACCTGCTCGCCCGCCACCCTCGCAAGCTGGTTATGGTAGTCCCGCCGACTTCCACCCCGGCGGCTTCCGAATGCCGCCTCCAGGTTTTGGCCCTCCTCCAGGCAACGTTCCGCCTCCGCCACCCGGGTTCACCCCCGGATACGGTCGCTGAAAGTCGAGTCCAGTGGCCAGTTACGTGTGATGGGGAATGGGCCATAGGCTTTGTCCCGACGTTACTTGTTACTATATACGCATGGACTCAGCTTCACGCCTTCCAGAAGAATACAACAGGTCATTCTACAGGCTTCACAAGACCTCCAAAATAATAAGCAGGGGAACCGCGCCCTTCATGGAACCAGGCTTTGACCCCCATCGCCCCCTGGTCACAGAAGGAGGGGCAGAATCAAGCGATCCGTTGATGGGGATGTTTACGAGGATACAGGCCGCGCCGGGGCAGCTCCTAAAAGGGGCATATGGCCGCCTAATTAAAAGATACCCAAGCCAACGTTATGATCAAAGAAACCACGATCATCACTATTATGGAATAGGCTACAAGGACGAAAGCACATACTCTCTTCCATAGCTTGATAGTGTATCATAGGGACAAGCCCATCACTGCTGCTTGCGATCGGAAGTCATTGTTGATAGTGGCATCAGGATAACACATCACGAATTATCAAACAAGTCAAAGGCTACGTGGTATTTCACACTCATGCCAGGGACCGTCAACCAAGCTCAATGTATCATTTGCTCACTTTGCCTCCATATGCTTAAAGGTTCTTCGGAATGCACTTGTCTTTTGACAAAATCACCAGAACGTACCACTCATCGCTAAAACTTAACCTAGCAAAACTATAATTGCTTCTTAATTAGATAGATGGCATTGAATAACCCATAACTCGACGTGTCGATAGCTGAGCAGAACACTCAGCTTAGCCCAGCAAACCCAAGAGCAGGAGTCTAGGCTAGGATGTTGAGCGTGTCAGTCGAAGTCCAGTTATCCAGTTAATTACCATTATCTCAAGCAATAATACTTATGTGAATATTCAACGGTGCAACGCTCCCTTCTCTAGGCAGGTCGAAGGTCCTGTGAGGCGTTATTCTACGGAGTGCGTTTCGAAAAGATCCGCTTTGGAGACTATGTAGCAACTGCATGTCAAAAAGAAACTCCTACAGCTCTATTGACGAATACATTCCTGTGCCGTAGGACCTGAAACATCCTTCTCATCCACCGACCTGTCCATGTACTATGTAGTTCAGTTTTTGTAAATATTCCGCAAATCAACAGTAGAAGTGGCAAGCGATGCTACAGGCGGTCAGCCCGTCTCCGTACGACCATAGGCTTTGATGATGAACATTATATGCTAGCTAATGTCAAGTTATGCACCACTCAGGTGTCTATTTACGCATTAGGCATGACTCGATGAATTCTTAGCAATATCATAGATCTGCCGCGTATTTATCGCACACAAGAGTGACCATTATAAAATCATACCCAAGCTAAATATCCAAACTACCGACCGAATACCGAATACTCTAAATATGGCCTAGTATTTTCACAGGAGCGAAGCATTCATAAATAATCAATACCTATTACTATCCCACTTGAGGCATAAACAACAAATGTTTATTAGATATGCACTTTCAAAAACGAGGTACAAAGTCAGACAACTACAGGTGCGCCTACAACGGTCAAGCAATACCACAATATATCTAATAGTACTAATTATTCCTCTACAAAACTCAGTATACTACTGCCAATTATCACTGGAAGCTTTTGATAGAGGTTTGTTACTGCAGTTTGAGGTTAGGTAGCCTCGGATACAAGGTGTGGTCGTTCCCAAAGCCCACGAAATAGGATATAATAGCTGTGTAGTGTGAATATCATTTGGTAACAGATTATTCGTCTAGATGGAGGATATATCTACAAGTCGATTCTGAACCTAAAGTCATATCTGTAACACGTGTCGCCTAGCTATCCCATATCCAGACCCCCAGCACCCTGAGAAATGTACAGCATTATGGGAACAGTCCATATCTCTACGTTGTTCCCATACAACAACCTGAAACGGCGTGAAACTGGAGGCGTTTTCTTGCTCGACAACATCTGTATCTTGCATCTTGCCCCGGCGGGGATTAAAACATCACGGCCAATGCAGGCCTCGGGCAAAATAAATGGCTACTCGAACCGTAATTCGGGCATACTGCTTCAGTACTGCGGCTTTAGGTTGGTTGTTCAACTTGCTAACATTTAGATTGGTTACCCATGCGAAAACTTCTAAACCAACCTGAGGGACTTCCGTTACTGCACGATATAGCATCATGTCAGGATTCACCACGCATAGACATGTATAATGTGCATAGGTCAAAAGGAAATAACACGGGGAAATGCTCATGCTATTCTAATCTTTACGGCCACTTTTGGAACTCGTTTGATAGGTGTCCCCATTCGAAAGTGAACCCATTGGGATAGGTAATCTAGTAATGGTAGAGTTTGGGGCATAGGACCCGGTGCTATCGACCCATCTTCGGGAAGTTAGCCTCACTCTGTGTTGTAGCTATATTGATAAACCTCTAACAATCATAATTTGACCTCAAATAACCTTGCTGTCCACCCTCCAGAGCGACTTCTAGCTCCTACCTCGTTCTATGGCTTCCCAAAATACTAAAATGAACCCACCTGGGATATTCCGAAAGTGCTAGAACTAGCCCATCCCACTTCTACGGGTTTCAGATGGAGTTCACCGCTTGTCTCCCTTCACAGCAAATGAGGCTACGAGTTGAAGTGCCGGAAATCGGCATATACAACTAGTGAGTAGAACTACTAGTACTACACCATTAATTTACCCTAGAGCTAGTAGTGTATCGCTAGCCCAGATGCCGGTAAATACTATAATAATCGCCCAAGGAATTGTACCTAAGTACGGGTCAACTGGACGCCGAAGCCAAACCGCGCGGGCTTCGGGGGACACAACGAGCACAGAGCGAAGAATCAATTGTATGGTGCTTCAGATAGAGAAAAGACGGAAATCAGATAGATGAATAATCTTGTCATAGCGCTGTTACGATGTCACTTGAACTCGTGTGGATAGCTGGTCATCCGCAGAGTTCCTCTTCCGCTATATTGCGCTAAGAATCCCCTACCCAATGCAATGGAGGATTGAGAGAGATAAGCGGACTAATGAACTCATTACGGTATAGCTTTGGCAACCCCTTCTCCTCCTTTTCAAGCCAAAGCGGCCTCCGCGCGGCCACCTCTCGGGTGACACTGCATTGGCGTGCCAGCCGCATTTGGGGGATAAATCTTGCGCTCCAGCCATTCACAGCCAACAGACGAGGATAAGGCCGAAAGAAGCGAAAGGGGGTGAAATAAGGAGAGCGCGTTATGTAGGTAATGGCTGAAGTGAGAAGTGAGCGATCCGAGTAACTTACTTCCAACGTCGCCATCTGTCAAAGATCCTGCACTGCAAGATCGGGTTACTCCACATATGAAGTAATCTTGGCTGGCTGGGTCGATAGATGGGTACCTACCTAGTAGGTAGGTAGGTACGCGTACGTAGATCGGCGGCAGGCGAAAGCTTTGGTAAATTCGGAGGATACACTGTATTTTCTGTACGGGTATTTCGGTCTTCTTCCCCTCCAACTCTGTGTCTGAGCGTCCGGTATGTAATACTCCTTGAAGAAAAGCCTATTACTTACCTACTGTAGGTGCGGCTTGGTCCCGCATCTGATGAAGACGAGTGTATGAACGGCGAGGAGGCAATTCGCCCCTCCCCCACCCCTTGGTGGCGTTGGTGGAAGAAAACATCGTCTGCAGGTGATACCGGGGAACACCAATAGTACTTCCGTAGCTGCGAACTTTTGAAGACCACCGGCAAATCTTCTACCGTAATGAGTAGGTAAGTATACGTATATGTGTGCGCAGATGTATATACATGTGTCATCATTAGGATCAAGTCTTTCGAATCTTGCCAGGGGACGAGTACTTTCCAAAGTACCTTCTCTACGAGGCTGAGAACTAACTCTGCGAACCCCCGAGAGGGAAGACATGAGTTAGACCCTGGAACTACCTAAGTAAACTACGCATCATAGGTCCCCTCAAAGTATACATTAGGGGTTCAAGAACTTAGGACTTCGTGACCTACAGTTCGAGGCTGTTACGTGGTATGACGGCCTCGGTAGCTGTGTAAGTAACTTTTTTTCCTAGTACGAGGAAGGGTCTCGGGTCTTTCGCGCCATGGTTTAGATACTTGTCCTGCTGTCTCACGGATCACCTTAAACTCTATGGAGTTATCCAGCCACCTAAAGGAATGAGGCGCTATGCACTATGCACCTTTAAACCAGATACAACCTCTCCAGTTTCGCCGGTCGAACATTCTCACACATCCCCCCCCCTCCCCCAATTGAGAATCGTAGCCTGTCTCGCCTTAGGCAGCATTAGGTTGCCCAATGTGATGGTCGTAAAACGTAGTAGTTGTCATGGTCTAGACAGCCTTGGCTGGATGTTACGTTTATCTCTGATATCTCACATAAGAATCAGTTTGATTCGAATTCGACATGGCTACATGTAATCAGAAACCCCGGATCATGATCACCTTCATTCGGTTCGACCCACCGACCAGAAATGCCCTTGTAAATCTCGGCCTTTCCTTAAGATTTTGCCTCGTTCTTTTGATCGTTTTGATGCCCAATGAGATTGAACGAGGAGAGCTCACGAACCTGACAGCGCCCCAGATTGAAGGGCATTGATGATTTTACACATGACTTGAAGGCCAGGCTAGCCCGCATGTTGTTTCGTGTTATGGTTACAACACTACAACGGTCAATGGGAGGTTTACGGACCATGCTTACAGCGTAGCTAGCTACTTAAGAGTATTGCGGCAACAAGCCGTGGCTAGCCAGCTGATCCAAATTGTTTAGTATGTACTATGGACCGTGAAATCCTAGTCAACATGCTCGGGGTGACGCAGCTATGGTTATCGTGTACTGAATCTAAGCCCTTACTAGAATACAAAAAATGACGATGGCTTATTAGGAAAAGGTAGCGAGCACCGCACACGAGAATTGGTAGAGCTGTGTGGGTTATGGCAAAGGGGCCGGGGCGTTTTTTTGCCCTCCCTTAGTTCGGTCGCCGGGGCGAGTTCATCTCCATATGGAGAAGGGATGGTAGGA